GTCATGGCTGTCCCGCTGCAGCTTGCTCTGACGGCGCCCCGCCGTGCCGCGCCCCCCGCACCGACCCTACCCGCTCTACGTACAACGCGAACAAGATCTTCAAGTATTATCTCCCCACAAACAGCCCTACTCGCTCCAATGTCTAGCTCTTTGACTCGGGTTTGCCATCCAACATCGCCATAATAATTATACTCAACGCGTAGGGTTACCATCACCCACCAACTATATATTTTTCGATCTTTTTAATACTGGTGCATCTACTCCATTGGGGGATCAGACTTGCTTTTTGTATTTTTATATCCGCGACTATGCAACCTACTTCGACTTTTGGTTGAAACAAAACAGTATTCTGTGCGTAAATTACCTTGTACATTATAATTTGTTTACATTTCAAGTGACGATTTATTTTTATATTAGGGCGAAATTAAGGTGTTATCATCATTACAAATAATGGTTGGAAGGTTTATTTCAATAGATTGTTTAGCTGTACTTTTCCTTTTGCTATTTTAATTAAGATATATATTTTAATGTAATATATAATATTTAATTTGAATAAAGTGCTTTTTTACACTTTGTGTTTTTGTAAATAATGAGACTTCAATATAACTTTTGTAACAATTTATTGCCAACATTATATACAAAAGAGATGAATATTTTGGACTCATTTTATAAATGGAAGATACCACCTCTAGTCTCTGTGTACATAAATAATTACCTTTATGTAATGCATTCAGTACAAACTAACTAGATTTTTAAATGTTCATAAATGCTTTCATGTAGTTTGTACTTGCTTAGATGATTTGAAGGGTCTGAGAGCTAATTTTTTTGCGCCTCCAAAGATAACTTTAGATCCAACTGCTATTACTTTCAAGAATGTTTTGGATGTTAGAATGAGTAATTCTACAGCTTTCTGTGATCCTTTCCTCCAGTATACAACATAAAAAGGTAGAGGAGGAAGACAGTCAGACCAGATGCCATTTCGATAGTCCTTGGCACGGGCTTCAGCAGATAACAAAGCAGGAGCCAACTTTGATTCAATTGTTTTTTTCTGAATATTGTTAGGAACTGAGGCTTTAGCAAATCCAAGTTCTACAAGTCTTTCAGCAATATTGAGAGTCTCCACAGTATTTTTCTGAAAAACAAAATTAAATCTAAAATCAATAAAGTTTTTTGGTCTTGAGTTGAAGGTATGTGTGAATTTTTTTTCTTTATTTTATAGACAGGATAAACACATTTTATTTTTATTGCAATTAAGTATAATAAATAATATTTGGCTTATATTTACATAGGATTTTGTTTAAGTATCATATTTTCCAAAAATAATTCATCCAAATATTAAGCAGTCCATATATTTCTATTAAATAGCTCACCTGTTTTTGAGGTAAATGTAATGAGACACTGGATACCAGCTCATCATTTTCTCTTGTGATAAGTTTCATAGATACTTGGTGACCTTTGGCCACACACTCCAACCAATTTACAGCATTTCCACTCACTACTTCTACTCCCCATAGCTGAAATAAAAATGATTTCATTAAAATCTGTCTTGGCACCAACCCAACTAGAACATAATATAAGCAAAGTAGTAAACATTACTGACCTTCACTGGAAGAGGAGGTTTTGCAGAATGCCACAGAGGTAAGTAAATAGGTGCTCTATGGTCCACTAAAACACGAAGTGGTGAGTGCTGCACGCCTGCATAAGTACCTCTCAGAGTCTCATGTTTTCTTATAAAGTGTTCGGGAACTGTACTCGGTTTTGAGAACTTGCTAACCTAATTATTTAAAAATATAATGTTATTATGTAATGTCATCAATATTATGGAATTTTTGAAATAGAGGTCACTTACCGGACGTATTTTGTGTATCGAAACTGCTAAGCCGGCTGTGGCGAGAGCATAAACAGCTATCTGAAAATCACAGTCAGGTGATAATCATCAGAAATACTTCGACACATTATTTTCCCTAACCGAACTTACATTCACTCCACGATAGTCTTGATTTAACAGATTATGAACACTATTTAAAAATCCTTCGTTTGACGACATTGTTATTTAAGACACTCAGTAATTATCATAATTTAAGTTTTTATCTCATCAATATTTTTCGATTTGAGATTAGAAATTTGCTTTGAGAACTTTTTGACATTTGGATCAAATGTTGTCAGCTTAGGGAGTAAATGCAAATATTGTAGAAAAACTGAAACAATTTGATTCGTCTCTTTTTGCCTTAATTGCATTAATATAAATAGTACCTATATTATGTATAATTACTGGCATTTTTTAGCTTTGAATGCTGGTAAATTGCTTTTATTAAATTATCGGTTTTTCTCTAGTGACGTGTGCTTGACATGGTCAGTGGCAACATCTATTCCACGTCAACCGTTTGACAGCTGGCGACGAACTCGCGGTTATTCATTTTTGTGTTTTGTGATAAATATCTTAAAAATGATTACTGTTCTAAACACAATTGATACCGGCCATGAAGACATGATCCATGATGCCGAACTGGATTACTATGGCCTTAGACTAGCTACTTGTTCCTCTGATAATTCGGTAAAAATTTATGACATTAAGAGTGGAACACAAACCCTTGCTGCTGATCTTAAGGGTCATTTCGGCCCCGTGTGGCAAATTGCCTGGGCTCACCCTAAGTACGGTAACCTACTGGCGTCATGCTCTTATGATCGTAAAGTTATCATATGGAAAGAATCCGGTGAGTGGACGAAACTGTATGAATACACAGGACATGAAAGTTCTGTGAACTCGATTGCGTGGGCACCGACCGAGTATGGCCTTATACTGGCGTGCTGTAGCTCTGATGGATCTGTATCTATCTTAACGTACTCTCAAGAAGGTGGCAACTGGGATGTGAAGAAGATACCAGGAGCACATGCCATTGGTGTGAACTCAATCAGTTGGTGCCCAGCTATATCGGCAGACTTGAACTTAGACCCACTCAGCAACAAAGATGCACCGAAACGCATAGTTACAGGAGGATGTGATAATTTGATCAAAGTGAGTAAATGTTTGTTTTACATCTTATAATAATTTATATTTGTTTACCCATATCACACCAACTATTTTACATAAACTTAATTGATATATGCATACACAAAAATAAAATAATTACGTTTTCCTAATCTGATATTATATTACAGATTTGGAGAGAACAAGGAGACCAGTGGGTGGAAGAAAACAGATTAGAGATGCACATGGACTGGGTGCGAGATGTAGCATGGGCACCATCTCTGGGACTTAACCGCTCAACCATTGCTAGTTGTTCCCAGGACAAGAGAGTTGTTATCTGGACCAGTGATGATAATGTGTCTTGGACCCCTACAATCCTCAACACCTTTGATGATGTTGTCTGGAGTGTGAGCTGGTCTTTGACTGGAAACATCCTTGCAGTGTCTGGCGGGGACAACAAAGTAAGCCTCTGGCGTGAAGGATCTGATGGCCAGTGGCTTTGCATAAGTGAAGTAGCTAAAGGCCTGGGACAAACACCAAATGATGAGAGGAGCACACTTTAAATTCGTTTATTTATGATTTGTTTATTTTAATTAACCTGTGAATAATTTCCTAATAGTAATATACTTGTAATCAATAATTTTGTTTATTTTTATTTATATTGCTTTTACCAGTGGTGAATCAATATTATCAGTTACTTAAAGTGTGTGGTCACAATCCCTCCACACTGGACCACTGATTACATACTAAATGAAAAAAACTGATGAAGAACAAGCCCTCCTACCTCATTCTTGAGCAGGAGTTGAAGAAGACTCAGGGGAAGGATGTATCTCAGTAAGGTGCTGGTAGGGGTCTTGACCATACTTCCGGGATTGCTCTGATAGCCATGGGATACCTATTCTTACTTAATCAATAATTTTGTTTATTTTTATTTATATTGCTTTTACCAGTGGTGAATCAATATTATCAGTTACTTAAAGTGTGTGGTCACAATCCGTCCACACTGGACCACTGATTACATACTAAATGAAAAAAACTGATGAAGAACAAGCCCTCCTACCTCATTCTTGAGCAGGAGTTGAAGAAGACTCAGGGGAAGGATGTATCTCAGTAAGGTGCTGGTAAGGGTCTTGACCATACTTCCGGGATTGCTCTGATAGCCATGGGATACCTATTCTTCCCCAAGCAGCTCAACGTATGTTGCCCGCGTATTAATTGAGTTTGCCAGTCACCCCCTGCCTGTTTATCCGTATGTATCAATATTCTATCTCAGCTTCATCTAGTTTTTCACATATAAATTGACTAGTATACTTATAGTGCATACATGGATAATTGCCGGCTGATGTCCCATTTCACTTAAGATGTTCAACGGGCCTCTGCGCGTTGGCGTCGGCCCCTTGTACGCCTTCCAAAGGTCCGGGATCCTGTGATCCCGTGAACGGAAACGAACATAAAAATAAATAGTTCCACAAATAAATGGGAACAAAATGCATATATTTTCTGTTCTGGCATTTTATCTATGTATACTCTCAACCGGAGAGATCCAGTAAACCGGCATGAAACAACCACAGCATTGTTCGCAATGTGTCATGCTACCGGATGCCCAATCCTTAAATCTCAGACACCCTAATCCGCTAAGGCTGGCAACGCATTCGTACCTATGACATGTTTGGCATGGCCGATGTCTATGGGCGGTGCCGATTGCTTACCATCAGGCACCGACCCATTTGCTACTTGTCCTTTCTATCATATAAATTAAGAGAAGAGATAAAGTTTTTCGAGATTTCAGGTCCAAGCTCAACGCGGTATGGTGCGTATCATATGAAACAGGGATGGTTTCAATCTGGCACTTCCTCTAACCAATAATTGAACTCAAAATTCATAAAGACACAAGTCAGTCAATTATGCAAAAGCACAGGTAACTAAACATCGCAATGGAAATCAAGGAAATAAAACATTATTTGCAATAAAAAACTAATTTTAATGAAACTTAAACATAATTATTAAATACTATAATACAGATTAATTAATATCACGTATTGGTATGGTGGTATTCAATCAGTTCTGAGAGTAAAGGCATCTTGTAGTACTCGGCTATTGTCTTGAAAGTATGTAGTTGTGAATTGACCTCCTTGGTGGGCACCATGAGAGCGAACTCGCCAGCACACTCGCATACAATTGTCATGTTCTCACGTTTTACCTGTACAATTAAAAAGTAAGTATAACCACATCAAGTCTACTGGTCAACTATGTCTAACTATATCTACATAAGAAGGAATTGCCATTCTGATCTCTGTAAAATGTCTCATAAGACACCAATTCGAAATCCCCACAGGAAAAATAGAGATTGTGTCAAAATAATGTCTACCATGCAGGTAAAACATATTAAAGTGTAAGCTTATAGGAATGTCAAGAACACACAAATTACAAGATTCTTTTTTGTTCTAATTAGATTTACAAAGGCCAAGGTTCTCTGGTTTAGGAATTTGCGTATCAACGAATGACGTAGCCTGTAGTACGAGAGCATCGTCATTCTTACATTATTTTATGACCTTTACTTTATTTGGTTTTTATGTAGGGCTGTTTACTAAGTAACCAGGAATTTGGTATACATATTTTGAAATATTTGAAGCAAATAGTGGTGTAGCAATATTCAAAAAACAACAATTGTACAAACCTGATGACATCGTTTGCATATAAGATCTTGTAGGATATATGACATAGTTCGCTTGTTCATAATCTCAACGAGTCGCCACTCCAACTCTTGGTTGTCGTAAGGCGTGCCACATGTAGGACATAAGCATACCGGCCTGTGAACAAAAAATGACATTAAAACACAGAGCCTAGCCGGGGTTGCGGGTCTAGCGCAATAACGTAGCAGAAGAAATTTTCAAGAAAATTCGAGAAAAGGAATGTACGTCATCGACAAGGCGCGGGCACGCAGAACCTCGCCGCCGTAGAAAATATCTTCGCCTCGCGCTCGAAAATTTAAGTAATGCTCGCCATTAATTTTGTTATAGTAATAAAAATAAAAGTAATGATCATACACTAAAGATTTCTTTGGGAAAGTTGTTTGTTTTTATAACATGTGTTTAAATATTGACCACTAATTACCAGTCACCCTATATAAAAAATATTCATAAAGTATTGTGTTTCTTGTAAATAAGTAAGCTTACACATATTCAAAGTTTTTAGTATCTCTTCCAAACAAATGTACTTACACATCATTCAACGTAGCAGTGTTAGTATCCCGACAGAGGTCGAGGTCCCGGCAGTGGTTGCATACATTACAGATGACCTCAGTGAGTACACACGACGTGCACGCCTCGCGCCACTCCGCGCTGCTACTGAACTCGCCTACGCCTATTAGACGTAGCAAATTACGGCGGAGGAGAGTTACCTGCAGAAACAAAGATTATAAAGTTAATAGTATTTTATTTAACCTATTCTTGTTTATTCCGGTGACACACTTGTAAATCTTTTGGCGATGACATCAGGTGATGCAAAAAACCAAACGTCACCGGTTACATTTGGATATCGAGCTGGGATTTAAATGCTAGAGACTAACAATAAGTTTTGATTTATTGAGACTCGCCACGTATTAGTAATTAATCATATTTTGGAGAATATATAGTGATACAATACATTCCACATATTACACATGTACAATCTATAAACAGATTGAATCCATTTTTGTAGTAGTAGTAGCAGTAGTTCCAACTGCCTGTCTGATTAATTAAAATAATGTATTTATTTATTTTATAATTTTATCGATACGGGCATAAGGCATACCTCTTCATCCAACGTGCTATCAAGTGAGAACACTTTGCAGATCGCGTTCACGTACAGTAGCGCAGGCTTGGACTCTTCAGTGAAAGCGTCCGGTTTCAATCCCGGCTGCGGGCCGATGTCCGTCGGACGAAGCAACGGGTACCGCGTGTTAATTTTCTCAGTTACTCTGTAGGTATTTCAAAAAAGTTAATTAATTTTTATGAAAGACAAATACACAAACAACCACAGCGTTCATTCGCCGTGTGAATAAGGTTACCGGAGGCCCAATCCCACCCCTTCCCCTATCCCTTCCCGATCCTTATATCGGCAACCCCTATCCCCAAACGGCCGGCAAAGCACTTGTAAGTCCTTTGGTGTTGCAGGTGTCCATGGGCGGCGCCGACTGCTTACCATCGGGTAATTCGTCTGCTCGTTTGCCGACTTACACCATAAAAAACACAAATTATCAAAATCCTAGGGTCAATAGCAATAATGTACCGTGGTTCGGTCTTGGAGCAAGAGGAGGAACAAAGTGGCTTTGGGCAGTAAGAGTCTGATACTACTCACCCCAACCAGGGCGAGAGAAATAATTTGATGCTTTCCATACTCAAATATTTGAATAGCTTTATAGCTTGTTTCAAAAGGGTGTCACAGTTTACACCCCGTTAAGGTTTGCCACCTTGGCCTAGCCTTTTACATAGAAGGCAGCATTTTCCACACTCGGACCAAAGATAAAGATTTATGATGTATTTTTTTTCTTTATTTAAATGAGCTTATTTGCAGTTACAAATATGACGCTCCGTATATAAAGCAAAAATAAATTAAAATATTAAAAAAGAAGAATTAAGGCAAAGATGATCTCCGCCTTAGACCCTCTTTAACTAAACTAATAAGTACTTTAACTCTTTCACACAGTGATGATGTATTTTATAGAATGAACATACTGAAACAGTTTCTGCGATATCTCCCCCCGTAGTAAGGCGGGCAGTTCCTTCGGTTGCGAGTAAGCGGCGCTGAGGAATCCAGCCACGGCCGCCGCGAACGGTTCCCGCACTGGTGCCGGCAGGAAGTTCGCTAAGTTCCAGTGCATCGTTATAGCGTCCTCCTGTGAGAAAAGTATCTATAATTATCATGGATCTCATTCCTAATTAAATCATTTAGAAATATAAAGACGTGTTATGTTATGATCTCATACTAATATTGTAAATGTAAAGTTTGTGAGGATATATGGGTGTATATTTGTTATTATTTTCCACAAAAACGGCTGGACCATTTGGTTGAAATTTGGTATGTAGATGGTGGTGATTCCCTGGATTAACACAAAGGCTGCTTTTCATCAACATACTATTCGGGCGAAGCCGCGGGGGAAACTAGTGTATATTAAATTATTTTAATTAGTAAATGGATAACAATAAGTTTTGTTATTTATTGTGTATAAGTGACAAATTTCTGACCTCGTCTCCAGTGTTTTCTTCGCTGGCAGTTGGCATCTGTGATGAGCCGACTTCAGTTAAACCTTCCGGTAATTTACCCTGCAATTTGTAAAGAAATTAGCGTGAATCACCGCCACAAGTACGATAAATTATAAACCTGGAATACCTAATAGTTAAATCAAGCAACACCTTATTTACTATTGAGCGACAATGATCAATATATCATAGTACAAAACAGTGATAAATTTATTTTGTTTACATAAAATAAAAACCTAATCACAGGATTTCCCTGATCCTTTCACTCTGCATTTATATTTTTAAGTGCTTTGACCAACAACCAACAAGGCAATATAAAATAGACTAAAACCTAATCAAAGAGCTAATAACTACCAACCTGTATGCCCGCATAGTTGGCCTCATCCAGCCACAGTAGGTAGGACCAGCACTGCTTGTACTGTATGTCGATGCCGTGGAACAACTCCTTGTTGCGTATGCTCTGTACCACAAATTCTACATAGCCTGAAACACAAGGTACATACATGATACTAACCCAACGGTCTCAATGACTTGTTATATTGATGTTGAATATTTTATATTTTAAGTTTTTACAGTACATTTTAACATCTTCACACAGTCAACTGACATGCGCATGCATCTTTATAGACCCTGGAGGGGCTTGAAACTAGTCGAGTTTTCCCGAATTTGTCAAACAATTTTCGAAAGTTAATTTATTTAAGTAAAGAAAGTAGTTATAAAAAAGAAAAGATTTTTTATTATTCGTAGATTATACGCGACTTGTACTAGAGTATTAATAGATGTTAACATTTTATAAAATAAGCTCTTTTTGCCCGCGCATTGAACCTAATATATCTTTAAGAAGTTTATTATTTAAGTGCATTGAACCTAGTATATCTTAAGTTTAAGAGGAAATACCACTAAACTTCTCATAAAAAAGTAATACGTTCATCTTTTCTTGCAGTGCAGTTTGGCAGAAGTATATTTTGTTGTAAAATTGTCGTTAAAAACAAATAAAGCATTTATTTATTATTATTTTTATTATTTCAAAATCCTTACCAATTCCGTCCATAATAGTATTCTTCTTGGTACAAATGATAATTTTGTTGAAATCTGCGTACACGATCTGAGAGCCAAGTCTCTTGAACTCCGCTACCAGCATGAGGAACAATTTCTTCATCAGGTTATGGAGGGTGCGCCTTAGAGCCGGGTCGTAGAGTAGGGATGAGGGAGTCTTTAGCCATCTAAAAAGTAGTAAATTAAAATAGGTTTGTTATGCTCATAAAACTGCAATTTTAAATGACTCCAAAAAAGGTTCTCTAACGAATAGTATTTTTTTTAATTCAGTAAACTTGGGTGTGGCTTAATTGTAGGTTCATTTATGCCTTTATGTTACTTTTAATAATGTTAAGATTTTTTGTGTTTTGTAAGTTTTGCAATAAGTTTCTGCGTTATGTTTGGTGACATGGAAGAACAAATTTTAAGTGATTTAAGCAAATAGTTTTAAGTTTGATTACAATGACGTGTGTAGTATATTATGTATGTGTTGTCTGATTTAAAATCCAATAGGTGTAAACAAAATCATGGACAATTTCTTTAAGAGACTAAAACTTTTATCCAGTAGTTGTGCAAATACCTGTAAAAGTGTGATACTTGGAAATCAGCGAAGACGTTCTTGTATTGTGTGACGTCACGCAGCCAGGACGCTACCATAGTGCGGAGTATCTTGAACGCTGCGCTGCACTGCGCCGTCTCATCGTAGGGCATCGTTGCGTTTGGTCCTAATGTAAACCAGTAACGGGTTATTTATAAAAAAATAGGTTTTAAAAGAAATAGATTTTTTCCGATAGGTCGGCAAACGAGCACCCTGATTACCTAATGGTAAGCAAACTGTGACGCCTGCAAGGGCGTTGCCAGCTTTTTAGGCATTCGGAGTTTTAGCGATAGGGAAACGATTCGACCCTCGGTAACCTCCGTCACATGGCGAAACCCAGCGGTGGCGAGCGAGGTGCCCTCGTGCGCGTGCACGGCGGCGGCCTGCAGCAGCGCGCAGGCGGGCAGCGTGACAAAGGGAGTGGTGGCAGTGACGTACCGGTATGGTTGATGGCGTCGTGTATGGAGGCGTGGTGCGGGCCGAAGGCGGTGGCGAGCGAGGTGCCCTCGTGCGCGTGCACGGCGGCGGCCTGCAGCAGCGCGCAGGCGGGCAGCGTGACAAAGGGAGTGGTGGCAGTGACGTACCGGTATGGTTGATGGCGTCGTGTATGGAGGCGTGGTGCGGGCCGAAGGCGGTGGCGAGCGAGGTGCCCTCGTGCGCGTGCACGGCGGCGGCCTGCAGCAGCGCGCAGGCGGGCAGCGTGACAAAGGGAGTGGTGGCAGTGACGTACCGGTATGGTTGATGGCGTCGTGTATGGAGGCGTGGTGCGGGCCGAAGGCGGTGGCGAGCGAGGTGCCCTCGTGCGCGTGCACGGCGGCGGCCTGCAGCAGCGCGCAGGCGGGCAGCGTGACAAAGGGAGTGGTGGCAGTGACGTACCGGTATGGTTGATGGCGTCGTGTATGGAGGCGTGGTGCGGGCCGAAGGCGGTGGCGAGCGAGGTGCCCTCGTGCGCGTGCACGGCGGCGGCCTGCAGCAGCGCGCAGGCGGGCAGCGTGACAAAGGGAGTGGTGGCAGTGACGTACCGGTATGGTTGATGGCGTCGTGTATGGAGGCGTGGTGCGGGCCGAAGGCGGTGGCGAGCGAGGTGCCCTCGTGCGCGTGCACGGCGGCGGCCTGCAGCAGCGCGCAGGCGGGCAGCGTGACAAAGGGAGTGGTGGCAGTGACGTACCGGTATGGTTGATGGCGTCGTGTATGGAGGCGTGGTGCGGGCCGAAGGCGGTGGCGAGCGAGGTGCCCTCGTGCGCGTGCACGGCGGCGGCCTGCAGCAGCGCGCAGGCGGGCAGCGTGACAAAGGGAGTGGTGGCAGTGACGTACCGGTATGGTTGATGGCGTCGTGTATGGAGGCGTGGTGCGGGCCGAAGGCGGTGGCGAGCGAGGTGCCCTCGTGCGCGTGCACGGCGGCGGCCTGCAGCAGCGCGCAGGCGGGCAGCGTGACAAAGGGAGTGGTGGCAGTGACGTACCGGTATGGTTGATGGCGTCGTGTATGGAGGCGTGGTGCGGGCCGAAGGCGGTGGCGAGCGAGGTGCCCTCGTGCGCGTGCACGGCGGCGGCCTGCAGCAGCGCGCAGGCGGGCAGCGTGACAAAGGGAGTGGTGGCAGTGACGTACCGGTATGGTTGATGGCGTCGTGTATGGAGGCGTGGTGCGGGCCGAAGGCGGTGGCGAGCGAGGTGCCCTCGTGCGCGTGCACGGCGGCGGCCTGCAGCAGCGCGCAGGCGGGCAGCGTGACAAAGGGAGTGGTGGCAGTGACGTACCGGTATGGTTGATGGCGTCGTGTATGGAGGCGTGGTGCGGGCCGAAGGCGGTGGCGAGCGAGGTGCCCTCGTGCGCGTGCACGGCGGCGGCCTGCAGCAGCGCGCAGGCGGGCAGCGTGACAAAGGGAGTGGTGGCAGTGACGTACCGGTATGGTTGATGGCGTCGTGTATGGAGGCGTGGTGCGGGCCGAAGGCGGTGGCGAGCGAGGTGCCCTCGTGCGCGTGCACGGCGGCGGCCTGCAGCAGCGCGCAGGCGGGCAGCGTGACAAAGGGAGTGGTGGCAGTGACGTACCGGTATGGTTGATGGCGTCGTGTATGGAGGCGTGGTGCGGGCCGAAGGCGGTGGCGAGCGAGGTGCCCTCGTGCGCGTGCACGGCGGCGGCCTGCAGCAGCGCGCAGGCGGGCAGCGTGACAAAGGGAGTGGTGGCAGTGACGTACCGGTATGGTTGATGGCGTCGTGTATGGAGGCGTGGTGCGGGCCGAAGGCGGTGGCGAGCGAGGTGCCCTCGTGCGCGTGCACGGCGGCGGCCTGCAGCAGCGCGCAGGCGGGCAGCGTGACAAAGGGAGTGGTGGCAGTGACGTACCGGTATGGTTGATGGCGTCGTGTATGGAGGCGTGGTGCGGGCCGAAGGCGGTGGCGAGCGAGGTGCCCTCGTGCGCGTGCACGGCGGCGGCCTGCAGCAGCGCGCAGGCGGGCAGCGTGACAAAGGGAGTGGTGGCAGTGACGTACCGGTATGGTTGATGGCGTCGTGTATGGAGGCGTGGTGCGGGCCGAAGGCGGTGGCGAGCGAGGTGCCCTCGTGCGCGTGCACGGCGGCGGCCTGCAGCAGCGCGCAGGCGGGCAGCGTGACAAAGGGAGTGGTGGCAGTGACGTACCGGTATGGTTGATGGCGTCGTGTATGGAGGCGTGGTGCGGGCCGAAGGCGGTGGCGAGCGAGGTGCCCTCGTGCGCGTGCACGGCGGCGGCCTGCAGCAGCGCGCAGGCGGGCAGCGTGACAAAGGGAGTGGTGGCAGTGACGTACCGGTATGGTTGATGGCGTCGTGTATGGAGGCGTGGTGCGGGCCGAAGGCGGTGGCGAGCGAGGTGCCCTCGTGCGCGTGCACGGCGGCGGCCTGCAGCAGCGCGCAGGCGGGCAGCGCGTCGGTGCGCAGCCACACGCACACAGAGCCGTACGCGCCGCCCGCGCTGTGCGCACACCCCGACAGCTCCTCCACCTCGCTCACCAGTCTAGGATGAGGTTTGGCTTATGAGTACCAAGATTCGTTTAATCGCTTCAGCTTCCACATTTTTGTATGAAAACCCAAGCCAAACATACACGCTCTTAAGATACACTTTTGATATTGAAGGTCTTCTCAATAGATTATATTAATTAGAAGGATTCTCTTAGATCATATTAGGAAGTCAAATTCACACTAATTAGACACCTAAAGAACGTAACAAAAAGAGAAACATGATAATAATCGAGTCCAAAGGGGAAGCGATGGCTATCAGTTTGAACGTAGCGAAGGCCTTTGATCGGGTTTGGCATAGAGCATTTCTATGGGCTTTCCGAGAAACTGTGTAAATGTATCTCCGGTTTTCTTCCAGACAGAAGCATAAAGGACGCGGTCGACGGTGAATGCTCTGATTGTTTGCCTGTGAACGCTGGTGTTCCTCAAGGTTGCGTGCTATGACCTGATATGATATGTTTCCAATCAGTAGCATTCGTTGTTATGCAGATGACAGCACAGGATGCCTTTTAAGCCGGCCGTGCTAACATTCCTAGAGAAAACGTCATCGAGAGTTGGACTTGTGTCTCACCTGCTACTTCACAGTAGCAGGCGAGTCCTTTCCAAGTCCAGACGCAAGGTCGGTGTGCAGGATCGTTGGTCTCGTCCTTATTTGTATCCGAAATTCCCAATAAAAAAAACGTCTTGTGCTTTACAAACTTATATTTCCACTTTTTACATGGTTACAAAACTTATTACCAAACTTATTACAACGACGACGACAAGGGAAGTGAAAAAAAAAGAAAAACAGTTCGGAAGTAGATGGCGCCGGAAACTATCGGGGTGTCAAAACGATTTTATTTCGCGCACATTTGGTCACTAGATGGCGACACATATTTATCACTCCACAATTCACAGAGCACGGTATTAATATAGATGGCGCGAACAGTCGGCCTCATATGAAAAAATGTGCTCATCTTTGGCCCCACCCAAAGACCCCCAAGGCACCCCAGTACCAGCTTCTCCCTCTAGACCGCATTCAGCGACAAGCTGTCCGAATCGTTGACTGCCCTGTTATCTCAGACCGGCTGGACTCTGGCATTGCGTAAGAATGTAGCCTTGCTATGTACCTATTCTCAATCGCATATAAAACGAAGAGTGTTCTGATAAATTGTTTTGTTTGATCCCAACCGCATTTTTTCTCCATCGTTCTACGCATGCACATCTTCTTCTGAGTCTGTACATCAGACTTTGGAATGATTTTCTGGCAACAGTATTTCCAAACAGATTCGACCTTCAGACCTTTAAGAAACGGGTTAACTCCTTAAAAGGCACCGCCGTTTTAACTCCTCTGGCGCCGCAGTAGGTCTGGGTGACGCTGATCACTTACCATCGGGTGATCCATCTGCTCGTTTACCTCCTATTCCACAAAAAAAGTCCAACCTGTCGCTTCGCACTTTAGACTCAAGACTCAAAATCCAACATATTACGCAGAAAAAGAGATAAAGTAGTCATAGGACGACACTACAACTTTCTATTGAATGTTAACGCAAAACAAATAAAGACTTTTTCGAACAAACTTTTCCATTTTTAGTTTTAAACCTGTTAAATTCTGAGAGTATATTCTCAAAAATGTTTACCTGTTATCGTCAGTCTCCCGTCCCCCGAGGTCTGGTAGATCTCTATTGGAACACCAAAGCACGAAGTTGTGTTTGATGAGCTGTCGCGCGTAGAACAAGTCTGCGCCAAATAGAGTTGGGTCCGCCGGCATGTTGCCTATAGGCACGTGGAAGTATCTGGAACCAAACACATTTATGTAAAAAAACATATTTAGAAATGATGCAATATTAAGAAAAAATACATAACATTTATTTTTTATTTTTAAAATGCTGAATATTTTACTTATATTTAAAATCATCAATTTATTTGATTACTCTAGGCTGTAGTTAGACACGCCTCTACCGCCCGTGTTGTCCCTCTAGAGTCTAGAGGGACAACACGGGCGGTAGAGGCTAGAGGACTGGACTTTTAAACCACCCCATCTCTTTCCCCTGATCTAGACCGGGACCGCGGTACTTTATTGCACCGAAACCCTTAATTAACCTTCTGTTTTCTTTCCACTTGAAAAGGGGAATTAATCTTTAACCTTATTTTCAACCGTTTACAAAAATTTACGTCATATATAGGGTAGGTGACTGGTTATTAGAGACCGATAATTATACACGTGATTGTACTCAAACAGCTTTCTTAAAGAAACTTATTTCTGTACTTATGATTTTTTTTTTACTACAACAAAATTATTTCGCGCGCGCCGTCACTCCGTCACGTGGTTACATATCGGGCACTAATTACCAATCACTCTATTATTTAAATACCTGCACTGTTCTATAGTAAGTTGCAGTACGGCTTCGAGCCCCAAGTAATGCCGTACAATGGCGCGGGCCCCGATACGCTGCCACTCCAGTGCGCTGTACAACGTCTCTACGTCCCGCACGTGGATCGGTACCACGGGAAAATCTGATAAACCTGCCAAAGTACATTGCTCAGTTAGGGCTGATTTTTCAATAGTCAGATAAATATTACCTTAGAATTAAAATTGTTGCTGTCACTGTCTCATACAAACATTCTGACGCGACAGCATCATAATTATTCCGCAGTAACTTTTATCTAACCATTGCAAAATTAGCCCTTAAAGTATTTAACTCTTGAAAGTTATCTGACAGTATCCTGACATTTTCGTAGGTGTAGATGATAATAATATTAAGCGAATTCTTTTGGGTTAGTCATTTTTCTTTTTTTTATATATGTCGCAGGGATATGATAAAATCAGGGATTTGATCAAATCACGGAGGATGTTAAAATAACAACACGTTTTTATCATTTCCCTAAGCAAATCTAGTGATTTGAACAAATCCCTAAATTTATTTAGTGAAATGATAATAAAACATGTCCAGTTCTTGTTTACGAAGTGTGGGAGAGCCATGCTTCGGCTCGAATGGGTCGGCTCGACCGGAGTGATACCACGGCCTCTCAGAAAACCGGCGTGAAACAACCACAGCGTTGTATTTCGGAGGCCCAATCCTTCCCCTCCCCCAATCCCTCCTCAATCCCTAAATCTCCAAATCCCAAATATATATAAACTGAGTCATAACATATGGAAAAAAGTAACCCCCACAGAGTCGATAATTTTATAATGGCTTGACAAATATTATTTTTGATTTCATTATGCCTGAAGTTTGAAAAACGATCCTATTTGTGAGAAATATTTTTTTACTATCAAACTACTGTTCTACAGTGGACTATCCTGGAGATAAGTCAAAAAAAAAAAACATCATCAGCCCAAAACATTCATCAATATAAGTACTTATTGAACGCTTACCAGGCATGAGTTGCATGAGCAGATGTGGCGCTAGCGTAGCTTGTAGGGCGAGTAGTGTGGGGCCACAGCGTTCGTCCTTGTACCGTTGCAATGCGCGCTGCAAGTGTCGGCTTACTGCGCGAGCTTCTGTCTCTACTACTACTTCCCAAGTCAACTCTGAACCAGGGAGGGAGGATTCTTCTGTTCCTAGGTTGATCCTAAAATATAATAACTCGATTTTAAAGCAGTAGGTACCTAAATCACAGCAGCCTGTTGCCCAGTATGATGTTGTATTGATGATTACCAATTGTACATTTCCAACTAAACAGTTCACAAGAAAGAACAGTAAACTTATAATAGATAGTTAAGACAGAAAGGCATCTTCATTACTGAATAGGATAGAATTGAGACACGGTGGACGTACTAATGTTCAAGACAATGTTAATAATTTACTTCCAAATTATTTAGAATTGAAATAGATTTAGCAGATGTACAGGAATGAACACTTAGTACGCGCGCAACATTTCATAAATGAATGAATGCCTTTACGAGAAAAAACGTAGCTGTCTAGAAGTCGTAACTTTACTTGCAAAAGAACACTATTAAGTTTCATTTTCAAATTACCAAAAAACTTACTTGGCAGTCCTCTCAGCTAGGTATAGTGTGTTCATGTTAGGAACTTGATTGGTTTTAACAGTATCCAGTACGTATATGTAGGCGCGCTTCACAGGCGGTAGAATTAACGCCCACATACTGCGCGACGAGTTTAGAGCCGAATGTTGGTATAAGTAGATATGCTTCACTGGAGGTACACCATCCTAAGAAAGATTTTTATTAAGAATCAAGTTTTACACAGTTAATTAAGGGATTAATGAGTATGAGGGAACCAACATTTAATTTCTCTATAAGCTATGAGTTCGGTTGCGCAAAGGTTGCGCTAAGTCTTGCGCAAGTAAAATGTCCATGAAAATTTTGCGGCTTTAGAATCAAATTTTTGTCTGCGCAAACTGCAAACTATATGCACGGAAGCTTTTAAAAATTAAATACTTCAAAATAGTGTTTTTTTTACCTGTTTTTGTAAATATGGCTGTAGACCAACACTCTTGAACTGAAGTTGGTTTAATGAAAACGAATCCATGTTATTAGAACCAAATTGTATCATCCTGCAAAATTAATTGTTTTAAAATATCACAATGCAAATAAAGCTTTATTTCATATATAATAAAGTTGATTATCATACTTTCTAGCTTCTTGTGGATCCACTGTGCATATACATCCGAGTTGAACCAGTACTCTGAATTCAAGGCTCATTTGTGTTTCGTATATACCTTCAATTTCTGGAGCGCATAGTTCGGATGTTAGTTCCCTGGAAATATAACAAACAGAAACAATGAAACTTTGTTCTAATTGGTGAGACATATAGTTCTTTCATCGTTGTTACTGTCAAAAGTTCGGTTGATAGGATTAAATTTGGCTTTTCATTATTGAAAGAAAAGACAAAACACCACATTGGATTTAAACAGAGAAAGCCTATATTTTATATTGAAAACACTCACTCTTGATGTTCCCTATACAAGTTCTCAGGCACGGTGTACTGATAGAGATGTATTACAGGGTGTGCGCGAGGCAGTATTCTGTTGCATTTACGCCAATACTGGCCACTGTCTGTAGCTCGACTGACGCGCTGGTTCACGTAGAATATGCGAGGTACCGTCAACTTGATCTGATGTAGCTCCGTGCCTACTAAAGCCCATACTTTGAATAGTCCGGGCTCTGCTGTTTCTGCAACCTGAGTGGGGTTTAAGAATATGTTTGTAGAGCATTAATTACTTAGTAATACTTTGCATGTTATAAAGAGGAAAAGTGTCTACAGTCTATTCGAAACCACCTATTGGTTTTGGTTAGGAAACAGAAAGAAAAATAATCCACACGGTACCAGGCCAGATACACCAAAAAATTAGTTGCTTACTATAATGGATTTTTAATAGTGCTGTCACACACTAAGATTTTCTAATATATCCTGGACAAAGTTATCATATCTAAAATTGTTCCGTGCGAAAGCGTGTGCAACAGCTTCATCATAATCAGCCTACAAGTGCCCACTACTGGGCAAAGGCCTCTTCTCATACATATAAGGTCTGGTCGATTCTCAACCACGGCGCTTGCTCAAGACGGATTGACGAAATCATATAATTAGAAATTATAAGTGATCATCAATCACCACACTTGCTCAAAAAGGATTGACGATTTGATATACTTAATAAGAAATTTTAAGTCCAGGTTTCCTCACGATGTTTTTGCTCCACCATATGTCAGTGGTGTCTAAATAAACTTAGAAAGTACATATAACATATAGGAAAAAGTCACATTGATGTTTTATATCAATGTGACTTTTTGACAGGAACCGAAGACTTCTTTCATAAGAAATAAACGAGCGCCTCAACTTTAGGGCCATACATACTAGGCTCCTAAAAAAATATATTTCTTTCGACTTGTGGCTTATTGAAACCTATATTATTGAGACTAGCCGTAAACCTATAGGACTTACATAGTCAGATGCTAAAGAATAACTCGTACCTGTATAATCTGCCAGGGTGTATTGAGTAGTGTTCGTTGTGCTCTCCTAATAAAACCACCTAACGTAGTTGCTGGACCAGTTTTGGGCGGTGGCATCATATCCTTGTCCAATTTACCTAAAATAATATGAAAATCAATTTAAAATACGTGTTGGTTCATTTTCGGAATATCAAATGCTAAAAATATGCCTTCCGAGACGACTTCCAGACTTACATCTGTTTAGCCAAATCCAAAATTCATCTTTAGCGTGGGCAGTTAGTTACATATCTTAACGATATATTAAACACATATTTTTTTTGTAATACCTCTCTTATTACGGTTCCGAAGACCACGCTGTTCCATCTGCCACAGCCACTTCTTCTTTTGGAACAATATCCACGCCTTTCTTTCAGCCTGGTAAAAATATCAGATCATTATTCCACTGTCCAAACACGAAACACTTTGACAGTAACAATAGAATGAAAACCTAATCATGGTCATCTTATACTGCATTAAAAATAAGGGCCATTAAAATTGTTGCTATGGAATTTATAACGTAATCTAAACACTTTATCTTTTCGTAGCTAAATCCCTTTATTGTACTTGTGTTATGTGAAGCAAATTCCAAACATAATTCTATCATAGCTTTTAGGACGTAACAATGGTGTACAATTGATTAAAGCGATAACAGGAACCAAATATGATTAATGATCTGAAAAGTACAATAAATATGAAAAAAATGTTTCTAGGACCTTATAGAAGACTTGTTTGCAAGCATGAAGGTTCAAAATGTATTTAAGGAAGCTTTACTTCTATTAATAATATTCCCTATACTAACCAGAAGTAGTATATTCATAAGAACCGACGAAGACACAGTGAGAGATCTCACAAGTTGTGTTAAGAAAATTCTTGAATCAATTGATTACAACAAATACGGTAACTATATGGACGTCACTTTTATGAACATTAATACCAATGTTATAAAACTGTCAGAACTTTACAAAGTAAAAGGACCGAGATTTATTTCTAGAAGATTCCATTGGAACCCTGACAACATAAGCAACATGGTCTACGTAATAACGAGTCAAGATTATAATGAATTAGAACGAGGATTCTGCAAAGTAACTTCCGACCTATACTGGAACCCAACAGCCACGTTCATCATAGTCATGGATAGCAACAAAATCACTGATTTACATTACCTCACCAAACTTCTACATAGATACAATATCTTTCATAGAGTCTCAGTGCTTTTGCGGTCTCACAATGATTACACGATTAATAGGTACAACTTTTCAACTCCCGGTCTTTGCTATCATCTTGGTCATCTAATGTTTTGGGCAAAGTGCTCGGATTTCATAGCAAATAAAACCTCACCTATATTAAGTCGCGGCAGTATTCGTAATTGTCGATTTACATTCGTCACTAGAAACATGTGGCCGTTCACCAACTTTGACTCGAAAACCGAAGGAATCGAACAGAATTTCATAACATTGTTCAAGAAACAGTTCGGGGTGAAGATACGACTGCAAGAATTCAACAAAGTCAACAGATTTGGGAGCGCCATGGACAATTTGACGATAATTATGAAGGAAAAAGTAGTGAAGGATGAAGTAGAGGGAGCTGTTGGAGGATACTCGATAGACGAACTGTATTTTGGTAACATTTCCTTTACTTACCCCATAATGATAGACCACATGTACTACATACTCGCTCATGCGAGCTTTGTAGATCAATGGTACGCAGTTCTATCTCAATCTACTAGTACTTACATCATACTGTTCCTTATATTCGTAACATTTTGCGTATCAGCCACGTTTCTATCCATATTCCAATCACGGAGCGATGTATCCCTGAATGTCCTTATTGTGTTCGGGTATTTTTTGAACAGAACCGCTATTAGACGCACTCCGACAGGATGGCCTCAGGCAATAATATTTTCGACTTTATTATTTACGGCATTAATAATCCCTTATGCGATACAGGCGAACCTGTTTAGTGTAACTACTCAGCCAGTTAGAGGGTACGAGCCGAAGGAACCAGAAGAATTGACAGACTATGCACCAGTTCTATACTCTGAATGGCAACGCAGAATTGATTTCCAGAACTATACTGATTGTGGGACTAGATTGGAATGTCTGTTTACGGTGAGAGACTCTCCCACTAAGACGCTCTACACGATCATGTCGTTTTTGCATTACTGGTTTTATCTGCCGCAGCTAACGGATGGGCATTGTAATGTAGCAACGTACGCGTTGAGGGAGCCTTACTTGACAGTGTTCAGTACTATATACTTGCGTCGCGGCTCTGTTTTAATGCGTCCTATGAACATGTTTATAATGCGAGCTGGTGCTACTGGTATCATGGAGAAGCATTTCGCGGATATATGTTACCGCGATAGGTTGAAGTGTCGTGTAAATCGACGCGAATCGCCATATAATCCTTTATCTACCACAGACTTCTTTTACGTGTTCATGTTACTTATATTTGGTTATTGTTTGTCTACTTTAGTATTTATTTTTGAAGTACGGGTTAGAAATAGAAATAATAATAATCGTCATCATAAATAAAGCCTATGTTATCATTCAATCCAATTGTAAACTTTGCTGAACAGGTGGAATAATTCTCATCTTACTCTATCAATAAATGTCAATGATTTCATTTTCAAAAATTTTAGCTATTATATTAATTAATTTAAATAAAATGTTAAGCTTTAGGACATGTGGTTTTATATTAATTACTACTTTCTAGTTTTAAGCCAAGTTGGCTGCGTGACGTGTCCTCATAACTGTGAACCCCGTGGGTGACTTGAAACTAGTCGAGTCATTCCGTCAGTCGTAAAAAAAATGTGATAAAAATAATGCTACGGTACCTTTGTAGTTCCAAAAGGAGGGGGTGGTCCGAGCGCCTCCCGCCAGTTCTGCGCCTCCTTAGCCGGCGACTCCTCACGTTTCCGTTTCACCGTGTGGACTATCGGACGAATTGTGTTATCCTTGACACTGCTATCCTTACCTATATCTTCTATGTCTACATCTATAGCCTATGAATGACAAAAACAAATATTAATTGCCTGAGGAAGACGTTATAAGTGCTACTGGGTTTACTGTGTCAATCAAGATGCATATCACTTATTTTTGTGGGGAGAAAATTATCGAATGATTTCTTTCAACCTGAGTGCAGCTAAAAGATGTGGCAAGACTCATAGTAACTTTAACCATCTCTTAACAAGCCCTTTTTTGTGAGGGGAAAATCATCAAATTACTTCTAGTAGTAGAGAGGGAATGTCAGACTCTTACTGACTAAAAACGCCCCCGTTCATTCTCCTGCTCTGGGCCGAGGTCGCGGTGCCTGCGCTTACCCCGCAACCCCGGCTGAACATCAGCCGTATAGGGCTGTGAATCTCGTCACAAGCCTAGATACATCATTGCGGCATCGGCATGATACATAGGCCTAAGGATGCATCCAACCAATTTATTTTAATCGCTTTAATAAAAGCCCATTCGTCCTCTCAATGTGAACGAAAAAGGTCATTTTTAGTTAGTCTACCGACACTCACGGAATTGCCATCACCACTTGTGGACGGTTCCTCTTCATCATCAGACGTGTCCTTGATCTGCTTAGGTTGTACACTGAACATGTCAGTAATCTTCCTCGTCTTGAACTTGTCAGTTTTGGCCAACATCTTCTTGTGGAGCCAGTCTGGATACTGACAGCGAGGTACTGGGTTGTCCAACTAAGAAAGGAAGAAAGAAAAAAATCAATCGCATTTCTAAGAACAAATTAAAAAACGAAGTACAACTAACTTAAGTATTTGGAAGAATCAGTAAACTGAGAAATGTCTTGACATATTCTTGACTAGGCTACAACATGTATTTTTAAGTCTGCAATAAGTATTATAGCCGATATTTTAGTCCGAGTATTTTTCTCCATTCAGACATGCCATTAAACAAAACAAGATCTTTTATCCACCCGCAATTCATATATTCACAAAACAATACCTTTCATTGGTTTCCAAACAAGAATTTTTAACTTTAGTTTCTTTGGCAAATGAAAGGACTCAAAGCACTATTTCAAAAACATTACAAATCTAAAATACTACTCACGCCCTGCATAGCAGCTGGTATAGTAATAATCTTCTGTATAGCGCCGCTGAGCCTCTCAATATAGTAGCCCCAGTCCAGAACATCCCTGATATCTATATCCTCTGTGATGCTGTTGTCCTTCAGCCATCGTCGCAGGTGGTGTCGCTTTACTCCCGCTGGAGACTGAAAGATGGCCAGGGGGATAGCTCGCTCAGTTACAGGAGCACCTTCGGGCTTTTTTGATATTATGAACCTGATGGGAATAATGTCTTCATTAGTGCTTGTGCTTTATGTAGAAGAGAGTTGGATGTGTGAGGTAGGTAGGTTAGTAAGCTATTATCGAAATAAAAGAAATCTGTAAGCTTATCTGCATTTAGGATTTAAAGAAATCGTATCTGTGTTAGAATTCTAATAAACTACCAAGAACAAAAATTACCCAGAATTATGTCTAATTTCATAATGTCACTACCTATTTCTTGTGCAAAAATTTTGTTCAAACATCTTATTAACATATAGTTCATATTTTACATATACCTAGTTAGTAGTATTGTCTAGAAAAGTCTAGAAGTACCATTTATCATCATCCTGTTCAGTAAAGACATAGGGTACAATACTAGGGTTTCATGTAGTGTCGTGTAGATATAATGAGAAACACACATACATTTACATACATACTCAGAAACGTAATAGGATAACTTTTTATGAACAAACCTGCAAGCTAACCCAGCGTCCTTGACCATCTGATCACCCAGGAACTCAGCCAATCTTTTTGCAGTGGAAATGGACGTGGACTTCTGTCCTCCATAATCCTCAAGCTTTTTGGACATGGATCTGTTCTCGGAGATCAGCTCGAAGAGTTCAGAGTCGGGCATATTGCTGCCCTTGCTGTATAGAACGTCTAGCCAGTAATCTGCGACCTTAGCGACGGCACTGTAGCAGGATTTTAGGTCATTCCCCTTTAAAAAGGCTTCAAAAACTGATGATTGGAAGATCTTGATCAGTTGTAACTCTCCACGGCGTTTTACTTCGAAACCTAATAGGAGAATAGTATTATAAGCTTTATAATTTTCCCTATTTTAACCTTTTCGCCGCCCAGCTATACTAAACACGATGTGTCGCCGTACGCCAACGTATAAATGTATAGTACGAAAGTAGGGATGGCGGTAACATCATGTCGATAATGAAAAAAAATATGTGTAAATTTAAATTGGTACTCAAATTTACAATTAAAAATACAAACTGTTAAGTTATAATGGTAATTTGTTTTATTTTATGAACATTTATACTAAGAAAAATGGGTATCCGTTATCAGAGATGAAGATACATGCATAGAGTTGCTAGAGATAATAATAATAATTCGTAACATTAGCCACTTCACTATTCATTTCATAACGTAGTCTGTTTACTTCATATCAAGTCATTGGCGTTCAAAGCACGATACATTTCGTAAGGAATAGTTGTCTATGCTTTTCTTTCTTTTTATCGAGTTTGGTTTGCTTTTGGTTTTAGTTTACATTTAAAATCTAACGTCAGGTCACGATGTGCTTTCCCATTCAACATCAAAGTCGGAATCAGGTTCCACACCTTGTAACAGCCGCAACAACTCATCCGAATCATATTCGGTCATTTTGCACTGCACTGGGAAAGAAAAATGTGCGTGCACGCGTCGCCCGGAACTATGACACAATGACCTTGACGCCTAAGCGCTTACGACGTCACAGGTTTACTTCTATTGAAGTTGACGGCGCTAGTGTCACTCGACATCTTACCATTACGTAGAGATGGGTCTAGCAATATCGAAAACCCTTAGTACATAATAATTAATTTTAATGAAATGATTTGATAGGTAGATTTACATTAATTTTGAAACGCATTGTAATACGTTATTTACTGACCGGAATTTCTTTTTATTCATAGAATTCAAAAAACTATTGGATGGAAAAGAAAACAAATATTATAGTAAATAAAGATTCTAATGAATGCTCCTTACGCGTCACATCACTGGCCTACTTGATATGAAGTCGTTGGCTTGCGGGATATAAAATTATTTGAAACCTTTTATGTTTTACCTTTTTAAAACAGAAAATAGTCTGTTTTGCATGAGAAAAAATAGTTCGTCGTGTCCATATTACAAAATTACAAAGAAACAAATGTTTTATGTATCGTAAATGTATTTTTTATAGTAGGTAGATACAATGAACTTCTATAGAAGTAGTGGCGTGGACTGCACGAAAATCCTGAACTTCTATAGAAGTTGTTGGCGGCGAAAAGGTTAACATGTTGTTCGGTGCGCTTGGATTTTCCGAAATAGGAAACACTATGTCACAAAAAAAATTATAGATTTGGGATCACAGTGCGAGACATGATAATATAGGAACTTTGAGGAACTGTTAGGAGTAATTGAATCAACAATTTTGGCACACAGAAATAAGTTTCCGTAGTGTAGCGGTTATCACGTGTGCTTCACACGCACAAGGTCCCCGGTTCGATCCCGGGCGGAAACAGCTGCTTTTTGCATAACATATTAAAGGTTTTGCCTTTAGAATATTTTATTAAAAATATAAAAGTCCCTAATTATTTAAAGAAATAAAAAAAAAAAAAAAAAAAAATATTTTATTAATATTTTTTGAACATTTTTAAATTATATTTAATTGATAGAAGATGGAAATAATTACGAACCTTTTAGTTCAGCCAATGATCCGTCAAAGTTGAAAACGGCATATCTCTTCTTGAGTTTCTTGCCTTCTTCTTTGGAAGCTGGTAAGACCATAGCCAGGTATGGACCATCTACTTCAAAGAATATAGAGTTCTCGGCCCTTTTTTCATATTTTTTTTCAACAGGATCCACAAGTTCAAAATATTGGTCGTTAGTGAAATGGTCCTGAATAGTAACAAAAAAAGATTTTTGAACACTTAATTTTACTAAAACGACAATATTTAAATAACGTCACGCCTCTTGAGGTTAACTTTACATGATTTATTAAGGGGTAAGCAGAGGTACTACGAAAATTACATAACATTAGAATTCCTTATAGTACTGAGTTAGCCTGCTGTAACCCATATATAATTCCAGACTCCGTGATTACTGAACTTTGACGTTTTTAAAAAACCACTAGAAAATTTTGCTGTATTCTAAAGCAAAACCCGAGTTCAACATTAATGGAAAGGGACGTCAGAGAAAATAAGTAACACTAAGTATGTAGTAGTAGTAATAACAATATGAAAATTATTCAGGGTTTTCTTGAATTGAAGAATCGGTATTTCTATACTTATACTAATATTCTACAGAGGTAAAATTTGTAAGTTTAAGTTTGTATGTAGGGGGATATCTTTGGAACCACTAGTCGGATTCCCAAAATTCTTTCACTTATTGGTAGCTACAATGTTCCCGAGTGCGATAGGCTATAAAACATCACGCTACAATCAAATGGAGCCGAGCAGCGAGTAACTAGTTTTACAATAAAAAGTTTTTTTATAGTTGTTGCATACTCACTTTGACCATAGCGTTGAGTACCGCGTTCGGGAAGGAGACGTTGATTTTCTTCTTTTTCGCATGTGTTGTTAAGACGGTCACGTTCTCAGGGAACGAGGAGGGCAGGATACACCAAATACCTATAACACGAAAGTATTCTTACTCGAAATTGTTGATTGAATAGTGTATTTTGCGATTCTTATTTTATTGTCTGGATAAAGTGTAAAGAAATATAATCAATTCGCAAGATCAGTTTAAAACTCTCCTATTCGTTCGGAAAATAAAGAAGAAAGAATACATAGCTTAAACCCCTTGGTAGTAAAAGAACTACCGAAAAGAAAGTAATCTTTTATTAAAATGAAGAGTTCCTAATTTCAGACATTAACACATTCAAATCAACAAACAAACTCTTCCACTTTCTAAAGTCAGTGTAATCTACACTGTAAAACAGGGTAAAAATTCAATGGAAGTTTTTTTTATGTAAAAAGGTTTTTAAGTATTAATGACTTACCGTCAGTATCCAATTCCAGAGGTCTCCCAACTTGCTCGATGATTTCTCTGGCTTTCATAATGATATTAGCGCCAGTGTAGCACACTATGCCGGCCATCTCCATGCTGTGCCAGCGAGCACTGCCACCACCGACATTATCCAATTAATATTATGCCAAGGATTTATAATTTTATACTATATAAAAATCACTACATAGTATAAAACAAAGTCGTTTTCTCTGTCCCTATTGGCTATGTGCAAAGCGAGTAGTGGCGGACAGATAACGACCGCAGCGCACAACACGGCAGAAATTGGAAACAAATGCGGATGATCAGCTGGAGGTTTTATTACAATCATTTTACAGTAAAACTATTGAATAAATTGTACTTAAATAATGTCAACAATACTATTTTAATCTTTGGTTTTATTTATATTTGCAAAGAAAATTAATAAAATTATAATGTTTAAATTATTATTATTTGACAGCTTCCGCAAATGTTGTAAACGGTACGCGTCGCCACCATCGCGCACATAGCCAATAACCCTATGTATGCTTAAATATTTAAGACTAAGCAACGGATTTTGATAACATTTGAGGAAGTATAACTAACAGCCGTTAAATAGGTGAGAAATTCAGTATTAGCATTGCACCTTATTTTCTGAAACTGAACTAGACTACTTTGTTTCACATTTCAACTTACCCTCTCCTCATGACATATCCATAGAACGAGTTCAAGATACACTTGTGTGCAAGTTGTAACGAGTCGTACAGAACTTCGCGACTCTTGGCCGACTTGATCTCGGCCGCGTCGCCGCTCGCCACCGCCTCGGCCACTTTCGCCTTGGCTTGCTTGTTCAAAGCTTTGTACTCGTAACGACGATCCCTACAAGACAAAATAAATGCAATTCAAATAAAGATTCAATATATTGGCAGTTATTTTCAAATGCGGTTACCGCTGTAGGATATGATCCCTATGACAATTGTTTTTACATATCCCCCACAATAATAACGGTTAACCGGCTGCAGCGCCACATTTTGCGGGTTTGATTCCCGCACGGAACCACTTTTTGTGTGATACACAAATTACTGTTTAGGGTCTGAGTGTCATGTGCATGTGAAATCGTATGTTCATAAACGCACCCACGACACAAGAGAAAATCCGAAAGTAGGGCAACGATTTTAATAAAACGAAAAAGAAAAGAATAAGAGCGGTATGCTCTGAGCTTTTTTTGAGGGAGGATAATCAATAAATGACTATTCTTGCGGGACGAGAAATCAGAAGAAGACTCTTACTGACTAAACACTCCTTCTACTAAGCATAGCCAAGGCCGCAGAAACTACTTGCGCTTGCCCGCAACGCCTAAGCGTATGAAGTGTTTACGCATTTGTTGGTATTGATTGATAATTTCATAAGCAACCTGTATTTACTTTGTATGTACGTACATTGGTTTTTCCGACGGTTTCTACTTACCATTTAATTACATAGCAAGTAGTTTATATGTATTTCTTTCACAAACTATTTAGTTACTTTTTTACCTGAAAGCTCGCACAGTATCGACGTAGAATGAGTTCTCTTTCTGACATATAGTTGTGGTTCTGACTTCTGTCCTTGTAACCTTGGTCTTCTTGTAAGCCACTCTGCAGTAGTCAGCTAACCGTTTCTTCTCATACGCCGCCTTGAATGAATATTAAAAATGATTTAATGTTAGAATATGAACATCTTTCTTTACGCTTTTGCACATAAAACGTGATTTTTGGGGAACAAAAATCAAAAAGACCTACATATGTGTATATATTGAATATTTCAACTTTATTGTCACACGTCTATGAGTTATATTTCCCTACTACAATATTAGTATAGTCTTTGAAGTTTATGATCACTGACCTGATCTTCTTTAGGTAAAGCATGGAAAGCCCTGGTAGGTCCACCAGGGTGTAGAGGTGGGAACTTCTCAGTTTCTAGCTGTTGCTGAATGCGCTGGTACTCGCTCCTCGTCGCCGGTACTAAAAGAAAGAGAAAAAAATATTAACAAATATAGATATTAAAAAAAAAAAACTACGTTTAAAGAAACCGACTTCAAAAACAAAAAAGTGTCAAATAAGTAATTTAAATTGATATTTTAATACCACTCTAACGTACGCGAAGCTAATACTTTTAATATTAATAATAAAACACTATCAATTCTATGTGCTACCTATTCATAGATTTAAAGTCCATATACATAAATAAAAAAAAAAAAAATACTCGTCGAATTGAAAACCTCCTCCTTTTTTGAAGTCGGTTAATAAATAACAATAATTTTTTTATCATACACATAATTATATCAAGTAAGCGCGTTTTGCCCTCTTATTGGTTGGATAACTTAAAGCAGGCAAATCAGAGTCGAGAGAGTCATGAAAAACGTGTCGAACATCAGTCGAGCCCTAGCCTTATTAATCCAGTGTCTTAATTCTTGTGTAATAAAATCGAAAATCTATTGACGTTTGAGTTCAGATTGGCAGTTAGAAGTTATTTTAGAATTTAAAATTAAGACTTTTCTCACAATAGTCTCCCCGCCACATCCATTCCATATGTCTCTGGCAGTCTGCGCCGGGCCGGTTGTAGTCACAGACGGCACAAATACCCGTGTTCACCATGGCTGACGGTTGTAATCTAACACAAAAAATAAATAATTGACATTAACAATCTATCTGTTTAATGATGCATAAATCGACTGTGGCGCCACCTATTACTAAAAATTAGCAAAATTAGCGGTTAGATTTCTAATTTCGTGTACCTATGTATATCATGTACATTGACATTGATACATGACATATTTAAGACTACTACTAATTAAAGCAAATATACCTCACTGTTTAAATCAATTTAATCTCTTGTCAAGTCATCTGATTGGTTGACTGAATTATCAACAACAAATCAGATGACCTGACAAGAGATTTAACAGGAGATTAGTTAATTTTAGCGTCGACAAGCCTTCAGAAACCGGTTGTAATAGTACTAAGACAAGTAGCAAAAAAGTATAACAAAATCAAGTAAATTGAACATTAAGTATTCAATCTTCGGTCGTAGAAAAAGGCGTAATTTTGCCACATATTACCTGTTAGTTAAAATAATATTAGGATACATAGCGCCGACGTCCAAATGGTAGATCAATGGGTTTTCATCTCTCCTCGGATGATCTTTCATATGTTGTAGCTTCGCCTTAATTTCCGCACAAACTTCATCGAAGTTCGTCACCAAATCCAATGGGATCCCCTCCTCTACCTCAATAGCGTGTTTCATTGTTTTCTCTGTGGTTTCCATCAGTTTGTCTACAGCTGAAGGCACTATTTTAAACTTGCATTTGATATCTGCTCTGAATACACCTGTTAAAAATTTTTTTTAGATTATTCAGACACCGCACTTGACATCAACATGTTGATGGAAAAACATCGAGAGGGAAACTGGGCGTACAATTTCTAATCACAAGTTTGAAATCGCCAATCCACCTTGAACAAGGGTGGTCATTAATGCTCAAACCTTTCCGTGTAAGAAGAGGCCTTTACTCAGCAGTGGGCTGTTATACGCTGATGATGATGATGATATTTTTTTTTTACTTGCTATAAACTAGTGCTTGACTACGATCCCACCTGATGGTAAGCAGTGATGCAATCGTTGATGGTAAGGCGCACTAGTTTATGAAGAGCCTATTCACTTTAGCCTTGAAGACACCTAAATTGTATTCGGACGGAAAGACTGCCGCCGGCAAACTGTTCCAATCCCTCGATGTACGCGGTATAAATGACGAGGCTAGTCCGGGCCGCAGGTGTCTCAACAACGTAAGGGTGGATATTCGCCGTACGCCGGGATGTCCGACGGTGAAATTGGGATGGCGGAATCAAATCGTGCAATTCCTGAGCACACTCTCCAAAATGCATCCTGTAGAAAACCGCGAGGCTGGCTACTCTGCGCCTGTGCTTGAGACTTTGAAGATTGGACCCAACCAAATCTGGATCACCAATCAGCCTCTTTGCACGCCTTTCCACTGAATCCAAAGCCGCTAGGTGGCATTTTGCAGCACCAGTATCTCTCTACAACTGTGCTATCATCTGTATACCCAAGGATACCAGGCACTAGCAGATCATTAATGTATATTTTCTAGATAATCATTTATGTAAGTATTATTTCGTCAGTTAAAGGACTGGTTATTTACAAAGGGGTCTGTACCTAGTTCCATTTTTATTCGCACACACAGCAGAACCAGACTTTGAACATCAATTTCGTACGTAGTCAAACCTTCGAAACTTTCTACTACAGCCACAGAAGTGACACAGTTAACTGGGAAAATAAACCTTATTGCAAATGCATACTAACCAGATTCAAGTGCCTCCACGTGTCCCCCTACATAAGTCTCAGTCTCCAGTACATGTCCATCATTTGTCAATTTGTTTAGCTCCTCAACTTGTTTGTTAGGAAACACAATGTTCGCGTGGAAAGCTTGAACCATAAGTAAAGACTCGCATAGCGTGCCAGAACCCTTGCGGAGTACCTGCAAAGGAATTTTAATTTTATTAATGAGACAAAGGGTTTATTTTTATTACAAGAAGAAAAGGACATTGAACTTACCTCGTCAGGTTCCAAAGGAATAATAGTACACAGCGCAAATATGAAGGGGTGGACATATTTCATGTACAAATAATATGTAGCCACCGCGTCGGACACCGAATAGTTTGACAACACCTATCAAAATAAATAAATAATTTATAATAGGCAGGTATCGTTTAACATTTCATCGTTTTTTATAATAAAAAATGATTTTTGCGCAATAAACACATAGTTGCGCTAAAGTTGCGCAAAAAAATTATGGACACAAGTTTTGGTACTTACCTGAGGTTGTTCTGCCGCCATCCTGCACATTTCCTCGGGATCTAATTCCACAGGGTCGTATCTTAATTTAGCTTTAGCCACGGCTTTTAAACCTTGTGAACCCACTGGTAGATACGAATCTCTTTTTACCCAACTTGAAAAGATATAGAATAATGCTATTGATCAGTTTGCTTCATAATGGATTAATTAAATGTGGTCTTTGTATTCAAGCGTGCGTCAATTACTGGGCCCTTTTAGGCGTGTTTAATGATGAAAGCTCTTAGTAAAAGCACAAAATCGGACCCGTAAAGTTACTGGGAAATAGTTGGTAACTAAGATATGTAAATATTTCCCTTACCACAAGCAATCCATATGCATAGCGGGTCGACATGCGTATGTTCCATCCCTAGCCGCTATTTTACTAAAACCTATTTCTTGTTTCATATCTAAGCCAAGGACAGCCGCACGCGCTTCCACGAACGGCCAGTCGAAGAAATCACCTAAAACAATTCAAAATATAGTTACTGCTAGATCCAAATCTGGAAGATTGAGATCCCATTAAAAAGAATAAATATAAACAAAAAAGTTTATATCAGTAGGTGAACTGAACTATAAGTTGTTGGTTCAAGTCAGTCACTTCAATATCATAAATTCCTTCAGTGAGGGAGTACTATGTTTTGGTACGAATGGGCAGCATCGACCGGACCACGCCTTAATAGAAAAGCGGCATGAAACAACCACAGCGTTGTATTCCGCCATGTGTGTGACTTTGCCAAAGCCGAAACTTACCGTTGTAAGTGACAAAAATATGTGGTTTAACATCCATTATGTGATCAAAAAACTTTTGTATCAAAGCTAGCTCGTTTTCTTCATTGAACACAATAAACTGTCTGAAATAAGAAACATAATTATGATCAAAAGTAACAAATTCAAATGTATGAAACCAGTATTTGATGTTCTGGAAGTTATTAAAAACTAGTTGTACAGTAAAATATACTGACCCCTCAAATTCCGGCTTAGGTGTATACTCGAAATCTTCGACATCTACTGAAATAATTTCTCTATTTGTAATTAAATATCCTTGACCATCAATCATGTATGATATCATCATGATCTGATCAGTTTGTGAGTCCGGAAATTTCAATGGCAATTTAGTTGTCTCTATATCAAAGGCCAATACTATTGGATCCGGTCTTTCTATAATGTCATCTCGTTTTGTGAATATTGGTGTTTCAGTACCTCGGCTTTTGACCGTATACCAGGTACCGCAAAATATTTGCATGTCTATTGATACACGGACATGGTAAGGAACATCATGTTCTCTGGAAGTAGTACAAAATAAATTATATACTATAAGGAATATTTATTGCTTTTCATACTTCAATCATTTTTAAAAAAACACACAAGATAACTATGTGTCCTTCAATGACAATTTAGTCAAAAAAGTTTGATAACAAATAGAATTGAAACTTTTTCTATGAACACTGTAAATGTACCTGATATCAAGAATGTTCTCCATGTGATCAGTAGTCTTCTTAGCATGTTCAATGGCTGCTGCACTAGTCAAAGCATTCGTCAACATCTCCGCATAAATCTGGTCTTTCTTTTCTCTTTCTTTATTTTTATTGACAGCAGTGAGTATTTCTCTACGTACTTTCATCATTTCATTTTGGGACATGAATGAAAGTTTTATATACCGCTGTTTTAAGCCAGATAAGTGATTTAACTGTAAGAGTAAGAAAATATGACAAAACCAAGCTTATTCAAAACAATTTCTCATTACAATACCAGGTTACCAGAGGCCCTTGGTAGCCAAGGATTCGCCTTTTACAGTTTTCAGCAGTCAAAAGCTTAGTAACATTCCGAACCTGACAAAACTGTCTACATGGAATCTTAAAAAATTTTACACATTCATATGTATAAAGCATTAATATGTATAAAATGTTAATACTTACCAGATCCAAATCTTCTTTCTCAATAACAGTTATCTTGTGGATAGTCCCTGCAAACCTTTTGGAAAGGAACTGTATCACTTCCTGTTCACACTCCTTGCGTGCCAGGATTAGAAAATATGGTTGGAAAGTCAGAGATATTTTGAACCGAGACCCATCCATCTCTATAAAGTAGTAATCCATTGCTGCCACAAGTCTTTTATCCTCATCTAGAATTTCAGCCTAAAAATGTAAAAAAAAAATCTAAATAAACAATAAGATAAATGAACAGTTAGTTTTCCTGAACTATTTCTTCGAATAGAATAGTTAGATAATTGAATGGATCATTTTGTGAGGAAGACTACAGGCCATAAAATCTCATGCTATGATCAACAGGAGCTGAGCAGCCAGGCGGGAATAGGAAATCCAATAATATTAAAAATGTGAAAGTAACTCTGTCTTTATGTCTGTCTGTCTTTTCTTAACCCCTAAACTACTGAACCTATTAGTGTGAAATTTGGTACAGACATAGTTTGGAACTCAGGAAAGAACATAGGATAGTTTTTTTAACCAAAAATCTGCAGAATGTCACTATTCCACACGAACAAAGTCGCGTGCAATGGCTAGTTATAAATTAAACCAGCATTAATTCATTTATAGTCAAATTTATAGAAATTTTATTTTTGTTAACAAATTTTGCATATCTAGAAAAATTTTTGAAGCACTATTTTTATTCAAAATAAAAAATATAAGGATAGGAAGCAGGAAGTATTTTATATGGAGGTAAACAAACCAGTTGTGTACTTACTGTATGCATATTTATCAAGTAGCCAGTCCTTTCTTTGACATCACGTACTCTGTCGAAACCGTACTTTGAGTCAATTCTGTCATTCTCCAGGGCTATACGAATGCGAGACTCAGAAGACTCCTCTCTTTAAAAAACAAAATCGTAAATTAACCTGTGAAGTGAATCTACACTCTACAGTATTCCACCCATTTTACTTACCTGGGTCCATTTGACGAGCCAGCGTCTTTTTTATTAGATTCCTCCCTATCTGCTCTATACTTTCCCGTATTTTGAAGCACCATAATTTTGTTATTTTTTTAAGAAATAAATAAAAAATCCACCGTTTTTGAAGTACCACTTCGTTGACATATTAACATTTGCTGAAACTGTCATATTTTCGCGCCATTTACAAAACTTTCTGACCACAGATTCAAATTACTTCAAGTCAGTTTTATAACCATAGTCTACTATTGCCCAGGAATCACATTGAACATTTTTTTAGGTTAAGTTTTGTTTCTGCGATTTTATTTGTTATTTAGTAATAGAGGACTCATAGAGTAAGTAAACCTTCATAGGACTTAGAGATTTAGAGATAGGGTGGACCTACCCATTGAAAAATTAAATCTACTACGATCGAAGAGTTCTTATGGTCAAAACAAAGAATACTCCAAGGGTCTAAGGAGGTAACCATATGATATGTATTATCTATGGGGGTAACCGTCAGAAACTCATGTCAAAAGTGTGATCAACATTGACAGAAACACATACCTACCTAAAGTTACTATCCTGGTCTATCCTAACTTGTATTAAATGTGTAAAACTGTAAAGTATAAATCCGAAGACTTCCTTCGTATCGTTGATATAATAAGAAACATTTACAATGGATCGGTCTTATGATATTAGCTATAGTAGCTATGAAGATATATCTACTAATTCGACTAGAAAAGGTGATATTAGCATCAGCGAGCAACTTGCCGGTTTCGAAAGGTTACGTGTGTCTGCTCTGACAAAAGCGGCTGAAATGAGTCCTCTTATAAAAGAAGTGACCATAGGCCCAAGGAGTCCACAAAAAAAGGATGTAAAATTAGTTAAAGAACCAGAAAAAAATCCAAAAGAAGAAAGTAACGGCGAAGACTTGATAGAGGACAAATTACGTCAAGACCTTCGATACACACTCATTATGAAAAAATATGAAAACGAATTGCGAGAAGCGTCTTTGGAAAACTTCAATATTTTGTATGAAAATATGAAAACGAAACGAGCAGAAATTATGACAAAGTTGTATGCACAACAACTTGAAGATTATAAAAGACAGGCATTAGAGCGAAAAGCACGTAAAATTGAAATGCTCAAGAAGTTACAGGATAATGACAATCAAAATGTCTTAAATAAAGCTCGTTTAGATGAACAAAACAGTCAAATTATCAACACACAAACTATTGAAAATATGAACAGAATAATTGAAGAACAAAACAAAGCCACTGCTAGATCAGCTGCATTAAGTGAAAACTTTACTAAAATATGTGAGTGCTACAAAGAAATATCAAACATTTTGAACATTGAACCTCAAGCTCAGAGCATCTGTGATAAGTACTCTACTGCAACAAAAACAGTAGTGGATAATATTTATAATATCATACAAATATGTAAAACAAGTGGAGTATCTGATAAAGATGTGAAACAAGCTGAGATTCTATACATGAACATAGAAAACATAAAAGGCAAGATCTTAGAAGAAATTGAAATAAGTAAACAACTCGAGGCCTTGAAGAAAGAAAAAGAAAAGGAAGAACTGTTAAGGAAAAAACAGCAAGAAGAAAGGGAACAAGAAAACCTTAAAGCAGCAGAAATGGCAGCAGCAGCCGAAGCAGAAAGACTGAAAAGGGAACAACCTAAGAAGTCAAAACCGTTATTTTATTCTGCAAAAAATTATGAATATTATGAAAAACTTAAAAATGAACTGGAACAGTACGAAGCACAATATAAGGACTTACTACAGGATAACAATTACAAGAAGTTCAGGTTTGATTGTCAAAAAGCAGTTAACACTCCAGTGAATGCATTATCATCAGTCAGTGCTGTGCACATGAGGGACAAGTATGACAAACTTTCAAAGTTACTGAAAGGAGAAAGAGTGCAAGTATTGGACACTCACATAACAGCAACACAGCATCCTCAAGGATTGTTCTATTGCACAGCATTGCTAGCAAAGAAAATTGTGAGGCAAGGAGATCTCCTGGTATCCAGTAATACAGAAGCTGCTTACCCATTAGCTGCTGTTACTGTTGCTTTGTGGTCTCAATTCCCACAATTTGGTAGACTAGTTGAAGCAAACTTTCACAGATATTGCCCCTATTTGGTACCTATGTACTTGCCTCAGAAAGAGGGACAAACAGTCCAGGAGTTCTACTTATCAAGAGGTTACACATACACTGATGGAGTAGTAGAAAAACAAGACAAGTTCCTCAAGAGAATGTCCGGCATATTCAGGTTACGATGTGCTATATGGATTGCTTCAATGCCCAAGTTCATAAACATTTCAAATCCTAATGGTCTTAGATATGGATGGCAATGGCTAGCATCCTTTTTAAACTTAAAACCTGAACCAGATATTTCTGCAACATTAGTGCATGATTTCTTTATCATCTGTGGTTCCAAATGTGATAAACATTATGGTAAACAATACAGAAAAATATTGGAACTCACAAACAATCAGTATCTTAAGGTACTGGAAAATATTGATGAAGGAGGACCCAAGACAAGGTTGGAGGTTTATTTGCAATCTGTTATGCAATCTAATGTACCAGCACCCCCAGAATCCACCAAAATAAATTGGTGATATTTAGTCATAGATTATTAGAATTTAAGTTATGAAGTTTTGTAATGAATTAGTGCAACTTAACTCTGTATTGATTATGAAAGTATTTTATGCATAAAATTAAATAAAACTGATTTTGCTAATGATTATGTCTAAGTAATTTAAAGTACAAAAAAAGGGATTATGTTTGGTTTCTAATAAATGATTATTGACTGCATTTTATTTGGCAAATATGTTTCTATTACTACCCACATTCTCACTTTCTATTCTCTAATGAATAATTTTATTAGATTCATATTTAATAAAATTATTAGAGAAAAGAAACCTCTTTAAATGGCTGTCGTATCAGGCCCCTCTTTTAGAAGTGCCTAAAAAATTTGCATGGCGACTTAAAGCTGCGCCTGACTCAGGTGTTTACCGAATACGAAAGCATTGGTAGGTACCTGTTTTGGGTATAATTATGGGGATCGTCGAATTACGGAAATCGTCTGCCGTGCCAAATTAGTGTATGGCGGAACAAGTTCCAGTGCGGCTTCATGACAGAGTGGAAGTAACGACTGTCACAACCGAGGGCCGGGCACGCTGTTATAGCAGGGATAAGACCCCCTCTTTGAGGAGTGGATTAAGAGAGTCTATGGCATCCTCACCTTCCGCCTGACGCAGGTACTTACCGTGTATGGCGGCATCGGTAGGTTCCTGTTTCGGATTCGAATTCCATTAGTTATTCCGAGGGTCGTCATTATGAGGACCATCCAGAAAATACGGTGAAGCATACGTGGTGGGGTGCCTTGGGCTGGGCACAGCCATGTCCTCAGGAAAGTAATCGGCGGGCGGCGACCTTTCGCGCCCGGCTTTAGTCGAGGCTATGGTACAGAGCGAGAGGAACTGGGAAGAAAGAGGAGACCTCTTTCTGTAAAGCAGTTATACTTGCAAAGAAGTGAGGGTCCTTCTTCTCACGCCCCAACTGTCGCAGTAGGCGACACTCCGGGCGTCGGGGATCAAGAGACGATCTCCGGCCAACGTACGCGCGACGGCGAATAAGGGTCTAGTCACTCATTCCATCTCGGGCACTCTGGGCAGGAAAATCCGCAAATGATATTCATTTGCGGATTTTCCCCGACCAAAACAGGTACTTGTTTCGGAACCGGGGCGGGAGAGGAAACGCCTGGGTCTCCGAATAATGGAAACTTTCTGGAGGAGAGGGTGGAGCACATTATAAGATGAGTGGAGTATACGGTGATAGTGTGCTCCACTTACTGTGAAGTGATCGGCGACGGTGACTGCTCGCGCCGGAGCCTTAGTCGAGGCAAGTGCAAAGCAAAAAAGGAGGCGGAGCGCGTAAGGAGTGAGTTTCGTCATTTTATAATTTCTTAAATTATACTAAACATACCTTTGTGTCTAAAATAAAACTGAACAGTAGCCGTTGTTTGCGGTTGCGAAGCTGAACATCAGCTCTATTGGATCCATCTGTAGTGCTCTGTTGGCTAAATAAGGCTCCTCTAAAATTAGTGTATTCTAATGTAAAATACTGAAAGACATACTGAAGCTAAGCTTAAGCTAAACCATACAACAAAAAATATTACCTTACTGTTTACTTATTGATTACAGATTATTTGTTTACCATTAAGCTACGTATATTTTGTAATGGGCTTGAAGCACTTAGTATTTGTTTATTTTAAGTTTTTATTTAGTTGTTTTTTTATATTTTGAAAACGTATGCTGTCGTCAAAAAAATATTTTTGATATCTTTAACTAAAAAGGCTGGTATCCAAGTTAACAAATATATTTAATGATGACAAGTAAAGTATGACAACCCTACAAAAACTAACCTACGAATGATGCGTTTGATGTTGTTGTGTCAATAAAGTGGATTTTAAGAGAACAATAAATAGTCAAGTTTCTGTACGATGCCGCCGCCACCGCCGCCAGGACCAATGGGGACTGGTACCATGCCCCCGTCACCTATGGGTCCACCTGGGGCTGTACCGCCACCTGTAACTTCATCTAGCGCTCCTGCGGCCGTTCCGCCTGCGATGCCTCCTTCAATGCCACCTGCAATGCCTTCTGCTATGCCTCCTTCAATGCCACCTGCAATGCCTTCTGCAATGCCTCCTTCAATGCCTTCTTCAATGCCTCCTTCAATGCCTTCTTCAATGCCTTCTTCAATGCCTTCTGCAATGCCTCCTTCAATGCCTCCTACGATGCCGCCTGGTATGGGACCACCACCGGGAATGATGGGAATGGGTCCGCCTCCTCCTGGCATGGGACCACCGCCTCCACCAGGTATGGGGCCCCCTCCAGGTATGGGAATGGGGCCACCTATGGGACCTCCGGGTATGGGGCCGCCAAGAATGCCGCCCAATATGATGCGTGGACCTAACATGAAAAGTAACTTCGGGAACCAAGGAATGGATATGGGTCCACCTGGAATGGGACCACCACCTAATATGCCCCCTATGGGCTGGGAGGGTCAAGGACCTGCGGGCTGGGGAAGACAGGATGGTCCACCTGGTTGGGATGATCAGGTAGAGGAAGGAGATGAGGATGAAGTTGAAGGAGATGATTCCAGTGGAATGCACGGACCTCCATCAAGCTTGCCATCCCTGCTGACTATGAAAATTGATACTCCTGAAGAGTTTAGGAACAAGCCGGCTGGTGTTGGGGGTGTTGTGCTTCCTAAAGCATTGGAAGAAGCTTTAGCTTACAAAGACCAGAGACAGGCTGCTTTGGGAGAGGAAACAGATGTAGCAAAAGGTATTTAGCCACTGCATTATTAATTAATATAAACTATGTGTACAAGCTCTTTATTCAAATTTGCATATAAATCTTTAAATTTCAACTAGTTTGGCAATGTTATATTAAAGAATATTCATGTTAAATATCTAAGTAAAACTTAATATTGAAAAGAATCTATGATTGTAGAAACAGAGGAAGAACCTGAAGCTCCACCAGCTCCAGTGATTAGTACAGAATATGATGCAGAGGAGGATGAGGGAGACTCGGATGAAGATAACATTCCGGATGCACCACAACCACCCATCATCTCTAAAGGAGAGGTATTTCACACATTTCACAATGTTATTTCCTTTCAAAGTGGACACTCACTGTTATCATTAGTTGCATTCCATCTAATGCTGAACGAAGACCTCTTGAATAGCACTTAACCACGGTTGATCTTTAGCTAGATATATTGAGAATAATGACTTACTTACACCTGAGAAAAGCTCAAGCTAGAACTACACCAGATATATACTATACCAGATGAAGTTTATGCAGCAATGAGCATGTATGATAATTGGGTAGTTTCCTAGGTCAAAAATAAATTAATTTGATGTTTCAATACAACAAAATATTGAAAAATAACTATACTTTTATTCATCGATCGATCGATACACTAAGTTTTCGATATTTTTTAGCTACTTATTACGAAATAAGTAAGCTATTTGACGCAAAAATACTATGATGTCATAGCTCAGTTTTTCATACAAATTTCGTAGAAAAGTAGCGTTTATGACATTTGGATAAAAGTATTGAATTTGACTAGTTGGAAACTACCGTATTTTAAATACGACTGGTAAAATAACTATGTAGCAGTCAGAAGGTACATCATTGCCTGATCCTACAGAAGTTATGTGATGTTTATGCCACTCCAAATTTAATATTAGTTTTAGTTTAAGAGTAATTTTGTATTCGCAAAAACAACACCATGCTAATAAATGTTAATTTTTATTCTAGGGTACAGCAAACAAAGCGAATAAAAATAAGAGAAAGAAAAAGAAGAAGAAGGCAGCCAGACAGAAGAGACGAGAGGAAGCTAAGAAGAAAGATGATGACACCGCCACATCAAGTCAGGAAGATGGCAAGAAATCCAGTGACAAGGAGAATGAAAAGGAAGTGGAAATAGAGTGAGTTGAACTTATGATGAGAGTTGTAAATATATTTATTTTTTAACCAACTTTACAAAAAGAAGAATGTTTTTAGTATTTTTAACCTAGAAGTAATTAGGAACTTTATATTTTCGTGGGTGTGTTTACAAACATTCGATTCCATACATGTTACCCAAGCTACAACTACAAATTGTAGGTAAAAACAGAGAACTATTCCATAGCTGGAAACAAAATAGCTCCAAGTCATTTTGCTGTGCAGCCAGTTGGCTTAGTCTGCTGCTAATCTATATTCTTGTGAGCCAAACAATAAAAATTCAAAATTGATATTTTTGAAGCTGGATATATATATGGATAGCTGGATGAACATGATCTTATCATAAATATTTTCGGGTATGGATAGAATAAGCACCATATATTTTAGCCGATCTTTAAAAAGGCACATTATGAAATAACTTATACAATGTTTCAACAGATATGTACAAGAAAACATTCAGTTCCATGAGTTGGAGCCTATGTATCGTCAGTTCCATCGCATTCTGGAGGCATTCAAGATCACTGAGAAGAAAGATGATGCCATAAAAGAGGAAGATAAGGATGCTCCCAAACCTTCGAAGCCTCAAGAGAAGGTGCAGGACCAGTTTGCTGCTGATGAAGAGGCAGTGGAGGTAAGCTATAAGTATTCATCATATGGAATTATCGTTACAGCTAATTAAGTAATTTCGGCATACCAGTAAGTGAAAAATAAAACACTGTTTGGCTAATCATTAATGTAAAAATCTTTTATGTCGCTCAGTTGCCCAATCATTTGGTAGAGTCGAGACTCTCTTGCGGTATTAGTATTAGGCATCTGGTTAGGTGATCTACAAACTCATTTGAAGCGGGATGCCATAAAAAATACTAGCCGCTAGCTAGTATGTTACAATGTTTTGTCATGACCTATATTATTTTCAGAAAAACGCAGCAGATGAAAAAGAGAGGCTCTCAAAGCGTAAGCTGAAGAAGTTATCGCGGTTGTCTGTGGCCGAACTGAAGCAGCTGGTGTCGAGGCCGGATGTGGTCGAGATGTATGACGTCACGGCGCGTGACCCCAAGCTGTTGGTGCAGTTGAAAGCACACAGGAACACCGTGCAAGTACCACGGCATTGGTGCTATAAGCGAAAGGTATGTTTAAGTAAAGTCGGCTTTTCAAGTGATTTTATTTATAATCTAATCAAAAAATATTAATTTGTTACAAGTGTCTTTTGTTATTAGTTATTACACATATAAAAAAAAAAAAGACGTTTTGGGATTTTATTTTATTTATACAGCATGGAAGACTTACAGCAAGATAAAATAAGACGTAAATCTTTATAGTTTTTCATTTCAATTTCATCATTTATTTACTTTTACTATAAACTGGAACAGCTAAAAAAATGGAACAAAACATCATGCAATTTTATATTCAAAATATTTTCTTCATTCACAGTACCTTCAAGGCAAGAGAGGTATTGAGAAACCTCCATTCGATCTCCCCGATTTCATCAAGAAGACTGGTATCATGGAAATGAGGGCCTCCCTACAGGATAAGGAGGAAACTAAGACTCTCAAAGCCAAAATGAGGGAAAGGACCAGACCAAAACTTGGCAAAATTGATATTGATTATCAAAAACTTCATGATGCATTCTTTAAGTAAGTTGAAACCATATTGTAAAGGACTTAGGTTCTTAATGATCTAGACATCTTAGAACCTTACCTCAATAGGCTGTAGGTATCCCACTGCTGATAAAGGCCATTAAAGGCCTCTTCTCACATGGAGAAGGAAGTCAAGGTTTCTTCACAGTGTGTTCTTTCACTGAATCGTAATTTGTTTTTGCATGAAAAATATTATTTTCAATTTATTCTTATTTCAAATGTGGTCATAAAAGCAAGTTTATGAAACTGTGTTCTTTCTGATCATGTTCCAACCAGTTTAAAGACTGGATTGTGTACTTTTTCTCTTTAGCTGAAGACGCCAAGTTCGAATGTAATGGAATGTAGAGAGAAAACCTATAGACAGGTAAGTATTTCATTTAAGAATTTTTTGTTTTATTTTCTGAGCTTTTTGCAAAGTAAGTAAAGCAAAAAATTACAACTTCGTATATGTTTTAAGCTGTTCGTTACAAGCCTTTCGAGTTCTCGATTTCGATTTTTAACTTAAAATACTGTTCTTTATTAATAAAATTGACACTTTATTTGTGAAATAATACTATTTTGATTATTTCGATAACAATTGAAAAAATTGAGAGACGAGTTAATAAATTCAAAACCGTTGCCATTTCAATGAACAGGCAGAATAGTCACATGATGTCACTTGAAACATTTTTGATGATAATTAAATTATCCCAATGTAGATGGCAAACCAAACCTCGTATGACAATACACGGCGACTTGTACTATGAAGGCAAAGAGTTCGAAACCAGACTGCGCGAGAAGAAGCCCGGCGACCTCTCCGAGGAACTGAGGACTGCGCTCGGTATGCCTGTAGGACCAGGCTCACATAAGGTACGAACGACCTTAGAATAATTACTCTGTCGAATTTTTACGGCCAGTTCAAATAACCAACACCAGCGTAGATTTGATAATCCTTAAAAAAAATATGTTCTTCCGATATGGATTTACAAAGATATAGATACTTAATGGAAATAGCGACCGGGCGGGCTTCTAGCTTGCAGTAAAATAATAAAAAATAAACACAATTAATATCCTTTTCCATTGTAAGAGTTGCAAAACAATAATCATCACCTATGTCACAAAGGTCCTGTGCCAACCATGTAGGTTGGTTTCTTGATGACGCCACATAAATATTATTGAGACTAACATCCGGTTTCCGAAAGGCCGATCAATGTTAAAATCAATTTAATCTCTTGTCAAGTCATCTGATTGGTTGACTGAATTATCAACAACCAATCAGATGACTTGACAAGAGATTTATCAGGAGATTAGTTAATTTTAGCGTTGACAAGCCTTTCAGAAACCCGGTGTTAGTATTTTAACACATTTTTTCTCCTAGTGCCTGCTTGACGTTGCTTTACGTTTGGTTCAAACACTTATAAACGTTTAAGCGTGGTAGAGCCTGAATGGGCTTCGGAGTGATGCCACGGCCTCACGGGCAACCGGCGTAAAGCAACACATATGTTGTGTTTCGCCGCGTGAGTAATCGGAGGCCCAATCGTCAAAACCCTTTCTTAAATCCCTAAAAATAGTAACTCCTTTGACATTACGAGTGTCTATGGGCGACGATGATTGTTTATCATCGGGTAATCCGTCTGGTCGTTTGCCGACCTTTTTGTAACCTCGGTCTAAATCATGTGCTTTATTATTTACAGGTGCCTCCGCCATGGTTGATTGCTCAGCAGCGTTACGGTCCGCCCCCCTCGTACCCCAACCTGAAAATACCCGGGCTGAATGCACCCATCCCCGAGGGCTGCGCGTTCGGATACCACGCCGGAGGTTGGGGTAAACCACCAGTCGACGAGACTGGTAAACCCCTGTATGGAGATGTGTTTGGTCACCAGAGTAGCGGACAGGATGTGAGTTGATTATATTCTTCTAAATAAATTATGTTGATTTTTTTCAGTAACAGTAGTGGAATGTATGTTGTCTACTTAGATTTTGCGAAGCAATCTTACCGCAAAAAGCAATTAAATAATTGGAATTTAAACAAACTACAAGATTCTCTTTTAAAGTCTTGTTCATAATAAAAAGCTTATTAAAAATACGTGACATTTTCCATTGTAAACCACAAGTTACTTCCAGTAGAAAGTCTTTCGATATATTTCAAAATATTATTTACTTGTTGTTACTTTTTAATTAAATTGCAATGTAATTGTCTAATTGATATAAAAAAATGCTAAACAATTTGCATTGTTACAGGATGTTGAAGATCTAGATATAGATAGAACGATGTGGGGTGAACTGGAATCTGAATCTGAGGAAGAATCTGAAGAAGGTATGTTTAACTCTTCTTTATATAGGAGGCGCTAGTGTGACATAAGATCTCATGAGCACTATTTTACCGCAACTTCCCTGATGAATATCAATAAACAGTCATAATCAGATAGATAGATACTAGCCTTGCATATTGCGGCTATTCTCAGTAATATGTCGGTAGATTGAGGTACTAAAAATATAATTTTAAACACACTTTCTATCAAGCTCATGGGCTTCAATGTATGTAGATATGTATCCACCTCTAGTTTATTATCTAGAATTTGCCGACAAAAGGTTATAAATACTGAGATCCAGACTAACCCTTTCAATCGAGGGAATTGGTGATACTTAAATACACATAATTATATCGCATTTAATTTGAATGTAATTTATATTTGTTTGTACAGAGGAATCCGACGAAGGCGAGAAGCCAGGTGAGGGTGAGATGGCGGCTGGAGTGGCGACTCCTGGTGAAGGTTTGGTCACTCCGCTGGGTATCAGCTCGGTGCCACCTGGCATGGAGACTCCTGACACTATCGAGCTCAGAAAGAAGAAGGTCGAAAGTGATATGGAAGGGTTAGTTTATTTTTATTCTTTATTTTATTTTACTATATATAGAGCTGATTTTTCAATGGGCAAATAAATTTTATCTGAGGAATAAAATTGTTGCTGTCACTGTCTTATACAAACATACAACGCGACAGCATCATAATTATCCCCATGTAACTTTTATTTAAACATTGAAATATCAGCCCTTAATAAAATAAATTGCCCTTAATTAAAATAACAAAACATTTAATCCTATTTTTAATATTTTACAGTGGCGACACTCCTGCTTTATACCAAGTGTTGCCAGAGCGACGCGTCGGTCTAACTCCCGGCATGATGGCCTCTACACACGTGTACGATATTAGCGCGGCTAACCCTGGTAAGATACTATTAGATTTCAAAAATACGTAAACTAATAATTGCTGATAGTTTTAAAAAAATGTTGCCCCTGCACTCGGTTTTCCCGACATTGTGGGTGCGTTTTCAAATACGCAATTTTACATGCATGTCACACCCAAGTCCGGAATAAAAAACCAATAGTCAGTCAATGGACTCAACCAGTGGTCTCATTTTACTATTTTTAATCATAATTGGTATTTTCTTCCAACAATCTAAAATAACACTGTACGTTGTAGTACGGGTAAATTCGTTAATTACCTCTTTTTATAAACAGGCAAGCGAGCAGCCCCAGCGGCTGCAGCAGGTACAACAAGCGAAAGCGGTGGTGGATCCTCAATGGGAGGCGTGGAGGTAGCCCTGGATCCCTCCGAGCTGGAGTTGGAGCCCGAAGCCGTGGCTGCGCGGTACGAGCGGCACCTGCGGGAAACCAGGCCCAAGGCCCATGAGGATCTCTCCGACATGTTGGCTGATCACGTCGCTAGGCAGAAGGTAACGAAAACTCATAAATTAAGCATACATGCATATCGTTACAGGTGTCTCCTTTTGGGATAAGCATAGACTATATAAGACCGCACGAAAATAATCGTGCATAGTTGAAACAAAATTTAATATATTCAATGTCTATTAAAATACAGAAACTGTTTTGTTGGTCGAGTGATCAAGCGCTATCGCGGTCTCTGGTCGTTTCCTGGGTAGAGGAATAATTATTATCTTATGTACTTGTCTGTTTTTTCTTGTACCGTATTTGTGTTGTGTCTTTACTGTACTAAATTATTAATGTTGAAGAGAAAGAAAAGGTTGAAATAATCAAATGATGCAATAAAAAGTTATTTAATTTTAACTTTGACTATTGTAACTATGCAAGGCTTATTTTATTTTGTTTTTTCAGAATAAGAGAAAGCGGCAACAGAATACGGACTCCAAGCAGTCGAAGAAATACAAAGAATTCAAGTTCTAATAGTGATAATAGACATATTGCATTAATTTATATTGTAAGTGTATTGTATCTATGTATGTTAGGATATTCTCGGGTATCCAGGGCTCGTTGTCTCGACATTAACAACTCCGAATAAAGTCGCTAAGTTAATCTATATTTAGCGGAGGTGCGGCCCAAGAATTATGGCCGGGGGAGAAAAAGAATGGGGTGGCTTTAAGTTAGAGTCTAACAGTCATTCTCATAACATAGGATCCGAGAAGCCATTTCACTATTTTTCCTATTCAAAACAACTGTTATTTTCGACGTATTTCGCTTAACGGCTGGTTTTAGATTTTAGTACGTGATACTCTCGACGCATTTTCCGTCAGATGTGAAGAGAACCTTATACTGCTTGTCGAGACTTCGAAAGCCCATATTATTATGAAATAATAGCATTGAGGTTATCAATTCATATGTAACAACTAATTTCAATAAAGTATGACTTCAATGATAAACATTGTTTTATTTGGGTATCCTGCACCATAGGATTTTAGAATTCACGCTGGTAGATCGAGTTGCGAAACAGCCAATTGGGATTAGGTATTACCATTTTCAAAAAAACTTGATTACTCTCATTTTTATAAGTGACAATGTGCGATACAAAGGAAATCGTGTTATTAAGTACTAGTTACCGCCCCTACCGCGGCTTCGCACGTGTAAGTATAAAAGTAATGTATCCCGAAGCGGTAGCTGGACTGAAATACGCAAATCAAGTACAATATATTGCCTAGTACTCAGGAACATTGTAGCTATCTATGTGTGAAAGAATTTTGGAAATAAGCCGTTTCAAAGAGTTCCATTACCCCCTACATACAAACTTAACAACATTTTTCCATTTGCGAATATTCTTAGCACGTACGAATCACATGGAAATCATTTCCATACAAGCCCTTACACGGAAGAATAACCTGGACGGCTGTACATTTCAGTATTGCGAAAACCACAAAGGGCCCACATGGCCGCATGATAACGATATCCTAAGAGACGGTAGAGTGGGTGCCTTCGTCCATAGTGTAGGAATCCAGCATTTTATCAGAGGACGAAGTAAGCTCGGGAAAGAAATGTCTTACCGAAGTACCTTAAGAAAAGACACATAGTTGTCATAAAATATAAATAATCCGAAATATGAATAAATACCCAAAAAATAATATTACAATTAATAGCAAAAATGTAAAATATGCGGCTAAAAAGCCACGTTGTACGAATCGTTTATTAGGCCAACCAGCTTTGATTTGACAGATTAAAAAAAAAAGAAGCTGGACTTCGTACTTAGTTGGAAGTTTTTCAATTGTTTTTATTAAAAAATAATTAAGTATCTTGAGTTAGTTGTAGTTCAGTAAGTTAACAGCACAAATAACAAAATGTCTCGCGTTCTAGTTGGAGTTAAGAGAGTTATCGATTACGCGGTAAAAGTAAGTATACAAGTACAAGTACAAAGGTTACTTGTTGTTTTAATTTTCAAGTTCAGTTGATAAATATTAAATTAACAAGAATAATGATTACTAAATAATCTGAATTTATTAGCGTTTACACTATATATTTGCAGTTTATTAAGTCATAACCTAGAAATTTTACTTTTCTATGACAACAGCTCATTACTTAAGATTTGTTATCACTATCAGCCTTGAACTATACGAAAAAATGCTAGGTAGTGATTAGATTTTCGGATATGTTACTGTGCCAGTAATGTAAAATGATTCAATGGAATAATGCCAACCAGATTTACATTTTAAAGCAATGCCTAATGTGTTTATGAGTGCAAAGTATTTTATATACCTACCTGAAACTTACATTAAACATTGTAACTAAAAGAGGTTCCTATTCCCAATATTTTTTTATTACAGAACAAAAACTCCGTTTATAACAATTAAGTAGACACACTTTAAAAAAAAATAACTTATTGAAATTATTTTTGATGATTTACCTATTTTTTTTTAATAATTTTCTAGTATTCATGAATTAATTGTAACATTGCAGATCCGTGTGAAACCCGACAAGACTGGTGTAGTAACAGATGGGGTGAAGCACTCAATGAACCCTTTTGATGAGATCGCTGTGGAAGAGGCTGTCAGGATGAAGGAAAAGAAGATTGCCAGTGAAGTTATTGCCGTCTCCTGTGGCCCTGCACAAGCTCAAGTGAGAATCTAATAAGATTATTAGAGAGGCATTTAATTTAATTCTAGGATTATGTCAGTTTATTATACCAATCATAAATCAAATTATACAAATTTTAAACTGTAATTAGCGCAGGTTATTGTTGTCTATGACAATTTTTTTTACTTTTTTTCAACTTTTTTTTTAAGGAAACTCTCAGGACAGCTTTAGCCATGGGTGCAGACCGCGCCATCCATGTGGAAGTGGCAGGTGCTGAGTATGAGACCCTACAGCCCCTGCATGTGGCCAAGATCCTAGCCAAACTGTCTAAGGATGAAAAGGCTGATATTGTCATTGTTGGCAAACAGGTTTGTACAAAACAAGCAAACACAATTTTTCAACTAAATTCTTGTTGGGATATTATTCACACTAGGCTGCTGTGTAGCCATGTAGGTTGGAGTAATTCTAAAGAAAAATAGAAAGACATCTTGTTTGTATAAAGCAAATCCTAAAAGAAAACAATGACGTCTGATGTTTACTTCATTTATTCTCACTACAAACATAAATAAAACAAACCTATTGTTAACAGAATTGTGTGTAAACATCTAATCTTATTCATTCATCAGTCTGGTATAGAGGTTCTTTCTGAATCAGATCTTAGTAGTATTTCTTTCAAGAATGTTCAAACCTATGGACAGCACCATCTGGTCTTCTGATTCTGGAAAAGTAAAGGGACATTGTAAAAACGTATATTTTTTTATATGAGATAGGGTTGCAAATTCGTAGACTGCTCACCTGATGGTAAGCTAAATGGTGTTATCTGCAATACAAAATACAAGCCATCTGTGAATTTGGGGATAGGTACCATTAACAAAATGCTTGCCTTTTGTGGGCTTATAAGAAATTTTTATTTTCATTTGTCTATTTTTCCAGGCCATTGATGATGACTCAAATCAAACAGCACAAATGACTGCAGCACTCCTGGACTGGCCTCAGGCCACCTTCGCTTCGAAGGTATGTAAAAAAACTTTATAAATATTGTATGATTTGAAATTTTATCAAATCTTTCCTTCAAGTAATCCCCAATGAAAAGCTACACGTTTAAAAGCTAACTCACGTAACCGTTGTAATAGACTTGACTAGTTTCAAGCCATGTCGCCATGGCTCATATTCATTAGCAGCATTTAGCGACTAAAATCTTATATTCCAAGACGTGACATAGAGCCCTTTGATTTGCCTTTGATTCTGATATTTCTACTAAATCGTGACCTATGCGAGAAAAAGTTGCAACATCGAAATGGGAAACCATCAAAGCGAATCTGTTAACATATTATTTTTTACTTACTTTATTCTTACGTCATCCAGGTTGAAAAGTCAGGCGACGGTCTCACTGTGACCCGAGAGATCGACGGTGGTCTGGAGGTTATCAAGACGAAGCTGCCAGCTGTTGTCAGCGCTGACTTGCGTCTCAACGAACCCAGATACGCCACCCTTCCCAATATCATGGTATGTAGGCATTTTATACCGGAGTATTAGATAGATTTTCGGTAACATGATTTTATTATACGAAATTGTCTGGCGTAGGCGACTAATTCGTAAGCAATGATGCGTCCTACGATGTAGCACGCCTACCCATAAGCAACCTTCTCATTCGGGCCTTGAAGAGAAATCTTGTTTATAATATAGTGTAGGTATATTGTATTATAATGAATGAAGTGAAGTGAATTGAAGAGACATCTAGGGTATATTATAATAAACTATAAGTGTGGACACAGATTCCACTCCTATATAAAGTGTTATTTACCTAAACCCATTCATATAGTAGTGTATCAGATGTGTTTTACGTAAAATTTTACCTGTCGTCCCTGCGATTGCTTTCGGCCGAACATCAAAATAATTGCGAAAATATCGTTTTACAGAAAGCCAAAAAGAAGCCCCTAAAGAAAATGACGGCCAAGGACTTGGGAGTAGACATAGCTCCTAGGATCAAGGTAATTTCTGTGGAAGATCCTCCAGTTAGACAGGCTGGTTCCATCATCCCTGATGTAGACACCCTTGTCGCCAAGCTCAAGGAAGGAGGCCACGTCTGAACCTTTGTTAATACCGGAGAATATGTGTGTTCATAAATCAAAAATAATGATAATATTTATACTGAGATTTTGTATGAACGTCGATTGTAGATTAAACTGTATAAATTGTTAAAAATATAATACATTTTTAAACTGTTTTTCCTTTTGTTACTTATTTATTTGCTAGTCCTTCCAGACATTGTCTAACCCTAACGATATTCACATTAATATAATAATGGTTCTCAAGGATTTTTCTTTATTGTCTTTCAAAATTAACCCTCCCTAACATTTTATTTTAATGTATAATCATTTTGATGTTTAATTAGCCATGTTTCGGCACGAATGTGTCGGCTCGACCGTAGTGATACCACGGCCTCACATAAAACCGGTGTGAAACAACCACAGCGTTGAGTTTTGCCGTGTGAGTGTGGTTACCGGAGGTCCAATCCTTCCACTCCCCCAATCCCAAAATCTTCAACTTCTCCGTTGTTGCGGGTGGATGGGCGGTATACACATACGAGAGGAGTATATTTAGTCAGTAAGAGTTTCCTCTTACTCGTTCCTTCTCTTAAAATTACCTCTGGGTGTGCTGGTACCTCCCGTCTGTGGTGATCTATTGTGGTGGCTCTTTAACGACGAACTTTTGGGTCTGGTACTGGTCGGGCGGCCAGCAATTTTACTCGCCGTCTGCAGACCCGAGCTTACGATAGCCGGAGAACATCTCTCGAAAGACGATCGGCGTGGGGGCGAGAAAATTGGGATAACTTTGCGGCTATTCAATGCAAATATTGACACAACGTCAATTGACTGCACGGTTGGTGCGGTGGCTGGGCAACTGGCTTACGCGCAACGTGTCGCGGGTTCGATTCCCGCACGAACAACTCTTTGTGTGATCCACAGGCGTGCGTTCGCGCAGCGGAATGTTGTTGAATTTAAAGATTTTAATTATGCAGATATTTAGTGTATGACGTCGTATAATTGTGTATGGTAAAAAAAAATTTGTGCACGCAACCATTGTGGAGAAATTTACCAAAAACTGATTCCGCTGGGCGAACGTTGTCCTGGCGGAACTTTTTTTAATCCATAGACTTTAGAAGAAAAGAGATGTATCCAAAAATTAGTGTGTATTTGTGTGTGATTGTGTATGTATGAATAAAACTAGTGCATGCATAAACTTCTGAGAAACTCAAGTTTCCGCTACGCGAACGTTTGGCCATTAGCTAGTTTTCATATAAAGCGCTTACATAGAGAGCTGTAGATTTTTACACACGTTGTTTTGAATTTGTTTATATTTGTTTAAAAAACAGATTTAGAAAAAATCGTAGGGTTTACAAGATAAAAATATAAACGTAAAATACGCTTATCAGGTCCTAGTTCTTAAAGTATGCACTTTGGGGTCTAGATTTTCACGTTTATACAAACCTTGTAAGTGTCTGCAACATGTTGCCAAGTATCAATGATGTTCCGTTAGTAATTAAATAGTTATAGGACAATTATGACAAATTTACCATGAATAGATCACTGTTTACAAAGCAGTCAAATATCACGACTTTCTAAATGAATTGCATGGTAAAATGTATGCCAGTAATTAGTGTATTCATTCAACTAATCACATGCAAAATTTCATGTCATTAAATTCAGTAATTAAAGAAAAACAATTATAATACTGACGAAGCATCGAAAACCTACATAACCTGACCAAGTTCGGATGGCTACAAAAAAGCGGCTGTGCAATATATTCAGGTAACATCCCAAAATTTACAGTATAATACCGGTATTGAATTGGTACAGGTGATAACACATTTGTTGTTTCGAAATAATTTTTATGTCATTTATTTTTGGACACCTACTTTTTTAAATGTATTTGACTATGACAGAAAGTGGCTACTATTTACGTAGGTACTTTATTTAAGTATGCGCTTGAGACTTGAGATATAATCTAATTATATTTAAGACAAATAAAATTCATACAGCTAGTTTCTATTGAAGATTTCACGGATCAGGATTCTAACTATAGACCCCTTAGGGAAATTAAATACCTTTACACACCTCTACTCTCACACTCTCTTTACCACATGTAAGTATGTACTACTGTTTAGGTAAATGTTTATCATATTGTAGCTTATTACACTATTTAACCAATAGACTAGGCATGCACGAGCGTTCCCCTTTGCAACTTTAGTGGATCAAACAATCAAATAACTTAAAAAAACCACTTCTTGAATCGATTTTTTTTTAAATTGTTTTATTTTTTCCTACCGCTTGTGTACGATACTGTACCATATTAATAAATGCTATATTGAAAGGTTAAGAACGTGTCTTAGATATATGGCACGGCCGCTTTTTTGTAGCCACCCGAACTTGGTCGGGTTATGTAGGTTTTCGATGCTTCGTCAGTATTATAATTGTTTTTCTTTAATTACTGAATTTAATGACATGAAATTTTGCATGTGAATAGTTGAATGAATACACTAATTACTGGCATACATTTTACCATGCAATTCATTTAGAAAGTCGTGATATTTGACTGCTTTGTAAACAGTGATCTATTCATGGTAAATTTGTCATAATCGTCCTATAACTATTTAATTACTAACGGAACATCATTGATACTTGGCAACATGTTGCAGACACTTACAAGGTTTGTATAAACGTGAAAATCTAGACCCCAAAGTGCATACTTTAAGACCTAGGACCTGATAAGCGTATTTTACGTTTATATTTTTATCTTGTAAACCCAACGATTTTTTCTAAATCTGTTTTTTAAACAAATATAAACAAATTCAAAACAACGTGTGTAAAAATCTACAGCTCTCTATGTAAGCGCTTTATATGAAAACTAGCTAATGGCCAAACGTTCGCGTAGCGGAAACTTAAATTTCTCATAAGTTTATGCATGCACTAGTTTTATTCATACATACACAATCACACACAAATACACACTAATTTTTGGATACATCTCTTTTCTTCTAAAGTCTATGGATTAAAAAAAGTTCCGCCAGGACAACGTTCGCCCAGCGGAATCAGTTTTTGGTGAATTTCTCCACAATGGTTGCGTGCACAAATTTTTTTTTACCATACACAATTATACGACGTCATACACTAAATATCTGCATAATTAAAATCTTTAAATTCAACAACATTCCGCTGCACGAACGCACGCGATCCACAGATTGTTGTTCCGGGTCTGGGTGTGATGTGCATGTGAAATTGTATGTTTGTAAACGCCATGACACAGGAGAAAATCCTAGTGTGGGGCAACGTTTTAAAAAAAAAAATGGCGATAGGCAAAACAAACTCAGTCACTCGGTAAATTAAAAGTTTTATTAAGTAATAACTGCATTATCTCAACCTTACAGGCGCTCTAGCTGCCAAGGATTATTTGAGAACATTTACTACATATATATCAAATCTATACAAGAGTTGTTGATAAATATCATCTAAAAACTACATTCGATCATTGCCAGTTATCGCCCTCACGACCGCGTTCACCAGAGCGCGACAGACATTTCGACTACATACACTTATATTCAGCCTTATATATAAATTCCTCATAATAAAATGTGACTATTGTAACTGCAGAATTTAGGTAAGTGACTAAACTCTACTGATTACAGACATCCAAATGCAAAAATGGCAAAGTTTTTCATACTGATATTCTACCTAAAAGAAAATTATCTAAAATAATTATCTGTAAACGTAAGTATCAAGCCTTCTACTTAACTGAGACTGATTGTAAATCACTATATTTGTTGTAATGGATGCTAAAGTCAAATATTATCATGATTTTTTATCAGCAACTATTTCAGTCACAGTTTAAGTATGTCAGACTGACTGAAAAGTCAGGGAATATGGAAAAGCTGAGGCAGTGTTAAAATGTCAATATTGTGATAAGTACAGAATCATTCATACAATAATTGTATTAGAATTCTCCACTGAAGGGTTGGTACCACACTATTTTGCCTTCTAAACAGCCTGTGACGAGCATGTGGTAGCGAGGTGAAAATTTGGTGCTGACAACAAGGTCCTGATGGATGCCGAGACTCTGGCCTATCTCCGTCAGTTGTGTGGGCGCGGTGACATTCTGTACCGTGTAGGGGAGCTCTGAGCAGTCCTCATTGAGGGCAAGAAGTCTCATTCCCCGGCCAAAGGGAGAGCACACGATGCGACCGTCCGACGAGAAACATAGTTCCTGTAATAAAAAGTTTTGGTTCATTTTCAGTTCATCACTATGAGTGTAAGTACATAGGTTTACTTATTCGTAAATACCTTTATCTTAATTAAATATTGTAGTTCGAGGTTTAAAAATGGTTAAATATGTTTATGAGCACCCAAAAAAAGTAATTAGTAAAATAGTTAACAAATCAACATTAGCGACCCTACTTTATTCATTCAGCCATGTAGCATGCTAACTAGCAAATAAAAATGCTACCTACTTTTATAAAACCTTTTCCTTCATTTGTTTCCTCTTTAAAGTATAGTAGCCGCTCTTTGTTTTGTCTGATGGTATTTTTGCTATGGTTGTCGTTAGGTTCAGGGTCGCGCGGCGGTGTCTGCCCAGACGTCGACGGCGTTATATTTCTGAAAATTAAAATAAGTATTTTTTAGTTTTTCAACATAGTTAACAACATCTTTCGAGTTTTATTACATTCATAGTAACGTGCTAGCACAGTGTATTTTTTAAATTAAAGTAAGGTCGTTGTTTATCTGTGGATGTCCTTTTGACAGATATGACAATTTGTTACATGATTAAAAAAATGGCTTGATGCGATAATTTTATTAGCGTGTTTATCTAAGCATTTGTTTTACTATTGTTTATATAGCATACAATGGGGATTGTTCATTTTTTTTTTAATGAGTAAATATGAAATCCGTTTCGAGGAATAGGGTCACTCATGACAATTTAGCGTTTAAAATAGTAAAATATTCACGGATTATTGTTATTTATCGCTAAAAGTAAATAACCTTTATTTGACCTCTAGTGACGTCATCGTTTGGCTCTAAAGGGAGAATTCCTTTGCCATCAAATATAATACACACGCTCACACACACTTACACGACAGTTTACAACTGTCAAAAGTGTCAAGATATATAAACAATAAACATAACCTCTAAAAACATTCGATTATTCTATTTAGCGTCTAGCGAAATTACCACCAAAAAACTATGGAATATAGGAAGTGCTTCATTCCGACATGTAAAAATGACTCAAAAAATAGCTTTCACGAAGTTGTCAGTCATGGTAAACCGTTCGTAAAAAACAGAAAGTTTATAAAATGATTTACAAACAAGATGAATGATAGCGTGGTATTTATTTGAAAGAAGTTTATTGTTTACTGTACTGTATGACACTAATGAACAGATTGACAACCTATTGACATTTCTCTAACGTCAAAGAAATTTTTTAATTGAAAGGCCACAGATACGTGAATTATACAGCCAAATGATGACGTCACCGTAAGAAAGTTACTCCTAATTTTAAATAATTTATAAAAATAGAACGACTCCATAAAAATAATAATTATTCAAATTAGTTTCTTAGAATGCTCTATATTATCGAAATCTTAAATAAAAAATGAGGGTCGAAAAAATTGTTCAATGCCCATTGGTCGCTATATAAACGCCGCTCCGCCCGTGTGAATGTCGTCGATTTTACACTTTTTCAAGTTTTTTTTTTCTACGTACCAACCTTTTCTGGACTTCCACGAATAATTCAAGACCAAAATGAAAGGGTATGGTGAGTTATAACATTTCAATGAAAAGTGGCATTGATTTTTATATATATTTAGATGTTCATATTTTACCTCGGCGGGTCACCATCGCCAAGCCTACGATTGAGCACGGGCCGCGCAACCGGTGTAGCAGGATTGATGCCCGAATTGATGCCAGTTATACGCTGCATGTTGAAATTACGCCGCACCTGCCCTCTGCATTAAATTCAATTTTCAATTAATATAGATAAGACTTACATTTGTGTAGCAAATTATTATTGATACTTAGTAAGGTATAATTTTGGCTTTTATATGCCTATGCTGTCTACAGTTTACGAGTTATATCAATTGAATATGTAAGCGGTAGATGATAGAAAGCTATGAAAAGCAAGCATTTAGATAGACTGCAACTGAATAACTTTTAAAAAACTACAACTAACTACTACTATAATTGATGTGAAGTGATTGCATGATGCGGAAATGTATTTATGAATTTTCTATTACAAATTACCTTATTGATTTGCCTTTTGTAGTTGGATATACAGAATTGGTAATATAAAGACAGAAAACTATTATAACTTTAGTGATACTGTATACAAATTAATTTAAAAGTAACCAGTTTAAATAACCTATATGTATTGCTCCCCAGAGCAGGCAGTACAATATGAAACACAAACATAATACATATACACAGAGCAAGGTGGTATAAACTTCATACAAAGTGCTTCAAAATTCTATCTTTATTAGGTAACTACATCTGTTGAGAGATTAGCCCCAATGCGTCTCATGATTTTATAGCGAAACACGCCGAGGCATCGAATAAGTTGCTACCACTACCTCGATTTTCGCCTGTACCTGTTTATATGCACGTTAGACTACAATAACCACGAAAAAAATATAAACGAAATCGGTAGAACTCAAGATAGGTACTTAGAAGAACTTAGCATATAGTATTCTTAAATTACCGAGATACTTAGAAAATAAAGAAAACCCTTTTTATTGTGAGATATATGGTTCTTTAGCTCCACTGCTTGATGATTTACTATTCAAAAGAGAGGGAGATATTGTTATTTTCTACCAGTAAATATACATATTATGTGCACGTCAAGTTTAACCTTCTGACTGCCACAGTCGGTTGGAAACAAAATATATGTACTTAATTATGAAGTTTACTGGTCGTTTATACTAGACATTTGGCGAATTAGCCGTTTTTGCGAAAGGTAAAGAGAGACAATTGACCTTGTATAGCGGCCTAATACTAATTATTATTGATGTAATGGACAGACACCAGCAACTCTACCTTCTTATTTCCTACAAGATAGACAATCCTCACAGAGACCCGCTCACCCTGGGCCTTATAGAGCTCAAAACTGAATTGAGTGTTATGTCATATAGCGGCAAACTAGCATAGGATTACCTGACCTAAAACGCCGGTAACGCACTTGCACTTGTATTCTGGATATAGGGATTGGGTCTCCGGTAACCGGTAAGCAACTTATCCTAATCTATACTAATATTATAAAGAGGTAAAGTTTGTATGTAGGGGGTAATCTTTAGAACCGCTGGTCGTGATGCCAAATTTCTTTCACTGATAGATAGCTACAATGTTCCTGAGCGCTATAGGCTATAAACATCACGCTACGATCGAATAGAGCCGAGCAGCGGGTGAAACCGCTTGAGAGTAGCTAGTCTTTCTTATAATATTAAGTCCATTTGTAGAGGTAATTACAACAGATAGATGTGCCAGTGTCATAAATATGATGTACAAGACAAGTTATCCATTCCATATACAGGCATCATAAGCCGATGATCTCTCTCTCTTAAATTCTTTGTACATAATTCACAATTTATCTATTTATGTGTATTTTAAGCATGCACTACAAGCAAATAATACTATATTATAACTATGCCAATCTTAAATAAGGTGTTCTCAACATGTGAATTTGTTATATGCTAATCAACAGTGATGAAATTACAATTGGAGGCGCGTGAAAAATCTTAAGAACTGGAATAAGGACTCATATTTTCACAGTAGCAGATATCAAGATTTTTCCCCTCACCAAATAGCGCTAGGGGGAGCAGGACATCTGTTTATCCAATAGGCAATAAGTCTATACTAGCTATTTGTGACAGCTTCAGTGATTGGACAATCAGACTACACGCTTTAGCGCCATCTAGTGAGTGAGATAACCCTTATTGCCAATCAAGACTGTATTTACGCCACTAATTAGCCGTTTGGGCGTCACGATCGATTATAGGCACACAAAAAATGAAATTTTAACAACACTTTCTTGTTGGCCATGATAGATTTGGTTAGTTGTCTACAGTCGATCGTCGCGCTCAAAAGACCTAGTTGGATTGAATTGTACTAAGATACGTGTTAAAGGTCATGCAGTGTGTTCTGTGTAATATCTCTACCCTCACCTGTGGTACATTTCCTGCAGTATTCTCTGCTGTTTGACCGTGATGGCCGCCTCCCACAGGTCATTCTGTATACCAGACATACCCTGAGAAATTTGTTTGTATTCATACTTGTTTATGCCTCTACCTACGACAGGATAACTCAGCTTGACTTGACAGTAGGTCGAAAGTAATTGTAAAATGTATTTTATTGGATTTTTACAACTAATTATATGACTTAATTGACTGTCGCAATATATTCCTTTATGGGAAAACGTTGGCAGCCAACAGACAATGCATTTAAGATGTTAAAATTACTATTAGTATTTATAGATATAATTGATTTGTCATTATCCAGCATTATGTATTCCAAAGCTGTATTATAAGACTATGTCGAAGAAGAAAACTCTAAAGTATTAAAGTTGAAACAATTTTTGACCAAGTTATCCTGCAGTAGGTGAAATAAAAACACTGTATCTGTCACAAGTGAGAGTTAAAGATTGTAAGAGTATGTCCATGTAGCCATGCTTGAGAGGGGAGAATTATCAAATGACCCCGTCCCGACCTAGGTGGAGCGAGAGAAATGTAAAACTTTTTCTGGCAAAAAAAAACAACCAAAAGCGCGTTCGGTCCTGGTTCTGCTCGCGCGGTGAGCTATCCTTTCTTGCCTCCCGGAAACCCGTCCGGAGGAGGCCCCTTGAGAGATCCTTTACGCGGTCTTTGCGAGTATGAAGCATGTAGTCATGCTTATTTATGATGTTCTATGGACCGACTTTCGACGACAGACCGAAGAATTTTAATGTTGACTAGTCGTGGATTCCTTGTGTCACCATCATCCGTTCAAAATTACATTATAAAACCAGTTAACAAAAAGTTAATTTGAATTCTTACATTTTTGTTGTGGTAGTAAAGTAATAAATGTTGGTTCATTTTTTTAATAGAAAAAAAATAAATTTATACTTTGTTACGACGTCATTGTGGAAATAATATAAATAGTGACTTTCGCAAATAGTAAAAAAGACTTTGGGGTGCTTACCCCGGAAAGACGGGAAGGCTGCATCGTGCTGGGGTGGACAGGCGCGTTCCGCGACGAGCTGGGCCCCGGGCCCACGACCTCACCGTCCATAGTTAAGTTTACGTGAGTCATCGTCCTGCCGACAATAAACGTGCGATCTTTTATTTAAATTTAGCTACGAACGATTTAAAACGACACAACGCGTCTAAATTATATCACGATGTATTTTGGGCTATATTTCTCTGAGACGGTTAATATTTTCCTTAAAGAAGGTAAAAGACTAGACATTTCTTTCAAGTTACTCTTAATTTTTTTTCCTGTCTACGATCGGTCATGAGTGGGAATGAAAATGAACTGACGATGACAAGGAGAATTAACTGAAGCACTCGAGTAACACAAAAAGAGGGGACATATAAAATCTATAAAAAAGAAAACATTCCGACGCAACTAAATTTTCTACTTACTTAACAGTACAATATATACCTACATTATGTATTCAAATTGCAAGAGATTGCTAAGGTAAGAATCTTTCAAATGCTCCTATATTATTAAATAATAGAAAATAAAATACATTTGTCTGACTGGCATTTTTAAGTAGGTACGTACATTCATTACCTGAGAAATCTCCAAACATAATTTGATTAAATAAGTTTGTACTGGTACTTAATAATTATGGTATTTTAAAAATAAATGATTCAAGTTACTAGTCTTATATTATTGGATAAAGTGGAGATAAAGAACCTCTAGAGAAATAGATGCTTAATGGATTTATTTTGCTGGTTACGAACATAAAATAAATATCCCTACTATCGGTACAAAAACATAATCTCTTAGTTAGAGCAGTCGCATACTAAACAGCAAAAGAGCGCAGTAATTTAAGTACAGGCGCCAGTATATGGAGTCGTACGTCAACTTTGTTAAATAGATTTAAAAAAATCAACTATATATTTAACAATAAATAAGTACTTTGATGTGTTGGCCATTTATGATTTCAAATGTAATGTTTTTTTATAAGGTCTTTCATTTTCGTTCCGACTAGATAGCAGTATGTAGCGAAAGGTCCAGTTATTCTCATAAATTTACCCTTACACTTAACGAATATTTCTAAATTCAATAATTGGACGGACTATTATCTGCACCAGAGCTATCTAGCAAGCGCAAAAATGATTTTTCTAATCAATGTATTCTAGAACGTTCACGTTTAGGAGACCGAAAGTTTATAACCAACCTTCTTGGTGACCAGTCACCAAAGATTTGGTGTTCAATGCTAAACATGGTTTACAACATCTAATAGATGAAAAAGCCTGTCATGCAAATGGAAAATGTAATTTGACTGAATAAATAAAAACATACATACAAAAATAATAATATTAAAAAAATACATATTTATTTATTATTTTCATAACTCACATTGGATTGATGTGATGCATTCTGTTCGTTCTGTAGTACCTCGGGCGCCGCCTTACGGGTCGTGTTCCTGGATGCATTGTGCCTCCGCCTGAGGGCGAGGTGTCTCGCGTACTTTTATCACTCGCGTCAGGAATAGTCTGGATATCGTGGATACATGTCCACTGCACAAAGTATGAATACATTTTATAGGAATTCATTTGTTGTTTCACATGATATTTTTGTTACTATTATAACAATTGAATAGTATTTTAGCATATTTATTTTTAAAAACTTCATGGTCAAACTGCCATGATTACCAGTGAATCCGGGTTTTATTTTATTAAAGACTAACAATAATTTAAAATATGTCTTTTTTTCTTTGAGGAAGATAGAACTTTAATTAATGTTTTAAAGTGCATAAGTGTATAATAGGAGGAAACATTGAGATTTATCTAATATTAAATAATAAAACACTTGCCTCTGATTTGTCATCGTGACTAATATTTCTACTCAAAGCGCTCCAACCCTGAGGATGAACCTGAAATAATAAAAAAGAAAAGTTATTGTACTTCTCTTTCATGATTCCACAAAAAAGACACTTTACTTATGGCACAACAATATTAATGAGCAGCATTCCGCGACAGTCGCGCTGCTACTGGCTACTCGAGTCTGCGCATATGGATATCCCTGAATATGGGCCTCTAGCATGGCTTGAAACTAGTCGAGTATCTCGTCAAATTACTACGTGAGTAAGCCGAAAACATAATAAATAATTTAGAATGTCTCACGAAAGTTATAATAAAAATATTAATGGTAAACAACTTTATAGGGGAGTGGCCACCATCGTTGAGAATATTAATAAATGTAAAAGTGTTTTGGTTTGTTAGTTTGTTTCAAATGTAATTTTAATAGTTTTTATGGTATGTATTTTGTGTCAGATAGGAGTCTGGAGACTGAAGATGTTGACATTTGGGTTACTTGCAGACTGGAGGCTGCCTAAAAAGACTATAAAAGACCTATAAGAGACTTTTTGAGTCTTGAAAGATGAAACAAAAACGGGCTAGAATATATTTTGCACTCTGGCGGACCCTTACACGAATTTACATAGGTACTAAGTAATTTACTTAAAGACCATATTTACCTGTAGAGAACTGACCACCTCAGCATCATTGCCATCAGGGAAGTCTGATATGAATTCCACGCGGTTTTCCTTGCGACTACTGTCGAAGAGATGATCGTACATCGCGGCTATTGGTATAGGCTGCCTGCTCATTTGCATCAACCTATATAAATTTGGCTGAAATAAGAAATAATAATTATATTGTATTTTGTTTCTGTTAAATTATTTTAATGAGCATAAAGAGACCTCTCGTTGCACGATAATCCAGGGAAAGAATAAGTAATTTTTCAGATGTGCAATTACTCTATAGTGCAATCTTTGCTATAGTCCTTGAAGTTATCATTGGTAGTAAGTAGGCCAATGTAAGTGATTAGCGAAAAGTACATACAATAAAGTTTATCCTTATTGTCTTCTCGCTGGCGGCTTGAGGAAATAAGTAAGAAAATATGTTACGAAATTTTCAAGGTTCTAGATAATACAAATCTTACCTTAAATCCATGTAAATCTTGAGATAGAGTATTTAGATTCAGGTCATGTATTATTATAATAAGTCCTCCAGTCGTACACATTATCATTTGCCTGGAGTCTGGAGACAGTCGACATCGCATCAAACTTGATGTATGAAATACTCTTTGGTATATAAGGTTGTACTCTGTGTAGGAATTGATGTCCCATGTGTATATACTGCCATCTAGCCCAGATGTGACTAACAATTTGTCTTTAACTGAGAATTCTATATTTTTCACCCACTTTGAATGACCTAGTAGTGTCCGTATTTTCTTTTTGAGATTTCGAACGTCCCATAATGCTATTGTAGTGTCATCTGAACATGTTGCAAACATACGGCCGTCGAGGAACCTAGAAAAAGCTTTCTATAGAAATGGATATTTGACGCAAAGCCAAAAGGCAAGATTTCATTGCTAAAACAATATATGACAATAAAATGTCGTATGTTGTGCTTTGTCACTCCTCAAGTTATATATAATCAGTTGGAGATCAGAAGATACACCTTTACTTTTCAAATCAACTTCGCCCTGCTATAAGATTTCCTCCTATGTCAAGAGTGTGTTTACAAACATATTTTGAACCTTCAATATACTGCACAGCAACTGGTTGCCCAGCCATCGCGCCAGTCATGCAGCCAATAGTACAAACCCATCTCTTATACTTTATGAATACATTGAGAATGACATGTTTTAGTTCCATCACTTTCATTTGTGTGATGCATATAGTATGGTGTCATTTTAAAATCGATAGTAACTCAGAGGCGACACTGGTGCTTATCATCATATGTATGGGGACATTGAATAGTGTCCCATTACTTTTGTAAGTAAGTTAATGGAATTAGACATTACAATTAAACTCTTAACATAATAAATGCAAATATTGACAAAATAGATTAAAGGCTGCAATACTACAGATCCTAACATGTGCGTAAATCTGCAGGCAGAATATTAATTACAATCTACATTTATAAAGACAATCTGTATCTTGTACAATACTTACTTAACACAGTTAACACAATCAGCATGAGATCCAACTACTGTATGTATCTTCTCGCGGTTGAGGGGGTCAAATATTTGTATTGATTTCTTTTCACAAGCTGCAACTAATAATGCCCTGAAACAGTCCAAAATTATTGACTTTCCTTATTTTTTACATCATAATTTTTGCTGCAATGTTCAAGACATAGCAGCAAAAATTATTTATTTGCATTGCAAATTATATACATATATGCAGTATTTTTTTTTTATTTTTTGTTTCTATTTTATATAAAAACTCATCACTTAAATATAAGCTTTTCTATCTATGATCAAATTTATAGTACAACTAGCTTTTGCCCGCAACTTCTTTCATGTGGAATAGTGACTTCCTGTACATTTTTGGTTTAGAAACTACCCTGTGTCCTTTCTCGAGTTCCAAACTATGTATGTACCAAATTTCATACAAATAGGTTCAATAGTTTAGGTGTGAAGAAAAGAGAGACAGACAGACAGAGTTACTTTAGCATATTAGTTTAGATCTACACTTAAAACAAAATAGTGACTGTTTTTTGTTCTTCTATGTTATTGAGCCTGAGAGGTTTTCTCAAAATAGTTGCTAACTTTAAATAAATGAGTTCTTCCTTATTTATTATTAAAAAAATATATTTAATGAAAAAACAAAACAAATTACAGCAATTAGGTTCAAAAAAAAATATAGTTTGGAATGGCATAAGTTATCTATGCTAGTGTCTTATCTCATCACTAATATTTATTTAATTAATCATCAAACTAATGATATTTTGAAGACTGGTTCTTAATTAATAACGCATTTCAAAAATAACTTTACTTCTAGTACTTGTTAGGTACTTAAAGTTTAGTTTAGTTTTTTTATACTTGTCTATGCAATATAGACAAGTATAAAAAAAACTAGGAAGTAACAATGGTCTCAAGTAAATTATTCAAGTAACCAAACTGGATGTGATTTTAGAATGGTATTGAAGTGAAGCCAAAGTCAAGGCTCTATTACGTCGTTAAAACAATGTAAGTACTTACCCATCCGGGGAAAATTCAAGGTTGAAAATACCACCAGTCGGAGGAGTCTTCGTTCTATCAGCTTCCCATGATGCGACAGGTTTAATACCGCAATAAAGGCTCTTGGCAATCGCATCACCTGATCCAATAGTAGTTTGATAGCCCATCTCATGGTCCCTCAGACGATAGGGACTGAATGCAGAATTCCTCGCCATGTATAGCTGATGCTCTTTCATGTTGCCGATTATGTGTTGTTTTTAATTAACGCAAGCTTAGCACACAATTATGTAGTTAACATAACACTGATAGTAATATTGATGGCAACAATTTATTACATCTTTTCCACATTATTATTTTCTAATAAAACGTAATAATAGTGTGAACAAAAATCCACAACTCTCACAATCAACAATTTCTGCTGCCCCAAAAATACTCTGTGATTTCTTTTTTTTTTTTTTTTTTTTAATATTATTTGTTCCTTGGGAACAGGCTAAGGTCCGAGACCATACCGCCTAGTCATTAGTTTTGTTTTTATTAAAGTGTATTTTACTCATCCATATTTTTTTTAAGTTATTCATTTGTTTTCAATCCAAGATTAAGTCATTAGTTTTAGTTAAAATCATAAGTAGAGTTAGTAAAGTATAAATTCATTCGTATATTCAATCCTAAGAAACTCTAGCGGGCTGTCACAATAGGTAATCTCCACAGAACAAATTGTAGGTATGTTCTGTTCTGTGATAGATAATGTCACTTGTCAGTCACAATTACCTAGTCACTAAGTCATGTAAAAGATGCAAAAAACTCAACAGTCGACGTGAGTCGACACGTGGTCAACCTCACTCAAACAAAATAAATAAATAACAAACGTGAATGAAAAACAATAAAATTTTTCCAAGCAAACAAAACCTATACCTATATACAATTTTAATTCAACAATGCTAGACAGAATACTATTTATTTACATTTAAATTTGTTCTACCGTACTAATTATAAATTTGTACAAAGCTAGATAAGTTGCATTATTTACAAGGAGATCCTGAATGGAGCGCGGGACTAGATTCGAACACTTATAAATTTTGATTAGCTCATCCATTAGCACAAGGCGCTGAATGCCAAAGGATGGGCAACTAAAGAAAATATGATCCAAGGATTGCTCTACCTCAGTATCGCAGAAATCGCAAGCCGAAGATTGTACCATTCTAAGACGATATAGATGAAAGTTTAGACGACAATGACCAAAGCGGAGCCTCAAGATGGTTGTGTAAAATTTCCTACAAAGATAACTATTATTTTGACAGAACCATGGTTTGGAATTTATTGAATTGTTAAGTGTTGCATACCATGATCCTTTATTCTGTATTTGTATTGTATGATGTTTTGTCCACAAATCTAATAACCTTTTCTTTAAAAGAGAAACAATATCTGAGTATGGAGTAAAAATATTAAGTTGGCAACTTGAATCAGGGACATACTCTGCAGAATTCGTTATTGTTCGAGCTAAGAAGTCAACTTTTTCGTTTCCTGATACACCACAGTGTGAGGGGACCCACATAAAATAAACTTCAAAACCATCCCTAAACAGATCTAACCAACTTTGTTTAATAGAAAATATGAAATAATTAGTGTTAGCATTCAATTTGTTATTTTTAAGATTTTGTAAAACACTCATGCTATCACTAACTATGACCCATTTATAATGACCACCATTTTTATGTTTTATGTGTTTTAAAGCTGCAAGAATAGCCACAGCCTCAGCTGTGAATATACTTGCATTAGCGTTAATTTTGTAACCAGTGCCTAAATTCAATTGCTCATCAAACATTGCAAAAGATACAGCCGACTCAGTTTTCGAACCGTCTGTGTAAATGAAATTGAAACCACTAAATTCAGTGAATCTAAAATAAACATCTTCTTTACAGTTTAGTTTGCTATCAATAATTATGTTAATTGCAGGAAATTTACTTTCAAAATCACCCTGATAACAGGGCAGCAACTCTGACTGATAAATATGCAATCCTTTAAGAAATGTATGAAATTGAAGAAAGCCCTGAAGAAAATAAGGAGATTGATGAAAAGATACAGATGAAGATCGTGTTAAATAAGACAAAAGGTGATTATTACTTTTACTGTAAAGTTTTAAAATGAACTTTTCTTTTAGAAAAGAAAACCTGATATTCATTGGCGGCAGATGGCACTCAACTTGTAGTGAATTAATTGGTGTGCTTTTAAATGCTCCAGTAATAAGCCTCATACTTTTATTTTGAATTTTATCCAATAAATCTACCAGATTACTATTACCAGCGAAACAAAGAAACCCATATTCAAAATGACTTCTTATAAGAGATTTGTATAATAATAGTAATATTTTAGGGTCAGCACCCCAAGATGTTTTACAGAGTGTTTTTAAAATATTAAAAGCTTTGTTAGCTCGTATGGTTAATAAATCAACATATTTATTCCATTTAAAATTTTGTGTAAAAATTACACCTAAAAATTTTGCCTCATTAGAATGAGGAATTGGAATTTTGTTATAGCATACTGCAGGACCACAACTATCTGTTTTTCCGAACAATACCACTTTCGATTTTAGAGGATTAATATCAAGGTTTAAATAAGAAAAATATTTATACAACCCTTCTAGCGCCTTATTTACAACATTATTAACATCAGATATTTTTTTTCCAGATGCATAAACCACCAAATCGTCAGCAAATTGCAGATTTTTAACCTCAGGACCCAAAATTAAATTAAGCCGACGTATGTACAGTACAAAGATCAATGAAGAAAGTATACCACCCTGACAAACTCCAACAGATGCAAACCTTGGACCATATAATCTAGAGTTATATTTTACAAATACTTCTCTATTTGTTAAGAATGTATGTATCCAGGAAACTATTTTGCTTGGGATTGCAATTGACAATAACTCCGAACAAAGAACATCTATATTGACACTGTTAAAAGCACCAGCAACATCAAAAAAGACAGACATCAAAAAATTTCCATTATTTATACTATTTACAATATCAAGCTGAAGCTGACAGATACTTTCACGTGCAGATGTACCCCTTCTGAATCCAAATTGATTAGAAGGTAGGATATTATTTTTCTCAACATAGAATTCTAATCTTTGTTTTAAAAGTTGTTCAAAAACTTTACCAACACAAGAAGTTAAGGCAATAGGGCGATAGGAATCTGGATGAGAAGTAGGTTTATCTGGTTTTAATATGGGCACTAAACAATCATATTTCCAAGAATTTGGTATTTTATTATTCAGCCATAAATAGTTCAAAACTTCTAAAAGTATTTCAAAGCTATTTGAATTAAGATTTTTAAGCATAACATAAGGAATACCGTCTAAGCCAAATGCAGTGTCTCTTCTGGAAAAAACGGCAGACTCTAATTCCTTCAACGAAAAAGGCTTAACCAAGAAGCTATCGGAAGAATCAATTGAACTGGACAGGGACGAATAACACTTGTTACTGACGTAGTCTGGGGTGTACTTTTTTAAAAATTGGGGGATCCAGCTGTCATCATTTTTACTATAAAAATATGTTTTGTTATATTTACGCATAAAATTCCAGATTCGGGATATAGGAGTACAGCGATGAAATGAGCTACACAGTTTGACCCAACTATTAGTCCTCTCAGTTTTTAAAGTAAGTTTTTTAACAGCCTGAAGTCTTTTGAATTCCATGTAAGTTTCATCTGATGGATTATTTTTAAATTTAAGGTATGCTAGTTTTGATTTATTAACTACCTCAGTACATTTTTGGTTCCACCATGGCAAAGGTATCTTTTTAAAAGACTTTCTAACAAAATTACTATCCTTGGCAAGTGAAACACTTTTTGGTATTGATTTTTGAACAGCCAAATCTAATATTTTGATGAATTCATTATACGCATCCAAAGGCGTAAAATCCTGGGCCTGAAAGTTGGTCAGTAAAAAGTCCACCTCCTGAGCATAAATTTTCCAATCAACCGATTTAAAGCTGTAAAAATTAGGCAGGTTTTTACCAGTTTGTACATTATTACTTACACTATTATTAACAAAAATGTTTATCATTATAGGTAAATGATAACTGCCGAGAGGATCATTATATACCGACCAATTAGAGCAAAGTGCCAGTGATGGAGAAACCAAAGTCAAGTCTAAAGCATTCGGACGCCACGTCAATGAACCAATCGTGGTAGCCTCACCGCTATTCAGAAGGACCAAGTCATTTTCATCAATTACTTGCAAAATATCTCTGCCTCTAGGATTAGTAGAATTACATCCCCAAGATGTATGATGAGCGTTAAAATCGCCTGCAAATATAACTGGCTTAGGTATGGACTTTATTAAATTTTCAAACTTCAATTTATCAAAGGCTGGAGAACAATTAGTTGGACAATAAAAACTTACAATACTAATTTGTTTATTTTTTACAGTAATATTTACACAAATATTTTGTAAACAATTGTCATAATAAGTATTAATTTTATTATATTTTATACTTTTATGTATTAAAATGGCTACACCATTATGTTTACTACCAATGTCATTTCTTTCAATTTTGTAATTTTTTATATTGAAAATCTTTTGGGGTTGTAACCAGGTTTCAGAAATAATACCTATGTGAATATTGTTTTCATTTAAAAATTGTGTAAGTAAAAACTTATTACTAATGATGCTTTGGGCGTTCCATTGCATTATATTTATTGTGTCCATTATTTGGAGGGAGTATGATTATTTCGGAATGTTTGATGTAATATTTCTTTTATTGATATTGAATTAATTGGTTTATCTTTTTGTTGTAAGATTATTTTAGTAATTGCTTGGGTCAGTATATTCATAAAAGTATCTGATTTGGTTAAATTTTGTATTTGCGTCTCTAAAGTTTTAGCATGTAATTGTGGAAAATTGGTTTCTTTAAATAATTCTGAATATTTAATAGACATGGATTTTATTTTATTTTGTTCTACTTTTAATTTCTTTTGTGGACACACATTGGAGATGGCAATATGATTACCTCCACAATTTGCGCACTTTGCATCATTTTTTGGGTCTTTTAAACATTTTTTATAATTGTGTCCCTCTGCACATATTGAGCAAACCTCTGTGTTTCTACAAAACTTTGCAATATGTCCAAATCGCAAGCAATGCAGACATTGTTTTACCGGAGGCACATATACGCTTACTTCATGTCTCCAATTATCAAGGTACACATACTCTGGCAACTCTGTTGAGGCAAATGTGACTGCCACCGTTTGGGTAGGTTGGAACGATGCTATACCTTGCTCAGTTCTAACACGTCGCATGAACCGACGTACCTGAATAATATTGCGGGAACTTCCTATCAGAGAAAAAATCCTTTCATTTGAGAGCCCTATCGGGACAGAAGTAAGTACTCCAGTGACCTCAGTATCAGACGCCGGAATAGTAGCTTTTAATTTTAATTCGTCTAATAGTTTTTTATTTTTGAGAAAAACATTTGCGTTGTTGGACAGATCGAAAGTAATAGCTATTTTGAATTTGTTTATTGGTCTCAAATGCAGAACACCTGTGACACAATGTTTTCTAATGGCGTTTGAAATAGCCAGACGATCTTTGTCAGAGAACTGTTGCTTTTCATCTATATGTGTAAGAAATACGATATATTCAGTTTTTTTACAAGTTTCTGGATACCGCCTGGAGTATCCAGGGACCTTAAAAATTTGGTACTTCCTTGTGGGATCTTCAAACTCCGACGCCTCGGATGAAGAGTCGCTTTGAGTGTCGGCGGCGGCGGCTCCGTCAGGTGGATCCTTTTTTCTTTTTTTCACCTTGCCCATCTTCTGATAATTTAATTTTTTTTTATAAATATATACAAAACCAGGTATTTACAAGTACTTTACACGATAACTATACAAAAAAGATATTTAGTATTTAATTGAAATAAAATATTTTTCAAAAGGCGCCTTTTCTATTCAAAGCTTCCCGCCCAATCCACTCTGTGATTTCTCTACTTGACAGTTCAATTTTTTATTTTGTTTAGAGATTTTAAAAATATTGCCATCTGTAAAACATAATAAATAAATAATACCGAAATTACCCTTGTCAAGTTGTGACTTCAAGTAATATATAATTATAATAGTGATCTCGAGAGTATATTTTGAGTAATCGATATATAATTTAATATAAAATGTAATTAGGATTGGCTTTTTTAGTCTTACTTGCAACAGAGCAATTTGGTCAGCTGCTAGCAGTTTGCATTAAACTGTCAATCACCTGACATTTTTGACAAATTTGGTGGCCATATACAAAAGGATTTTGTTATCAAATTTTCCTGTGATTACATCAATAACATACGTGTACCTCTGCCTTTCAGTTGCGTCATTACAATAATCATCTATAAGTTATTCCTACTTGTTGTATATTGTGTAGAATATGGCAGAAATAAGTGAAAAATACAACACAAAATGTCCTGGTGTGAAACGTCTAATGAGAGAGGCCATGGAGCTAGCGGAGGCCACAGAGGAATATTGTGCACGTCCTTTAGAAGATAACTTGTTTGAATGGCATTTCACCGTACAAGGCCCCAAAGGTACAGATTTTGAGGGTGGTATCTACCATGGTAGAATATTATTGCCTAAAGAATACCCTATGCACCCGCCTCATATAATACTTTTGACGCCAAATGGAAGATTCGAAGTTAACAAAAAGATTTGTTTATCGATTTCTGGTCATCACCCAGAAACTTGGCAACCATCGTGGTCAATAAGAACTGCTTTATTGGCTTTGATTGCTTTTATGCCAACTCCAGCTGAAGGTACTATTGGGTCGCTCGACTATTCGCCTGCAGAGCGTAAAGTACTTGCGAAGAAGTCTGTAACTTGGGTGTGCCCACAATGTGGTGAAATATCTGCTCTATTATCATCTACGGCAGCAAAACCAATCACTGAGGAAGAAAAGTCAGTGTTAAATCAGATTGCTTTCAAAGCTGAAGAGGAGCAGACTGCTAAACCCCCAGAAGAACCTGTTATTGAGCCAGAACCTCAAGTTTTAGAGTCATCTGAACCCACCAATAGCTTTTTGGATCAGCTCACCGAAATATTGGTTGCCCTTTTAGTGGGAGCCATTGGTATTTTCATTTACAGACGCTGGAATGCTCACTACCCTGCATCTGAGACAGAGCTGTAACTTTTAACAGATTTATTATATTAGGGCCTAAGAATAATTTAAAAGTATTTGCAAGTGACAACAATTGATGCAGTGCATCCCCCTCTTTTATTATTTATTTTCCTCTTTTATAAAGTAAGAGATTGTATTTCAAATTGTGGTGTTCACATAAACTATACTGTAACTACTGGTTATGGTAACAATTTTTTCATTGCTTATGATTTGTCAATTGTGCCTTAAGAATAAGATAATACTTATAAGGCATCCTGTAACCTCTGAGAGGCAATGAATTTGCATAACACTATGATTTCATGGTTTGTCAATTTATATTTTTTTTATTTATGAATTTATTGAAACTTGAGAAGCATATTATTGTAAACTAAATGACAAGTCAAGTTACAAAGTAACAGAGAATGCTTATTTATTACATAAAACCAAATATTGATAAATACCAGCATTATAAGCACAATTTCTAGCTAAACTATGGAACTGTTTTGGCTAAATGAATGCTTCAAAGCTCAGTAGCAAATGCCAAAAGAAATCTTGTTCCTACACATGAAAAATGCAAGTTGTATTGAATTTTATCTTTATTTGTAAAAGTGCATTTTTTCCTTGTCCTGTAATTTAAATTAAATAACAACATCAGAAGATTGTATTTATAAAGTTATTTGTTTGATATAAATATTAAATGTGACACTAAAGTCCTGTAATTTGTAAATTAGAAATATTTATAATGATCTTTTAATATACATAAGCTTCTTAAATTACTATAATTGTTTTGTAAATTGTTATAATATTATTGCACTATCTAGTAATTAGATGATTGGACATTATTATTGGGTGCTCGCTTCGGCTGGTACTGCTAACATTCCGAGAGCTTAGATGTCTTATTACAATAATCTTTTTTGGAATCAACATTTTATCAATAAGTTTTTATTAAGTAAAATTATTGTAGTGATAAGACTATATGTGTGTATATTATTATACTTAATTTGTGTAAATTAGTTGTAACTTTGCTTTCAGTACACTGTGTTGCATTGTTTGACTACCTAACATAAAATTTGTAAAATCACTACATTATTTGCGTAATTATTTTTATGCCTTATTCCCAAAATAGTCATCTAATTCAAATGCTCCAAAGTAGAGGAAAAATATGCATTTTTGTAGTCATTTGCCCATTTCGTATGTTATTTTCGCAAAATGCATACTAATATATCCTAGTTTCATAATAAATTTAAAACAAATAAAATATAAACTACTTGCGTATATTTATCATTAAGTAGGTAATAAACTCTTAAACGACCTTGCCGTCAAAATTGGATGAAAAGATTATATCTAGGGTACTGCGAGAGGACGTGTCAGTCTCTTAGGTCGAGGCAGCAGTACCTTATTGCGCTTGACCCCCAACCCCGACGAAAAAGCATCAGCCTTGTTGTGGTCTACTGTTTCTATGAGGCGCGCGTAGAACGCTACGCCAGATATTCGGGTCTGCTTCTGGTCGGGCAGTGAGCTACCGTTGCTGCAGATTCTTACTCCATATTCCATGCTGCTTAGAGTAGAGAAATGCTTGGCAGCGCAGATTAGAATGCATTTATGTGTAAGGCTCAATTCACACCAAAAGCGCGGCGAAGGGCAGCGAAGCGCAGCGACCCGCTCGGTACAGAACGTGCGCGGATTCCCGCGACTGCTCGAGAATTCGCTGGAATGCTCGCGAAGTCGCGGGACTCCGCGCGCCTTTTCGAGCCCGCCCGCGATGAATTCACGGGCCGCTCTTCTTTCTCCTTTTTGCCAAGCGTTATTTTTTATGTTTTTATCGCTGTAATGTCTTGATTTTATATTGTATAGGCAGTCGTACATTTGTACTAAATAAATAAGCTTCCGCGCGACTCGTTCGACTTTCTCATGCGAAAATATACATTATAGTAATGGGAATAAAGTAAAAATTCAAATGACACTCAAACCGCGCTTCGCTTCGAAGCGAAGCGCAGCGACCCGCTCGGTACAGAACGCGCGCGGATTCCCGCGACTGCTCGAGAATTCGCTGGAATGTCCGCGAAGTCGCGGGACTCCGCGCGCCTTTTCGAGCCCGCCCGCGATGAATTCACGGGCCGCTATTCTAGCGCAGTTGAGTTTCAACAAAACAAGAGGACACTTGTGTTTAAGCAGTAATATGGGTTTTTTGGATTTAATCATTATTGCACATATAATTGAAGAGGAAGAAGCCGAAGAGATAATGAGAAAAAAGAAAAGATTAAAAAGAAAAAAAAATTGGGAACACGACCTCGCGGCCGCTCGCTACTGCTCGAGCATTCTCGGGAGTTCCCGCGCAGTCGCACGACTCCGTTCATGGAATTCGCGGGAAGTCCCGCGGCGCCGCGGGCATCCGCACGACTCGTTCGACTTTCTCATGCGAAAATATACATTATAGTAATGGGAATAAAGTAAAAATTCAAATGACACTCAAACCGCGCTTCGCTTCGCTGGGCTTCGCCGCGCTTTTGGTGTGAATTGAGCCTAAAGCTAACATTTTGGAGGTCTGTTAACCACCAGTTTCTTCAAGTGTGAGAACTTCTTTCTGGATTAATTTTCGAATGAATGAGTTTAGTAGAATTACAACGAATGGGTCGGTTTAAAAAAAAAACATGAGAAATAAAAAATGTGTTTATGTTACTTTATTTTATTATTAAGACATTATACTGAAATACATCTAAATAGCTTACAGAGTAAGGAGAGTTCGGTGCTGTTAAATCCTTCACCATGGTGCGTCCAACCAGTTGACTGGGTTACAAAAGATGGTAATATTGGTAACAAAGTAATATGTTTACGTTTATATTAAATCTGCCACATTCATTGGCATCTCATCAATTTGAGTGGAGTAGTACTGTTCAATGTCTCTCAAAATCCTGATGTCATCCGATTTGACGAAGTTGATGGCGACACCTTTACGTCCAAAACGACCTGATCTGCCGATCCTGTGTATGTACAACTCACGGTTGTTTGGCAAGTCGTAGTTGATGACTAGTGATACTTGTTGCACGTCGATACCTCGCGCCCACACATCAGTTGTAATGAGCACACGGCTGGAAAATTAAAATTAAACCATTAGTCAAGTAATAAACAATGGAAAGAGAAGGTAGGAGATATATAATAAACACATAGCTTTTTAGACCGGAAGCAGAAATTGTAATAATTTAGAGAATTGACACGGTTATCATATTAGTTGCAAATATGTGTGTGTGTTGCATTGTCCCCGAAAATATTTTGCCATAAGAAAACAAAATTCATTGTCAACATTATAATAGTTCATCATGTCCAGATCAAATAAATAAATATTACCTAAGAGTATACATACCTTTGACCAGAACGGAACTCTTTCATAATGTTATCTCTTTCTTTTTGAGGCATGTCTCCATGCATTGAGCTGACTGTGAAGTTAGCTTCCTGCATCTTTTGTGTAAGCCAGTCAACCTTTCTCTTAGTATTGCAGAAAATAACTGCCTGGGTTATTGTCAGTGTATCATAAAGATCACAGAGGGTGTCAAACTTCCATTCCTCACGTTCCACTGCTACGAAGAACTGCTTAATTCCTTCTAGTGTCAACTCATCACTGTGAACAAAATTTTATAAATTTATTAGGTGCATGTAGTTGAGCATACAATATAGCTAGGATGCTTTTAATGCAAACATTTTATATGCTATTTAACCATAATTAACAATAATGATCCAATACATACCGTTTTACCAAGATTCTGATAGGATCAGTCATAAATTTAGAAGTCATTTCCAGAATTTCATGGGGCAATGTGGCAGAAATAAGTACAACTTGTGTTGCAGGAGGCAGGTAGCGGTATACATCATAAATCTGCTCCTTGAAACCTTTGTTTAACATCTCGTCAGCTTCATCAAGTACAAGCATCTTGATTGAACGGGTCCTTAACACTCGTCGTCGAATCATATCTATAATTGAAAAAAAATAATACAAAACAATAATCGAAATTCACAAATCTAAGATTGAGATTGAAAATTACTCCTCTGCCAGTGTTGGACAATATTGTCTGACATGGCATTCAATGTGTTAACAATCAACAGCGGATCTTTGCTTCTGATACAAAGCATAACAATCTCAAAGTGGAATGAAAGAAAAACTTCTGTGTGAATTAATATGTATGGTATGTCAGATCAAAGTAATAATAGGTAACCATAATAATATGATAGAGATATACAAGGACACAAACAAATTTTTAATAAAAAAATATTTGTACAAATTTCTTAAAACAGTGTTAATACATGGAAATTGTAAACGAATATCGTGTTGTGTTAGTTACTCCACTTATAACTCAAGAACGGCTGAAGTGATTTAACTGGAAATTAACATATTTGGACATAGTTAGGATAGGATAAGGTAGGTAGTGTAGGCTAGGTAGGGTAGGGTATGAAGAGTAGGGTAGGTAGTCAAATGACGGGAGCGACGCCGTGGGTAAGAGCTAGTTTTAAATATATACCACACATAGTATAACTAACATGGGAGGGTACAAAATAATAAAATAAAAATGTTTACCAAAAACTCGTCCAGGTGTTCCTGACACAACATGCTGCCCATAGTCTAGCTTCCTTATATCTTCTCCAAGATTTGTACCACCAATACAAGCGTGACATTGGACATTCATAAAGTCACCTAAAGCAAGTATCACTTTCTGGATTTGAGTGGCTAACTCGCGAGTCGGCGACAGCACTAGGACTTGGGTTTCACGTAAAGTGGTGTCCAATGATTGCAGAATGGAAATTGAGAATGTGGCTGTTTTTCCTGTACCAGACTGGGCTTGAGCTATCACATCTCTGCCTTTGACGATTGGAAGTATACTTCTTTGCTGAATTGCGGACGGCTTCTCGAAACCTAAAAAATGTGAAAGTAGGTGATGCATTGCCGCGTACAAACAAATTCACAACCTTATTTTAATTTCACAACGTCATTTTGATATTTATACGAACCATAAGTGTAGATTCCTCGTAACAACTCGTCTCGCAAGCCCATTGAATCGAAAGTTGGTATAACTTCCACATCCTCGCTGGTATCAAACTCAACATTCGATAAATCTTCCGTTATTATTTTACGATTGTAAGAAACTTCCGATGAAGTCATCTTGCCTTAATTTGTTTTACAGTTCACAACACTTCTCTCTCTCGCTATAAAACACAAGTTTTTTCTTTACACCAAAATATTATGGATGTAAATGAGGTTAGAAATCAGACTGTACCCATTGAATCAAGAAAACAGAAGGAAACTATACGAAAGCAGTGCGATACGCCATCGACAAGCGCAGGCAGGCAGCCGTCCAATAGGAGGTGAGGTCCGCGGCGTTTTAGCTTACCATCTCTTTTCAAAAGTATACGAGCGAAAGAGAAAAAAGACCTCAAATTAAAACAAAACATGGAATACCAATATGGCCGCTGAGGCGTAGGCCACAGATTATCAACAAATTTAATTTAAAATGTTTGAATGATTCATAGCGGTAAAGATACTATTACAAAATATGAAATTTAATTTATTATAATTTTCTGAAAATTTACCTCTATATAAAACACTAAGGTCATGTGGCTGTTGTTTTGTTTATTACTTTTTTGTTACAAGAATATAATTTTATTACATTAATACAACTATAAATATTAATACCAGTTTAGAATTATTAATTAAATAGAAGAATTATAACAGATTTTTGTTTTGTTTTAGGCATTCCTTAAATGGAAGCAGTTGTATAAGAAATATTTGAGCAATATTCATCGTAAAAAAAGCTTTAAAAAATAACTTTAAACGTAGCGATAACAAGACGCAATATAAGAACGCATTCGGAGTTTCGGACCATTCAGATTTCAAGTTTATTTGTGGTCAAAAGACCGATCATATTTGATTTTGAACGAATCAAAATGGATGCTGGGTGTGAATGAACTATGTACTGAAAAACGAACAGCTTTTTATCGAGTTGTGTCGTGGGCCCGATTTTAATTGGGAATCCGGCGTCGCGATTTTGTTTAGCCAATATTCAAATAGTGAGAAACATAAAGTGCTAAAGGAAAAAGGATCGACCATAATATCGTTCAATACAGTAGTCACCGTGTCGGTAATGTGTTTATACGAAAGATTCGGTGGAGCCCACTATCCGCAGGTGGCACTAGGATGAGGACTTTGACGGATATACTGTGTGTCGATCTAAATTCGCGAGTGTTTAATGCGTCGGTGCTTCCCTGTCTCGGTACGACATGGCGAGACAGTTCGGACTAAAGTGTCGCTCGCGTGATGTATGAGCGGTCAGACATGAAATGCATATACAGGAAGGAACAAACACAACTCTGACAACATGTACCAAAATGACAGAGGAAGTAGACAGAAGACATGGCGTGAATGGTAACAGCAGTAGTAAGGGTGCAAGTGAGGATGCTCCTGTGAACAGTTCTGCTGTCACTGCTACTGGTGGGAGGCTTAAGTTTTTCAAAGGTGAGTGTTTTGTCACAGATGACAGTTAAACATATTGGAAGACACCTTGTAAGTTAGCTAGTAATTAATGTTACACCCGCTGGGCCAGTCAGTGTGTTGAGGAAAACTAGAAAGTCATTCATGCTCTGATAAGCCTACATAAGCACATTTGTCTGAGCCGTTGCCAATTGTCTTGAGCACAGCCTCTGTGCTATTGTTGTAAGTTTCGTAAGGTTCTGTGGCCACTGTAGCGGAAACAAACAACAATTTGTTAATATATTAAAGAACTTCACCATTATTAGAAGCATTCAGTTACTTGTTCTCATGAAAACAAAGTTTTTGTTGGAATGCTCAATATTTTTGTAAACCAAGTGAAAATAAGAAGTCAGAATAAAATGTACACACTAGCCAGATGTAAACATCTATATTATACCTTAGAAATTGTTATTTCATAGGTATCCAGGGAAACAATAATCATAATCAGGCACTAGCAGAGATTAACTGTAGTTATGTAGATATTTATTTCTTCAAACAGCTATGCAGATGCTATGTACATAGCTACATTTATATTTTATGCAGATTTAACCCTGTGTTGGTTTGTAATTTGAAAAGCTGATAAAAACTGAATTCTACCGTTCCCATATGTAAAATTTTCTTAAATGTTTGAAACTTACTATATGGATTTAATTAACACTATTATGTGAATTGCACTTGATTTTGATAGTCAAGTGGATCAAACAAGTGTGGTCCATTATTCTGTATCACTTAACAAATATGTCAATATAAATATATTCCACAAAACTTTAACAAGTGTCAATAATCTATACATATGTTGCTTGACCTTTGTGTCGTGTTTGGTCCCTTATGTTTACCAAATGGATTACATCTAATGACTTTTAAACAGCTAAACAAAATATAGGTCAATAATATCTTGTAATCACTGTCCATTTATTTAGTTGATTATCAGTATGTATGTTTAATTATTTGTACTGAAGTACCTAGATGAAAAATTCATCAATAAACATAGTGAAATAGGGATTAGTAAAATTATCGTGTCAATTACTGATGTTGCTAGTATTTGTGACTCTGATATTATATTCTACTGTTGATTACTTGATCTTATCACTTTTTAAGGATTTACCAAAACTGCTTGTTCATTATGAGAATCAATTAAATTATTATATAAAATTTTTGATTAAATATTTCATCACTAATACAGTGACATTGGCTTTTAGTAAAAAAAACATGTCTTGGTCACCCCTTTATTATGAAGTAGAAACAGGTTGCGTCACGGTATGCATTATTTTTACAGATGGAAAGTTTATATTGGAATTGGTGCGCGGGTGCGCACGAGAAGGCGAACGTGCAGGCTGGGTGTCGGTGCCACGTAAGACGTTCTGGCCGCCGGCCGCCGCGCCGCCTACGCCACCCGCAGCAGCGCACCCGCCCTCCGCCTCGCTGTCTGTCTCTGACGACAACAGCTCCGTGCAGTCTTCGCCGTGGCAGCGCGACCACTGCTGGAAGCAAACTGCACCGCGCAGAAACATTTCCAAAGAGTTAGCCATGTACTACTGCCGACCCAGCACTCTGCATACTGCCGCAATCGAGGTGGCCAGCCGGTTGAAGCGAAGGAGACCCTATGACACCACCCACTTGGATGGAATCGTTAACGGGACTAATTCCAGGAAAAGTTTAACTAATGGAGTTAGTGATAAAAAGAATGGCGACGTTGGATCGCCAGAGAGTAGAGCATGTCGGAGCGACGATGTCGTCGACGGCACTGGACCGAAAGTTAAAACTAACTCTGATGACGATCGATGGACTGATTACGATCGTGAAAAATACTATCATATGAAACTAAAGAAACCGTATCAGTATCGTAAGTTAAGGGTTTATAAAAAGACAAAACCTGCGATAAGACGTAAGGAATTAACTAAAACGGTAAACAAACTTCGAGAGAGAATTTCTTCACTACCTTTGCCTGTGAATGCGAAATTAGCAAACTGCAGGCAGGAGCATATGATGGTTTCTCCGAGAAAACGTATTCTGCGAGAATTGGAACGAGTAAGTCTTGAAGATCAGAGTATGAAACGCCGAGCGAAAACTGTACCTGCTTTAAGCACAGCTTCATATCCACCGTCACCCGGTCCTAGCCACACAACGCACAAACCAGTCGTCGAGACGCCGATACGATCACATAATGGTACGGCAGCACCAAGAAAAGAGACGCCAATTCATGTCTCCAAGAATGTTAGCAGTTACAGTATACACTCGCTTCTAAGTATGCCAGATGACAGCCCAACAAGGAGGTCTCCAGAGGCGAAGCGGTCTCCGCACTCCCATCCACCATCACTGAAGACCGAGTCACCATCGAGTGTAAACTCGCCAGACTTAAGTCCAAGCCCGGATAACTACCGATACCGGTACTCCACATTGATGGGCTCACCGGGCCAGGGCGGGCTAGCGCGTGACTCGCCCACGCCACCTCAGGAGCTAGCTCGCTACCGGGCGCCCTACCCGCCGCCCACCTCGCCTTACGGCGTGCGGCAGTGGGGCGGTGTAAGCGTGGGCGCGCAATACCGCGGATCGCCAGCGCGCGATGAGTGGGGTCGCGACATGGCCTACATGTACCCATACTCGTACATGGGCCCTCATCTGTACCGCACTCCGCCACCACCACTTTGGATGCAATATCCCATGTCACCCGGAGTACCGCCAGGCCCTTGGGCTCCTCTGGCGATGCCACTTACCAACGACCACATACCTAAAGATGAACCTACTTCAGGTGAGCACAATATTGCCTCTCTATTTTTATACTCTTATAAAGGTAGTGTAAATTTTAATTAATTACATTTTAATAAAGAAGACTATATATAGACTATAGAAAATAGTATAGTATTCGTTCTAATTTATTTTTCGTTGTTTTCAGATTTGCCGCTCAATTTGTCGAAACACTGAGAAACACGGCGCTGGCGCAAGTCTGAGACGTGAGACTGAACACACAAACAAACATTGTTTTAATAAATTCGGTCAATTTCGCTCCGTCGTGCGTGACACGTATTCCGCCATAGTATAAGCCACGTAAATCTTTCGCGTGTGTTATTTAAAATATGAAAAAAGCTATTTGGACTTTTAAATTTGTATGTAGCTGTTATGGCGAAACAGCAATATTCATGATCAATAGTTAAAGTTAATGATGCATGTGGAAGATAAGCACGGTAAACTTGTGGTGTCATGTCGTCAATATAATTGTCCAATGAACATTCCACTCACACTCAACGATTGGCGCATGCAGAATTCCAAAAATTAGATCCCACCTAACCCAGCTTATATGATCGCGCTGTTGCGATTATGTATTTTATATATTGTAACTGTAGCAAATATCTTATGCAAGCTTGCAAGAATATTTTTGTATAGATTGTCGTTTTCCGACTGAGCATTCTGTTCGGGGATCTATTTACAAACTAATGTATATTACACTGAAATATTATATTTTAGTATAGATGTATGTATGCAGAGTCATGTGTGTATTTTCATACGAAATATTTGTACTGCAAAATAAATATTTTAATATTGGCTATTATTTTAGGGTAAGATTCTAAGATGATCTAAATAAACAAATTACAGTTTATCAATTGTTAAATTCAGTGCCTTGAAAGAAAAGAGATATTAAGATCATATTTAATTATAGACGAAAAGTATTACCAGAAATCCTGGCTTCGTCCAAATTTACATTACATAACACATAGGTACTGCTTATATTCATAAAAGTGAAAATGTTATATACTATAATATCTAATATTACTCCTGTTCCTTTTTCAAATGCAAAATTCCATATGTTTATGTTCGATCTCATTATTTAATTTAGAAAATAAAATAAAATGAGGTAAAGACTACAGTTTTGGGAACAAATTTGGATGTGTGTTTATGTAACATGTATAAAAATAAGAGACATTGTAAATAATTTGTGAATGGTGTATTATTGATGGAAGTTCGAGGCGTAGTTATAACAGAGCATTAATCATTTACGACTTATCAGTAAGGAGTTTATTACCTTCAAATAATTATTGTAATTGTACAGTATTTTTATAACGAGTATTTTATGTTGTTTACGCTGTTGAAGGGAGTCTGTCTTGCAGTAGGTGTATCGGGGAGCGAGCAGGCTCGCGGGCCTGCTCGCCTCTGCAGGCTTTGAGATTAAAACGTAGAGCTAGATTTAACTGCAATTTTAGTTGATGTATGGGGTTATGTATTATAAGAACAGTTAAATGACGGTAAGGGACTGACTTCTGATGTAATATTATCATTAATGGAACTGTATAAAATAGTTATATAACCGAAGGCCTATTGTAACGATTGTGTTGTCCTCCAACTAAGTTGACTTAGTTTAAATGTAGCTATAATACATCCTGCTCAATTTTGCTCTTGAGTAAATATAGGGAACAACTTTATTTCAATGTTGTGGTATGTGTAGAAGGAAGCTGTATTTTTTATATAATAAATGTGACTTGTCTATGTAATAAAAGTTTTGAGTAAATGCTAACCACCGGTTCACTATTTTAAACTCAAATATACTCTGTGGTTTGCATATACTCGAATAATTTGAAATAAAGCTGTCTATAGACACAGATTGTATGATGTGACTTTTTTTTTGTAAAGACTAATATTAATATTTTGCGTTATAACAATAATACGTCATAGGAAACATATTAATCAAACGCTGTTATGTTACCATAATAGTGTTCTTATAAAAATATATGACGGGATACATATATATTTCCGATGGTTAAATTCAACTTTTTTTCTGCTTTTCCATCGGCATTCCTAGCGTACTGAGAACGAAAGAAGAACAGTCGAAGTACATTTAAGTGCCATTTGACGACGCGACAACTCTACTGGGGACTTTCACTTTTGTGGCTGCAGTGAAAACAACTGCTGAAGTTACTGTCGCTATATGGACTGTAATTTCACAGCTATGTGCTACCTTATGTTGCTATAACCACGAAGATGCGTCTCCTCATTAGAGTTGTCGGCTACAAACTTTTATTTTAGTATATAATTTTATATGGGTTTATAGAAAATGCAGATTTCTCCCAACCACAACATTGTTTTACCGATGTTTTAAAAATGCTAAAATATTTTTCTACTCGATGATATAACAGAAACATGAAATATGTGATAGTGCTTTCAAAATAAATAAGACACAAAATTATCCAGGTGTCTTAAAATCCCCCTAAAATCATATTTATCATACCGAGAAATAGTTATTATCCATTATATTAAGATGTAGTTATTACTCGAATAAATATAACTTTTTAAAAATTCTTTCTTTTCTTTACTGCTACTTTTTATTATTATGTAACCTGTTGCCACTAATCTATTTTTATTTTGCTTGAAATATTTGAAACTATTTTTGTGAACTAACCTACCATGAAAACGAGCGGCAGGGCTGGTTTCTAGCCTCCTACTTTTCTAAAATTTTCTTTTATTAATTTCCACCTGCGGCTTTGCCCGCGTGGTATGTTGATAAAAAGCCTAGCTTATGTCCCACTCCGGAATGTATCCTATGCCTGGGACAAATTTCATCCAGATCCGTCTAGCCGTTTTGGCGTGATTGGGTAACATCCAAATATCGCATTTATAATATTAGTAAGATAATAACCATTTCCTGACCTTAACAAATCAAAAATATATTGGCATCAGTGTAGCCGTTTACGCCAGATGCCATGGCCACGTGGAATTGGGACTAAATTTTAAATAGATGTCGGTGTTCAATAATAAATATGTAGTGTGAATTGTGAAACATTTTGAGTCCTGAGGAACATCTAGGGATTGTGGATTTGGCTACCTAAACAAAAAACTTTAGAGAGATCTTTCAGCCATACCGTCATCATATAGGTATCGATACGACACATATTTTGTCCACGAAAGCTAAGTAGGTATCTACAGTTTCTTTTGCTTTGCTAAGTATTTCTCGGTAGTGCACGTGTGCACGACTGCGCGTTTAGGGAAAAATATGATCCGTACATCTCCAAATCCAACTTGCAATAGCGAAAGATGTCAACATTTTGAGATACAGAATGTTGTCATTTTTCACTTTTTATTTTCGTACTTAATTTTTATGTCGGCGTTTTGATGACCTTATCTGGTGGTACGCGATGAAGTGGCCAACAATGGAGCACGGTTAGGCTACCTAATTACCTATATGAAACCAACTCTTCACCTGGATCCTGAAGATAAGGATGAGGTTACTGCTTACGACTCTGATTGTGATGTTCTGCCCTGTTGTTATACTTAGTAAAGTTTAAGCTCTATCGTACAATGTCCGATTATCCAGATCAACTCTGATCCCAATTTATTCGGATATTCGACGTTAATCAACAGTGTAGCACATTAGTGCTTTCTTCCTCCTGTGACGAAAACGACCTTCGGGGAATTATCGTTTGCTTATCACATTCAAGCGGCTTCTTTCGCCCAGGGTAACGCGACAGTGTGAGACTCTTACTGACTAAAAACCACCCCGTACCTTCTCCTGCTCTAGACCGGGGTCGCGGTATCTTATTGCACTTGCCAGGGTTTGCTCATCATCTACGATAACACTGATAAGGGGGTATAGTTCCATAGTGCATATCATACAATCATTGGTTTGTCCCAGCAAGTACCTTTTTTCTAATTTATACAGACGCAGTTGATTCAAGCTATTCCTACACCTTTCAAAAGACCTTGTTCCCGTTTGGTAAAGATACTGAAGAAATTAAATGAAAAAGTAAAAGTATTTATAAGTGCGTGGTGCGTGCTCATAGTACCTAAGTGCTGTACGCATTTTGTAGTGTTAGAAATATAAAATTAAATGATCTCCATCCCACTATATAAGAAAATCTTAACTATTTTAGTACTCTACTAGCTTCGCCTGCGTGGTATGTTGATAAAAAGTAGCCTATATCCGATTCCGGAGTATATGCAATGCCTGTGCCAAATTTCATTCAGTTACGTCCAGCCGTTTTGGCGTGATTGAGTAACAAACATCCAAACATCGTTACTTTTACATTTATAATATTAGTAAGATAAGAAGTAAGATTAAGTCATCCAATGAATATGATATGATTGTCCCACAATGAGAATAATGGAGGTTAAAAATATGAACAACATAATAAGTATATCACCACACCACGAATTATAAATTCGAAGGCGTAGCCACGTGGAGCAGTGGCGGGAAAACTACTCTTTCTGTGATCTACAAATTGTTATTTTTGGGCTGGTATGATGTGCATGTCCAGTTATTTATTGTTCCCTATCGCCAACTGTCATATTAGTTTAGTGGATTTGAAAAACTGTACTTTTTTGTTACTTTGAAAAACTACAAAGGATTAAAAATTTTATCAATTTCATCACGACATTATTCCACGTCAAAGGAGAATAGGGTTTCCAACTAGTCTAACTAAATACTTTTCAGAAATGTTAAAAAAGACATTGTTTCGTAAATTTTGTATGTAATAGCACGTTTTGACGTCAAATGGCGTACTAGAAGTGATATTTTTATAGTTTTATAAGTTGAAATAATTTATTTTTGACCGAGGAACCTACCTAATTAGGAGTAGGGTCATATTGTGAAAAACGATGTTAAGAGGAGGAAAGAAGTTTTCAGAGTCAAAGAGTTTAAAAGGATCCTAATTACACACATAACATCGTAACAAAATCTCAAGAAAAATAAAACACAATCTGAAGCATGAAGAACTTCAGTTTATGAGATGAGATAGGATTTATGAGACGGACCAAAAGAAAAAATCAGTAGTGATAGTATTTTTTAATATATCTGATGGTCCCATACTTATCGAAGTGCGAAATAAGACAGACAACATATCCCGGAGCATCTGCACAAATGTATACAGAAACAGTAACGGTACACAGAAAAGGTATTGGGTAAGTTGAGAAAAATGAAACAAACCTATATTTCAATTTGTGCTTTATTTATGAAAAAAATTGTAAATTATCCTACAATGAATCTCCGAATGAATTAGACTTACATATCGTTTTATGTATCAAATACATTATTTTGCTCGACGCCAGATCAAACCACATAAGAACAATATAGTTTAAAATATTATCTACAGAATCCGTCCTCGGCGATTCGATTACCAAAAATACAATCTTCGTTCGGTCCCCGGCGACGGCGGCCTCGCGGGGTATGTACAGCGCGAATATACAGCGGGCGCGCTCAGCCGAGCAGCGCCTCCATGGTGTAGGGGTGCGGGGGCGGCGGGGGCCGGGGGCGCGGCGCCGGCTGTCAGTCCAGGATCACCAGCTGCAGCGGCGCCGCGCCGCCCGCCGCCTTCACGCTCGCCGCGCCCCCAGCGCCCCCCGCGCTCCCCGCGCCCCCGCGCAGCGCTCGCCAGGGGGCGCGCGCGCCACGTCGGAGCTCACCGCACGATAGGCTGCGTCGTGCCATCCTAATCAAAACATACTCATTTATTAATATACCGCCATAATTTTTAATATTTCTATTATTTGTTAACTTAAAATTATTTCAGTTTATACAATCATAAAAATACTTATTACTTATTTGAAAACATACTCAATATTCGTAATTATATTTTAGATAATTTAAGAGACATAAATATGCGTATGTAAGTTGTATGATGTCACACTCTGTGCTATTTCATATTCACAGAAAATTGTCGTTTTGGACAATTCATTTTCATTCTATTTCAAACGAGATTAGTCATATACTTTTTATTTTGCGCTAACTTTTTAGTTAAGTCATATAAATAAACACTTTCAAGTTATCAATCTTCAGTTCAAAAACAAGTACGAAATACTCGTACTTGTTTTTGAACTGAAGATTGGTGTTAATATTAATAAGTGACTTAAGTGAGTGCTATGAGGACAAATTCATTTACTTGGCTTGAATAAGTATACCAATAATGCTTCAGAAAAATATTTAAGTTTGGTATGTATTTGAAATAGCAGGAGGTTGAATTCAGGAAGAAAAATCCGTGGTTTAGAACAGTTTAATGAAGATGAGGGATCAACAATGAAAGTTGAAGTTTAGAAGTAGACATTGCGGCAAGATTTGTAGGGACAAACTGGATCTATTTGGTGCAAAGAAGATCTGATTGAAAACAGTGGACTCAAATAAGGATAAGATGATTATACTCACTTGGCGGTCTCATTCGCTCGGAAGTAGAGGTCGTCTGGCGCGTCCATCCAGGAGATGACGTGCCTGCGGCCACCCCTGCCGCTTATGTTGGTCGGCTTGCCGTTGACCTGCGCAGAGAGGGACGGTGAGAGGCTGACGGAATGCGGTAGAGTAGGAGAGGGCGCGGCGCAGTAGCGCGGGGTACGTACGTGCGTGAAGACATGCGCGGGCAGCGGCTGTCCGGTGGCCTGCGCGCGGGCGCACATGGCGGCGTACTGCTCGCGCGACGGCCGCTGCATGGGCGCCGGGTGCTTGTTGGGCCGCTTGGCCGGCGGCGGCGCCGCGCACTCGCCGCCCTCGCGCGCCCCGCCGCCTCCTGACACACACGCTACGTCACTACAACTACTCCACTCTCCACGTTCTACGCACGAGCGATCGAAACGAAAAGATAAGCTTTTACATGGAAATGTCTCACAAAGGATTTGGAAATTTTTAACATCATTTTGATGCGTACCTGTCGCTACTTCCGTGCGAGCGTGAAAAAATAACGATGTAGTTAATTTTAGATAAAAAATATATTTTAATATCGCTCACATATACAATAATAAAACCAATGTTATTTTGAAATGCATCGATACTGACTGTCGAGGCCATTAATGTCATCGTAGGCGCGTCGTTTTAGGGGTTGCGCAGGCGCAGCTTCTGCGCGGCGGGCTTCTATTTCAGCGCGAGACAATACACGTTCATACATCAGGCTGCCGTCTAAAACATGAATAAAGAAATTATTAGATTTTGGGACATTTTCCAAGTAGCACCGATTACATAGAGGTTAAACACTGATTCTCTCTTTTATTACTCTTTCGGAGATAACATTCAAGGAGAAATTAAAATTAAAAAGATATGCTGACCCTAATCTACTTAAGCGATAAGGTCATAAAGAATAATGGACTTAAATATATGGATGAATGTTCGTGGGGGTGTATACGGAGTAACGCGTTAACGTACCGGGCGCCTTTGGCGGCTTGGGGAAGGCGACGTGTGGAGGGGCCGGCATGGCGTCGCGCGGCGTAAGCGCCAGCCAGTCGTGTCGCGCCGCCGGCACGGGCCCGCCGCGCGCGGAAGCCAGGCGCGCCGCCACGGCGCCCACGGGGCCCCGGACGCGCGGCGTGCCAGCGCCCGGCGCGCCGGCCGCACGCAGCTCGGGCCCGCCGAGGGCCGCCATGGCGGCGGAGCACTCGTGTTTGACCTGCGCGAGGTTGATGGGCGAGAAGGGCGAGCGCGCGTAGTGGCGCGGACGGCGCAGCGCGCGCGTGAGTCTGCGCGCGAGCCTCGTGAAGGGCGAGGCGCGCAGGTAGAAGGCGGCGCGCGTCTTCATGACGGGGCGCGCGCCCTCGCCGCTGCCGTGCGCCGTCGCCACGTGCCGCGCCAGGTGCGCGCGCAACTTGAACTCCTGCACCACACAGCGCTTACGTTACTCATTACGCAATGCTACATTACATTACTACACCTATGAGATTACTTCTTTATTCTTTTATAAATAAGTCAAATTATTATTAAATTATGAACTAATTCAAAGTTCTTTCATCTAGCACTGTATGTGCTGCATCTGAAAAACGTACCTTAGCACAATTAAGAACAGTACAGCGATGTGGACGATGAGACACGGACAGTGCGGTGTCTTCGCCTTCGCCGCGAGGACCTTTCGCGGCTTCTACTTCGGTCTCGCCGAAGACTCCAGCGGTCTGTCACAGATACGATAATATTAAAAACATATTCTAGTTTCTAAATAAACGAATGTGTAGAATAAATAAAAATACGTTCAGACCTTTACCTTGAGACCTCCATACTTTTTCCAGTATTGCCAGCATGTGCCGCAAAGTCTGTATTGTAAATGCTGCGGTCCCCATGTGTACCACTGGTTAGAATTTGTCACTGCAACGAATTCACTCATTTAAATTAACGATGGGATAATTGATTAATATTTGCTTATATCTTTTTTATAAATGTCAAAAAACAAAATTGAAGTTTACCCAGGTAGATGTTTGTATATATATGCTTATACTAGATATATGGAAAGTGTCTTTAGCCTAAGGAACATGTTTGATGTACATTTATATAAAGTGACTTGTTATTGGAGTCAATCTTGAGTTGTAGAACAGACCATTTTATAATTTTTTATCGAACCAACGGATAGTCGGGAATGGCCATTATACAACTACATTACATTATATTGGTACTGCATGTTTGTGTGATTATTAGCAAATTATGTGTTATAAGTACATATTTGTACGGGAGCGAAGCCCTTGGCAGAAGGAAGTAGTGTTTGATGATCAGTTAAATAATATATTTATCAGTTTGGGGCAGTTTGTCGTCAGAACATTATTTTGATAGCTAGTCATTCCGCACAGTTTCACCCCCGGTACCCTACTTTTAAATAATGAGGTCATAATATAGTTACGTTAAAATCCTTACTTATTTCTTAAAAAATAGCTTAAGATATCGAAAATTTTGTGTATGTATAGTATACACACTAGACAAGTTACAAAATATAATATACAATACACCTACGCAAAATTTTCGATTTTTTTGATTGATGATTAAAACCTACAAATCTATCCAATTATTGAGTATAGTATAGTATGTATGTAGGTATTATTACCTTGGCAGGAGGCGCAGAGTTGCGCGGCGGTGACGGTGGCGGTACCGTTGGTGCCCCCGTTGAGCACGGCGGGCGCCTTGCCGCTGCTACTGTTGCTGGTTATCAGCGCCGGGTTCGGCTTGTTACTGCAATTTTACCAACTCATTTAATATTTCAACACAAAAATTATGTCATTACTAGATCAAAATACCAAGCCTTCATTTATGTAAAAACAGCAATGTCAAGTCATGTGAAGCGAAATAAAAACTTTATATAAAGGGCAACAAAAGATCACATCGATATAAGTATGCATCGTGTGGTACAAACACTCACTAGTTGGGAATGTACACTTGTTTCAACTTGGACTCGGCCTCGACCGCCTTGACGCGTTTTTGTTGTACGTAGCGGTCCGTCGTCTTCCACATGTAGTAGTACTCTACAAGGTTCTTTAGCGTCTTCCATGGCAACTGGATGCACAAAAATTTTATTAAAATACTAATAAAAAAATCTGTAAGCAATTCGGAATTTCCCATTTTATTTTTTAAATCAGCAATAATATTTTATAAACAACATTATCTTGTTTTCGATATTTTTAACAGGATTTAATTAGTCCAGCAGACTATACTGTTGATATTCATGTAAACTATTTCAAGATAAAAAAGAGATCGGTTTAACTGTTAATACTCGCTTAATTTGTATTTAATTCGCTAACATAAATATTTATGAGAAAGTTAACGTAAGATTAATAGATAAAGCTGCTTGATTTGAGATCAAGGAGTCTACATAATATTTTAATAAATATTCCCCATTACTCACAAAGTCCTGCCGTATATCAGCGAAGTCCTTGCCGTACTTGTCAAGCGCCTCCTCGAAGAGATTGGCCTCGGAGGCAGACCACTCTTCCATCTCGTCGCGACAAAGTACTGGGCCCGATGCGGGCACTAGCGAGGATAGAGCAGACTCTATGCTGTAGCCTGATTTGTGCAGGGTATCCATCGCGTGGAACTGTCGAGAAACGTTTATAATTAATTATGATTCGTGTTAACCTCTTTGGTTACCCGACACCCAATACTAAAGTCTTTGTTTACCCCCAAACACCTATGCCTTGCTTCCCATCAAGGTATAGGCTGGCTCGATTGCCACCCCTTTCCATAAAAAAGCACTCCAACAATGCAATCAAGAATTATTGCGCCTTAGTTTCCTTTTACAAGCTAGCCAAAGGCAGTAACATTTAAAGGACTTTCTGCGCGGAGTGGCGCCAACAAAACGGAAAAAATCTAAGACAGCTAGCAATCGAATTGCGTTACTTATACACGGGATGCAGTGTTGTGGCCTATGCGTATGCTGTGTAAGTAGTTGTACTAACGAGTGTGATGTCTCGGCTGGCTGCGGCGGCGGACATGTGCAGCGAGGGCTGCTTGACGGAGGAGGAGCAGTCGAGGGCGCGCGCGAAGGTTCCGACGGAGCGCGACACGACCAGGAACTGGTCGATCTGCCGGTCTGTCAGCCCGTGCTCCGGCGTCCACACCAGTGTCTCCAAATCCTCACTGTTGCGGACATCCTCTTCGCCTACAAAGTACAAATAATAACGAAATCTGAATGATATTGATTAATTCATTACTATTTTCTATCTTCACAAAGAACAACTGTAAAATTGTTTGCGAGGAGGATAACTTAACTAGTCTTGCTGACTCTTTACAAATTATATTAATCAACATCTGGAGATCTGACAAGAGTGATTCTAAATATTTCCAGATGTGGCAATTAAAGTGAGTGAAGCAAAATAAGTTAATACATACCATCTTTTAATAAATTAGTTACTTCAGTCTGATATCTACTTCCAACTCTGATTTCTCCCTTATCTGCTAATAAAGTCTTTTGTGAAGGATCAAATACTAAACAATAAAAAAATGCGTCCTGAAACAAAGAGAGAAAATTGAATTTAATTTTAGGTACACACACAAATTAGTCTAAGTTATCTATTCATAAAATAAATTAATTGTTGATTCTAACTTGCATAAGGTTAAAAAATCAGGATATATTCATATCCATGTTTTAAAACCTGTCATTTCAATTTATATTATTGCATTTAATTAAGATTAACAAACGCCCCATATAAACAATATTGTACGGAGGATTTATGTGTTGGTTGTATTTGTTAATATTATTACTAACACTGTTAACTATAGGAAATGACATCAGATTAGGGCGTGTTGACATTTCCTAATTGAGATTGTTAGCGGTTGTGTGACCTAACCTTGAAATGAACGGGATAAGTACTCATTAGTCAAGATAGTCGTACACACTTATTTGTCTTACAATAACATGTACCTATAGACGACACCCATGCCTACATACAAGTTGTGTATTTATCACTACCATATCTGTGGTAATTAAAAAGAAAATTGATAATAAAACAATAGAAAGTCCCACGTTGCGACGTTCATTAGGGAATGAAATTTAAGTAATTTATAGTATACTTGTATCAATTCTTGATCTTCCCACGTAAGTTGTAAAACTGTCGCGGACGAATGACTAGCAATGAGTTCCACAATAATATGGAGATTGCTAATTATCCTCAGGACTCCGTGCCTACTGTTTGGGTAATCTTTGGAATTGCTAGTCGGATGTCCAAAATTCTTTCACTGATGATATCTACAATGTTCCTAAGAGCTTTTGTTATAAATTAAACTGCATTTGCATGTTTTAATCGAGCTATCGCTTTAAATGCTGCTGTTTTTAAAATCCCGGTATACATTACTTTTACACGCATGCAAAGCCGCGGCCGGAAGTTAGTGGAAGAATAAAATCGCAAACCTTTTAGTTCTACAATAAGTAAAGCAAACAATCAATAAGCTAGGAGTTTCACAATTTAATATTATGCATATTTTAATAAATTTAACAAAATACTCGTATTATATAATAAAACAAACAACAATCAATAATTTGACAAACGAAATTAATTATACAACAGGATAATGGACATACTATTGTCTCAGACACCGATTACGCCACAATACCTCGTGACATTGTGTATAAAATAGAACATATACCTAATAAAATGTCGGTAATACTATAAATTATGTAAAATAAACTTTGTTTGTTATATATTTGCAATTAATATTTTTTGGATATTCATGATTTTTTGTAAGTGCTTTTGTGAATATGCTATTTAGGCACAAAAGAACAGCAAATTCACTTTTGAAATTTCTCACATTTTTTTAAATGGCGATTTATTTTGGTCCTACACGCAATTGATAATGTGAACTTTGGCGGCAACTTTTGTAACATACGTATGCATAATATTGTGTGTAAAACAGAAATTGTTGCAATTTTTGTTTTTCAATCAATATTAACGTTCTTATTATACTACAACTATTAAGTTTATATTATTGCATACTATTCTAACCCTAAACGTATATATAGAAAGTCGACTCCCAAAGCATTGAAAGTTAATTTATATCAAGTAGGTACTAAGACCCATATTTGTTTATATTTGTTGATAGCGTAATTGGAAGAGAAACAACTGGTGAACTCTCTGGTGATAAGTCGAGAAATAGCTTTCTTAAGTTCATTGGCTATTATGGAGTGGACCTTCTATAAGTCGTTTGGTGTTTTCGTCCGTGGCCGGTACATACTCACATCCTTATTGAGATAGCTGAGCAGCGACTCCGTCTCGTTGAGCAACGTGACGGTGCACTTGCCGCGTATGTGTGTTGCCGGCAGTGTTTCCACGTGCCGAGATAAGAACAGCTCCCGGTGTTTCGCCTGGTGCCGCTGTTTGGGCGCCAGGCCGTCCGTGCCTGGCAACTCGCTAGATTCCTCCTCCATCGCCGCTGAAACATTTGAATTGATATGTTAGAAGTGTTTGTGATAGTGTATATGACATTTAGAAAATACGGGAATAGAATCAGTTGCCAATACAGATTTATAACACGTTCGCGTTGATAGGTCAACTCCTGACCTTTTATTTGTTTTTGATATAACAAATAAGGAAGACGAAAACATATCACAATTATTTTATATGAGGGTATATTAAACCCTAACTGCAAGATTGAAGGGGAAAACAAAAACATGTTAAATTTCACCTTCTACGTGAAATGCAAGCTTTGTACTGGAGGTCAAGGTGAAGGTTTTTTCGTATCTTCTTCGTATTGGATACATACATTTTCCATTCATACTTGAGCTCAAAATGAATTTTAAAGGTTCTTTATTTTAAGTATTTCAATTATCTGGAAGGTGACATCTAATTTAGAGAAAATGCTTAGCTAGCGGCGGCGGAGTGTCATACAATGTAGTTAATTAAAAATAAAACTCCTTCGCTTTGTTTTGATTTACATTTTTATAGTAACAGACAGTGCAATTGTAATCAACATTATGATCAAGTTGTGTACTGATGAATCACCGCGACCCATAGTGCTGAGAGCGGTCGAGTGGCTTGCTAGTGTGATTTGCGTAACAGCGGAAACATGGTTGCCTTGCGCGTACCGATTTACCGATGCACTTGGATTACAATGAGGGTAAACCTAAAGCGGACAGTACTAATAATGTCTATAACATTGGCAATTTGGTAATAGTGCTAATCCATTACTTATCGTGATAAAGGTTGGTTTATAGAATTTATAGGCCGTAAAGTTTATATTAGACTTCTTCATTCATGTGTTGACTGGAAAGGAATCTAAGCACATCTGAGATAGTGTGACTGTGGAGTGCAGAATTGCTATTACCGCTTGACGATCGCAAGTTCTCAGCAGTCGCCGGTCGGCCGACAGTAGGCAGGTGCGTTGCGAAACATGTCCACGTCAACTTATGATTTTTATGCGCCGATGTACAGACTGCCATTACGACACGCGTTGTACCTACGCCTATCACACAACATGTCGGCCATCGCGTTTTATTCTTATTAAATAAATAATTGTAGCCACAAAACCAAACATGTTTATTGTTATTCGGTAATAAATATCATCCATTTACCCATCTTGTAGTCCTTGGAGTTACTGAAAGAATATCTTTACGCACCTGTCTTTTGAATAAATATAAATGTTTTTATTTTCTTTTGTTCTCTCAAAAACGCCGGACTTTTCAAATTAAATTGCTACTGACCTTTAAAATTCAAACCAATTTAACGTAAATTAAGCGACATGTATGTTCAACTCATATATCATTAAACACTAATCGAAAACATACCAAATGCATTAAATAAAAAATACGATTATTTTCATGTGTTTGTGTGTTATTATATTTAATGGAAAGCAGAGTTAACAGTTTTTTGTTTTTCTGTTGTATTGTAAAGTAAAACGGGGCGTTGTCGAAGGTAAACACACAAGGGACAGCCGTCCCCACGGGCAGACAAAAGCGCGACCCCTGCGGCCCAAAGTCACCCGGTTTTGTGTCGCGTCACGCGCCAAGATTTCTTCAATATCAAACATGTTTCGGCATCAACATTTAACTCCAATAATTATTGATACATTACGTAATCAGAATATAAACAAATTAGGTTACGAGTTTGCGTTAAGATGGACGTCGAGGGACGCGCGTCCAACGGATAGGGGTGGGGCTGTTGTGGGGTGTATATTGTATCTGCTACTTATTATTACCATGCAGACACTTTACTAATCACACACGAATAATAATAAAAGCAAAGTTTGGTAAACTAAACGATTTGAGAAGTAAATGGGGTGTGCTTTAAATCGACAGATGTGACGTTTTGACTAGAGTTCTCGTTGCAGGCGCTCGAAAAATTGATAGTATGTTGGGTGCAACAATATTACCATTGAGAATATGTCAATAACCTAGACTGCGGTAGGCTAGGAAGGTAGGGTAAAATCATTATTGGCATTAATAAGATAAATGAATAAAAGAGACCAAGGAGGGAAAACAAGCGAATTTAATTCCGTCGCCAATACGAGATGAGAGCGGTGTGGGGTAAAAAGTGGAAACGCGATTGTTTCGCTCTCCACCAAGAGCAATGGGATAGTGCGTCGCTCTCCTAGTTCATATAGAACATCGATGATGCTATTAAATAAGTTACTACTGATTTACGTACGAATCAGCCACTCGTCTTACGACACCTTCATGTTCATTTTTTTCTTAGCGTATGTCAGCTAAATCAGCTTTTTGCCATTATGTAATGGTGCATAGAAATTTGGTTAGAAATATAATTAAATAAGCTGAATACTACCAATGCAGAATACTCATCGAAATTCCTTAAGAAATCGCATAACATTAAAAAACGCGAGCAAAACCTGTATATCAATTGACTTACTCTTTTTCATCGACATGAAAGAGTGTTGCTGACACAGATACACATCACTAGAGCGTCGCGACGGCGAGGGCCCGCCATTTACCGCGACGCCCCGGCCCCGGGGCGGCCGCCGAATTGCGGGGGATTTACTTTATGATAATTATTTCGATTGCGATCGTGAGGAAAGAGCCAGGGCGCACTCGACTCGATCTTGAGACGCCCGATGCGAGAAGCCCGTAAAAATCACAGCTTTACACGAAACCACTTTTTTACTGGCAAGTAATTTGCACCCTGATTGGTTGAAATTAGAAAGCAATAATTTTCAAAAAAATCATTTTGAGAGGATTGTTTTATTTAAATTCTAAGATCGCCCTGGATTTAGAAATGCAAGCTCATCAAAGACGTTTCGTAGCTTAATGCTCGAATACCTTATGCACATTCTAAAGATGAAAAATTATTTGGATGTGTAGTATAAATGAGAGAAGAGAAGAGAAGTTCCTACAATATTTTGATTTGTATTTCAAACTTAGGACCAAGAGCAAAGTGAATGGTCTTAGTGTAAGTTCGACGTGAAGCATAATTGTGTACTCTACGATATTATGGTACTTGTGCATTTTGTCATAACATTCCTAGAAATAAATGGAATGCGGAATGACGACAGACAACATGCGAGTCGCATGAATACAAAACAGTTATGATAGTTATGTTCATCACAGTAACAATAACATTTTTTAGGCAAAATTTAAATAAAGCGGTTCGTTCTAAGTGCTATTTTATTGAACACTCAAATATTAAGTTCGATGTTTTTGAAGTTGTAGACCATTTAGGGTGTATCAAGTACGTACGTGATATTTCAAACAAAGAAAAGGCAGCACACGTTCGACAACATTGGACAATCTATTTCATAGGGTTTCGTTTGACACCCACCAGTCGCTAGCATAACTTTGACAAACGAAGTACCTATTCGAATTTACTACCCATAGAGCTTTTGCTTTCATCAGAAAATTGGGTTTAGTTTCGAGAGTCAACTAAAAAGGTCTCCTTGTAATATATTGATGCAAGTAGTTTGTCATACATATTTAATAAGGACGCGAAGGTACTGTGGTCAAAAACTGTTCGTGGGTCACTTATTCCCTAGCTGACACTTAACAAAGGTTGCATAGAAAAGTTCAGCTTTCGAAGTCTTGTACGTGAGTATGTATGAGAACAAAGTTACGAGCATAAGTATGCATGTTAAGAAGGAGGTTTATTAAGTTTGAATGTATATGGTGTAAAAGAACCCAATAATTAATTATCTGTGGTTTTATCTAATCTTGGTGAGGATGTTATTGCGAGTGAAATATTGAACCATGGGGTGATACTAAATATTACAAACATAGGATATATAGTATCTGAAATTTGCAACATTAAGGTTCGCCCCTGATTGCGACTTTTAGTCATCATGACTTTGCTACTGTCACCTTCTGTCGCTCACGATGCGCTCACTGAAACTGTTCATAAGTGACAAATCTAACGCATTTGTGTACATAATGTATTTCGAAATGAAATATCTATAGTAATCTTTAGGTTGGCTGACATTCACACTACAAATGTTTGTCACATCACCGCAGTGAGTGCACTCTTCTGTATCTTCGTTGTAGTTTTCTTAGTGACAAAAAAAACGCAGTTAGAGGGAAAACCTTTTGTCTGTGACCAGTATATCATAGGTAATTAGTATTAGTTTATGGGAGCACACTAATATGTGTACAATATACAGACCTACTTGATTGTAATGGTTTGCCTCGCTTGATAGAGTGGACCGGACCTGTTTGGCAATTTAATAACATGGGATTATGGATCTACACGCGTCACTACGCAACTAATTAAAGCGTAGGCAAAGAGAAAATGGCAATCTGTGGAGTCGTCCCCCCGCTAGTGGGGGGGTGTCGGTTACGTGTGCCCCCTTGGGGTGGTCGGGTGTATGGTTTTTCTGCTCGGGCATCCTTTGCTTACTTATTGATCCAGTCAAATGTGTGGAGGTGGCGCGGTGGGTGGTACGCCCGACCCCGCGCCCCCCCGATGGGGGTACGTCCAAATAAATCTGCCCGCCCGCGAAACACCGCAGTGACAACAGCGGCGGCCGGTAAGATGCGGTCGCACTGTCTCTATTCTGCTGTGCTGTATACATCAATGCACCTAATATTCATGCTTGGCGACATCCAACGATCACTTTGCCTAACAAACATAATACACATGTAGAATGCATTTCATGAAAATGGCCTCGAACAAATCGAGGGTCCCTACCTGAACAGAAGCATGCGCAATGGTTAGCTTATCTTGAATTGGTATACTAATGCTTACATCAGAAAAGTCAACGATGTTGTTGTACAAATATTTATCTTACTTGTACTGAGCTATATTTAAGTCCTATGTTACGTGGGAAGTCATGGGACATAACTTGATAAATCAATAAAATCGAATAAAGAAGCAAACTAATCTATCGAATAAGGTTTTCAATATTTATTTATTTATTTATTTAAAAATAAGCACACCAACAATACAATCACCCAATGTTATACAAAAAACACAATAATCAAATAATTGGATGCACAA